GGCTGTGTACAGTATACATTTGGAGTCTCTAAGCTAGCTATGTTTGTATAAATGACTACCAAGTGGAATGTTATTTAGTTAAGGTATCCGGCCAGCTTGTCATCGTCAAAGTAAACATCGCCAGTAACCAAGGTGGCATGGCCAAAGAGGGCATTTTGCAAGTGATGATGGCACATTGTGACATGCGGTCAAATGCCCTAACGTAGCTAAATAGTTACGTGATGGAATCACAGTGGCGTTTTCAACGGTGGGGTGGAATGTTCAAAATAACAAAAAAAAGTGAGATGATGGTTGGATGATGGATTGGTTTTCAGGAAGAAATTTCAACTGGGAAGGAATTGAATACGTGTCGAAAGGAGGTATTAAAATAAGTGTAGTTTTATTGGATTTCAGATACGGTGTCTTATTCTTAACGTGTCTGTTGCTTGACAGTTGGCGAGAAAGGGCCAGGGTTGTTTCAAGTGCAGTTCTTTACTTTGACAGCCCTGAGGTAATGATAAAATAATTGCATAATCTACAATCCATCACGGTGGGACCCGCAACAATGACTTTTATGAGGTTATTCATGATATAGCTAAGCTATAGTTATTGGGAATGAGCCTGTGTCTTTAAAATGTGCACTGTTGATTTGAAATTGTGGATGAGATCGTGACTGTAGATTGCCCTGCGTTTTGTTGACATTTCTATTCTTAGAATTATTATGTTGAGTCCATGAAATTACTTAACGCGCATAAATTACATGTCCGCAGCTGTCATTGGAGAGTATCAGGAGAACACTGTTCCTGAGTGAAGACAAATAAATACAACAAGTCGAATATGATAATAGTGAAATAATAATAACACGCATTGTTGTTTACGAATTCAAACAAAAAATGATCGGATTTTGGTACTCTTTGTAGATATGTCTTTTTTTGGTTTTATAACTAAGACAACTGGAGCTGGTCGATTCTCATGATTGCTACTCTGGAATTGTGATTCGCACCTCCGATTAGCACGGTTGGCTACGTACGGTGCGAGAGAAGTTCAACATTTACATTCAATTTCAAAAATATCATTCGATTTCCGTCCATGTTGTAGAATCAGATGTATTGTGGAATACTGGGCTTGGGTGGCGGGAGTGGGGGGTGATGAGGGGGGTGAATAGGGGGGGGGTACATGGAGTCTGGCCTCTAGAAAGGGATGACCCACGGGGTCTGGTGAGCATCGTAGGAATTGCCATTGAAATACAGAATTCCCTCGCTCCGTGCAGGTTCTGTTTGTGCTGTTTCGCGTGTGTGCGGCTAATCTATTTCGATCCATGTGCGGTTATGCGGTCGGACACGGGACAACATTGTGTGTGTACTGTGTGTGTGTACTGTGTGTGTGTACTGTGTGTGTGTAGTGTATACTGTGTGTGTGTGTACTGTGTATGTGTACTGTGTGCACTAATATGTAGGTATCTGTCTCGTGCGGTTTAGTTCTTACCGACCCCTACTGGACATCTGTGAAAAAGAACTTAATAGCTAATCGGATTTCTCCAGTACAAATCAAGATTCTGATTCTGATTTTGCTTTGTGCGCCATTTTTTTTTTTGGAATGCATCTACTGCACAAAGCATTCGCAACCTGTCTATGGCCGATGCCTAGGGTACCACATTTCAATGGTAACTGATGATGCCAGTCGGCTGACATTCTAAAATTGATCTCAATATCAACCAGCTAATTATCTACCAAGATCACCACTGGAATGTATGACTGATGACCAGGGTGCAGACTTGTCCTGATTTCCACCCCGATTCTGGCATGGTATTCAGGAAACAAGCAAACGCCCATGGGTTCTGGCCTGCATAGTGGTGGCTGGCCTGGGCACTGTCCTCTCCCGCACCATTGATGCATGGAGCAACTAAGCCTCGGCTATTTGTAGAGAATCTTAGTGTCTGGCACAGCATATACACGAGGCAGCTACGTGTGTGTCTGTGTGTGCATATCTGGTACAGATACAATGGGAGGCTGATCGATGTCCAGGTGCAGTCAAGGGATGGCTCTCTATTGCTCAACTATGTTATGTATGCAGATGATCTGGTAATTGATGCTCACTCAGAGGTGGAGCTTGCCACTAAGAGGTGGGGCTTACCATCAGCCCCACCAAAACTAAGTACCTGCCTGGGTATTTTGTATCATCGGACATTCCACCCCCACAACTTCCAATTGGTGATAGGGCAGTTGTGGAGAGAGTGGACAGTTTCCCATACCTGGGCAGTGTGCTCATGACTGGCTCCGGTTTGACAGCAGAGGTCTCACTCCGAATCAGTTGAGCGACATTATCTTTTCATCGGTTGCGTAACGCTGTGTGGAAGCTACCTGGTCTGTCGCTCCATAGAAAACTTCGGGTCTTCTCGGCCACAGTCATTCCCTCCCTTCCCTACGCTTGCGAAACGTGGACCCCCCTTATGGAACATCTTCGCCGGTTAGAAACATTTAGGCTGGTCTGCCTACGATCCATCTTGGGTTTAACCAGTCCAAATTATGTGAGCAGCTCAAAAATCCTTGAAAGATGTGGATAAAGTCCTATCGGTGAGCTCCTCCGGCAGGCAAGGCTGCGTTGGCTGGGTCATGTAGCCCGAATGCCCATCCACCGCATACCTGAACAGCTTTTGTTCGGCCGGATCGAGGGGGCTAAACGGGCACGGCACGGGCTAGAGAAGAGATGGAGTGATGTGGCACAGGAGGATGTGGAGCTGAGTGGACTTGCTGATGACTGGTACCAGCGGTGTCAAGATCGGCCTCTGTGGAGGAGGCTCGCGAAGGACGCTACTGGGCAGTTGGAGGCAGTCGCCCTCCAACAACACGGAGGGCGGAGGAGCGATGCTCACAACAACGAGCGGAGCGCCGGGTGGTTAAAGCACAGCAAGTTGGCACAGTAGGGGGCACAGGTGGTGCATCATCCAGTCGTCTCAACCAGTCGACCCGTGGCACCTGGGTCTGCCCCGTGACCGACCTGCCAGCAGGCGTTTGACACTTCACGTGGCCTCACGGTGCACATAGCCTGGCACAAGCGTTGTGGTGATGTCACCGCCACTTAGTGGCGAATGGGGCTTGTTGTTGTTGTTGCATATACTGTATAGCCTGGCAGTGGTTTCACGGTTAGCGCACTGCACTATGAACCCAGCGACCCGAGTTCGATTCTCGCTAGTGGCCAACGCCAGTGACGATTATCTGAACCGGTCCTGGGCCTCCCCTAGGTGGACTCGGCATGAAATGAGTACTTGGTGCGGTGTGTAAACATCGCCGCTCAGGAGACAAAGGTGGTCGGGCGTGATGCTGGCCACCCAACCCCCTCGTGTGCTGTTTGAGCCCTCATAGGTACTCGCTAACAGCACTTGCCCCAACAGTTCGTTAAGGCTAAATGGGAGACCTTTGTTTTTTATATAGCCTTGTGCAAATCATTATAATTGTCTTTCACTTGCACGGATTGATGCGTGTATCGTGAGCTAGCTACTAAATTTGTATTGACGTATTGTATTTATTTTTCGATTTAAAGCTTTCGTGACTGCAGGGATTCGTCTTCTTGGTTCTTTCGGTAAAGTCACGTAGAAGGGAAGTAATAAAATAATAAAAATAAAACATAATAAAATAATTCTCACGACGTTTCGGCCACTATGCAAGCAGCCGTCTCCTCGACAGACCTGTTCTCCACCTGAAGACGGCTGCTTGCGTTGTGGCCGAAACGTCGTGAGAATTATTTTATAATGTTTTATTTGTATTATTTTATTATTTTCCTTCTACGTGACTTTACCGAAAGAACCAAGAAGATGTATTGTATTTAGTTTTATATTTAGGCTCAAACCCATGCATCATAATATGACTAAGCTATTGCAAATGAGCACGCACCGGTAATATATGTGGCATGTGCGCAGCTATTACGGACTGAGCAACAGCAGTACGCTGTCTCTGAGAAAGACACATTTACATAACATCCAGTTTGCTATGTTCCCGTGGAAGATTAACGTAACCTTTAAACGGTACTTAAGTAAACCCTCCCTCGGCATCATAAACAAACAGTTGCTAACTTCTTTGTCAGCATAAAAGAGATGTCAGCACTTTTGCCTACTTTCCTAAGCATTGTTCCCAACATCCCTACAATATATTTCACTGGACAGTCTACTCGTAATCCTGAGAGATTTGTTAAGACATGGAGCAAAAATGAACCCTTACAGTACAGTAGATCTTACAGTACAGTATTTCAAATTCATCATCAGCCGTGTTCTATCCACTGCTGGATGAAGACCTCTCCAAACTCTCTCCGTCGTTCATGATCTTGCAATGCAGCATGAAGTGATTTCATTGCTCCATCTCCGTGGAGGACACGTGCTCTTTTGGTCGCATTCCCTCCGTGAGCCGACACCGACTTTGTCATCAGTCTCGACCATGGGTCGTGATCCCTTCCAGCGATGCCTCCTGTCCAACCCCACTGACTCTTCTTCGCCGTCAACACGATGTCTTTAATCTGTATACGTTCTCAGATTCTCGTGCTCATCTTAATTTTCCCCGATTGCGATTCCCAAGATGCACCTGGTTATTGCTGCACTATAATAACCTTGAATTTGGGCACATTTTCCAAATAAGTCCGAAGCATGATATTTCTCTATTCACAACAAATGTCATGCACATTGAGCATTATACTATGTGTCCAAGATGGATATTGGAATAAATACAGGGATGTGCTATAATACATCTCCAGAGAGCTTTATCTGAAATTACCTCCCCCCCCCCCTCTCCAATCACCGTCTCCCAGTATTCTACGACATGAAGTTGTAAATGTAAATCATCTCAGAAATATTTGTGATCTCCAGGCAGATCGTAAGAGGCTATTAAAATGCTAATTAAACGTGATAGCTTTGAACTGCCTCCAGTCTGCGTTCTTTGGAGGAACATTTTAGATACGTTCAATATGAATTAACCCTCGTGACATGTTGCACAATGATTTTCTGTGTGTGTGTGCGCACATATGCTTTGTTTCAGCCAAAACTTTTGGCCAAGGAATTATTGGATATGGTTGCGTCTCATTTCAACCTGAAGGAGAAGGAGTTCTTTGGACTTGCCTACGTGGACGAAATGTAAGTGAAGGAGGTCACCAAAATCATATCCCTTCCTATTCCATACGTACACACACGCATACAGGTACACGGACGTAAATATCCATAGGGTACATACGCATACATCTAATAGTTGTCTGTTACGTTCGTACCCTCTGCAGCACACTTTTGGTTTGTTACTATAATAGGAATTGCCAGTACTGTATTTATGTTATTGTAATTCTATGCTTTGACAGTCTTGAGTAGAGTTAGCCGAAAATCAGTTTGCCTATATTTTCGACGTTTGTACATTATGGGAGCTTGAGGGATGGTGACGGCTTGGGAAGGCCTTCATCCAGCCGTGAATTGATGATGATGGTGAAGAAATGTGTGCTTTGATTGAACTCAATGTACATTTAATAAAATTGGTGAAATCCAAATTTGATAATTTTTATTTGTAATAGAACGTACGGTATTTTGAACGACTGCTGTACCAGATCGAATCTGCATGGCAATGAAAGACTCAATTTATTAAAACATAATTACAGAGGAAGGTTAATGTATAATAGTGCCACATAAAACTGTGCTGCATTAAGAGTTATGCATTTTTAATCAGTCCCAATCTTTCAAGGAAGACAGATCTTCTAAGCGAGTCGTAAAAAAATACAGTTCAATTAAGCAATAAAAAAACAATGACAAGTGCTGTATTTAGTGTATAAAGATGGATTATTATAACTGCTCCTCGGTGAACATTAATTATTAATGAGTACAAGAACAAGGGATGATGCCGTGGTGTCATGGTTAGCACACTGGATTTGCAATCCAGAGGATGCCAATTCGATCCCATCTCCGAGCGCGGAGGTTGAAACAGCGGTGTGAGTTTCTGAAATAATCCCCAGTGCCTCTGTCCACCCAGTCGAATGCTTGGGTCCATCACAGTCAGTTTATCGGCATATTGCTTGTGGTGGAGTCAAATGTGGGTACATGTAAAGCACGTACCACGTAAATCGACGCCAACACCCCCAAACCCCAAGGGCAGATCTAGGCTGAGTTTTTTTTGGTAAACTGGGAAACATTTTGTCCCTATTTTCCATTTAATGTTTTTTTTGTCTTTTTTTAAACAGAGGCATCATTATTCGGTTTGTCCGTCCATCCGTCTCTCCAACCAATAAATTCTCAGAAATGGTGAGAAATGTTTTATAATTCATAACCATTATGTATGCGCATGTGAATTTAAATAATGGCATCTTCGTTATTTGGTGCCCCACTTAACTTGGCGCCCCAGGTGATCACCTGGTTTGCCTATATGAATGGGCCACCCCTGACCACGATTGTAACTAATATCTCTACTAAATAACATCTGAACCGTCGCAGGACGACATTAAACGAGAGCCTAACAGCTCATTGGCTCATTCCTGCTGAAATAAATAAAATATAAATATAAAAAAATCTTACATTCCCACCCTTTCCGAGATGTCTGGCCAGCGTGGAGAAGTAGGCCAAGATACCCTCTAGAGGGCCTCTCTAGAGCTCCCTCTAGTGGAGGCCCTTCCGCCAGCGATGCCTGAGCAAGAAATTGCAGGGTTTCACCAACACCAAAATACAATAGTCACGTCAGGAGTCATCACAACAACAAAAAACAATAGTCACGTCAGGAGTCATCACAACACCAAAAAACCCACAGCGTATTGAAGCTCATGCAATCCACAACCATGCCACCATGGGGAGACGTTTGGACACCAGGGAGTTTATGGATGGTTCTCAAAGCAGGGGGAAGCAAGAATATTGGCCAAACACCACAGGAGCAGATCACATCAGGTAATTCCAAACTCGAATAGATATGAACAAAAAGCGATGTTTACACGTCTGGCAGCAGTGTGGTCTTCAAGCAGTTGTTATGCTCTTTGCGAGCAGACTGAAACGAATGCTGAACTTGTTAAAAAGAGAAGAGTTAACCTTGAACCTTTGGCAGCAAAGTCAACTGATGTGAAAGTTGTCATTCCTAGAATAATGTTGTGCTGTTTCCGTGACGTTGATGTGTATTGACAAACTGTGACATTTGTGGAGTGACAGCCGCAAGCTCTCTTGATACATCATTGAGTATACAAGGACAATGTTTATCTACACACACACACATGCTAATGCTGGTGATGTAATCCCAAGCATACAAATGATCACCTATAATTATTGCGTGCACTTGTGTTTTTACGTATCTCTGAACGTAAGCAATTAGAAGTGCTATTGATTAAATAATTTCTGTGTTTTAAGAACTTTTTTAAATATTGGAAGCAAGTCCGCAACGTTTTCTGTGATACTCTTTGTTTTTTTCGGTAAAGTGACGTAGGTAAAAAATTCAAATAAATTAAATCACAACGAAGTGAGATACTTGATACAGTAATTTTGCTGTGACGGTTCCATGTGAAGACGGAAGCTTGTGTTGCCTCCGAAACTTCGTGATAAAATTTATTTATTTATTTTCCCTACGTGACTTTACCGAAAAAAACAAAGAGTATGAATCTTTGCAGTCACAAAAACTTCAAATCTAGAGTTTTCTGTGATATCGATGGATACAGCGAAGTGCTGATATTGATAAATGTCTGCACTGTGCTTTGTTGCTAGCATAACATGCTAACACTGTGTGTGTGTCTCTATGGGCGTGGATGTGTGTTTAGTTTTGCTGGCTCGTCCGACATTCCTACTGCGGTTTTGATCAATAATGATCTTGTTCCAGCCAGACAAACACAACGTGCCCACTCAGGCGTGAGACTCGTCCCATAGATATTGGCAGAGTGCAAGGTCATTGTTCAAAGGCAGATGAGCAGTGTTTGATATAATGCGATGTTAGCACTTGAGTGCGCGAGCATTGCGTTTGACAGCCATGTAATATAGCTTAGACGCGCGGGTTTGGGATGAGGCGAGGGGAGCGTATAAGTCACGTGCAAGCGGTCGAGGAAAATTTTGCACGAAAACATCTCCACCAGGTTTCCATGCTTGCTTCTTATCGCAACGCGGAAAAAAAGGTCCGCGTCACTCCAGGCATAATCTCTCAAACATCATTGTGATTCAGGTATAGATTTGTGCTGGGTGACCGTGCAAATTTGAATCACACGCTGTATGTTTATCCTTTTCACCAACTCGCCAATGTAACATAGAAAGAGACAGATGGATTTTTTGCTTGGCTCATGCTGTCTGTGTTCTTTTTTTTCTCCGAACGTTTATTTTTGCTACGTAATATCCATGGTGTGCACACTGTCAACAATAAAGATGATTCAACATATGAGTGGATTAGCTCATTTAAATGCTGGTTTTGTAAGCAAGTGTTGAATTGAAATTCATCTGCATACACTTACAGGCTTTTAAACGTCCCTGTTGATCCAGAGCAAAACCTTGGGGGCCAACCTTTCCAAAAGAGAAAAATGTATATATTTGGCTAAAGATAATAAAGTTCTTGTGGAGATATGTTTTTTATGTGATGGGGAGCGATGGCATAGTGGTTAGTACACTGCTATGAACCCCGGCGCGCTGGGTTCAATTCCTAGCCATGACTTACATCGGTGGTGATTATCTAAACTGGTCATTGACCTCTCCTAAGTTGACTCGGCTTTAAATTTCTACCTGGTGCAGTGTATCAACATCGGCGTTGGCCACGCCACCAATGTGCGCCACGCTGACCTTCATAGGTGCTCGCTAACAGCACTTGCCCTACCAGGCCGTGTAGGCTATACAGTGGATCTTTGTCTTTGTTTGCACACGTGGATGTGTGTGTGTGTAGACTACATCTCTTCATTTCTTGGCTTTATATAATGTACACTTTTGCACTTGGATGTTTGCCCATGGAGTACTGTGGGTAAAAAAAAAACCTGTCAAATGTGTGTGGCTTGAAGATAGACACTCTTTGCACTGTCAATCTATACTTTAAATTTAGCCGATCCATATGACACCTACTCATTTTCCGAAGGCCACTGTGTCAGCTGTGCCAGTGTACATTGCACAGGTCTTAGCAAAATCTATTTTCCCAGGAATTGGTTCTCTAAATTGAACCGCAAAATATCCAATACACTCTTCACATTTATTCTTCTTCTTCTTAGCATCATCATTTTGTAATGCTTTTGGGGAATACTGTATATATCTTGGTATCAATAAAATAATAATACTAAAGAATCTAGTGCGAGCTAACCGGTGCACTGTCGAAAAACACGTTAAAACTATGGCCAAATTGAATTACTTGTGTTTAAATGCATTAGTATTGTGCTTTGCACAATCAGTGGGGTGGAGTGGTGGCACAATGGATAGCGTGCCGCGTTGTGAACCCCAAGCGATCCAAGCTTGATTCCCTGTCACAGACCGCATCCAGTGGCGAGGGATGAGAACCGGTCCTGACCGGCATGGTGAAGTATGGTAGAAAAGCTCGCACGACTGACATGGCGGCGGTCATGGCAGATTGAGAATGACTCAAGTTGATTTATTTTACGCTATCAGCATTTCCTGTGCCATGATGTGATATAGCCAAAGGCTTTAAAGCTTCCGTTGCGTCAAATTGAAGCACACTATCACTACATTTATTGATTAATGTACTAAGTTTAAACAACCTACATTCGGCTTGCACAAGGTTAAACCAGTAGAATTGCATGCAAACATCGAAGGACATTGCATTGTCAGAAAAAAAAACGTAAATTGCATGCTGTTTTGTGAATAATTCATAGCAGTACAAAGAGAAGGCTCTCCGAAAAGCACTTGCTTACAAACTCCCTTGTCTATTCTGTCTACCTTCACCAACCCGCTCTGATCAGTGTGGCGAAGTTTAGTCATACAATCCCTATGACTCACACGGGCATGAGGACGCCTTCATCCAGCAGTGGATTGACAGAGTTGTGGGCCTACTTGTATTTGTACCATACATGGCACACGGTTTGAAACCATGTATATATTTATGTTGACATGGATGAGGTGTGGATAATAATAGATGTTGCCACCGATACTTTAAATTGGTTTTCTTTGGTTGTAAAATGTGGTTCGCACACTGCACTGTGTACCCTGTAATCCTGAATTCAGTTCCTGGCCCCAGTTACAAAACCAGTGGCAAGAGAGGCCCGAACCAGTCCTGGCCCACCTTCAACCAGCACTGAACATTTTGGTCAAGTATGGTCAATCAACCGGGAGACCTTTATCCAGTGTATAAACGGTTATATTTCAATTATTGTTATTGTTCATCAACAAAAGGGCTAAATTAGTTTGGTCATGGGGGGGGGGGGGGCAGTGCTCTGAAGTAATTTATAAACAATAAACTCCAACCTATGAGGCATGAACTTACAACTGTCGAAATTGGCCTCTGTGGAGGGTCAATGTCGCTGCTGCTGTGGGCTGACTTGAGCAAGTGTTCTTGTGCTAGCAGCTGCTGAAACACATCTTTATTCAAAATCAGAATCTTTATTTATACTGGAGGAATCTTATGAGCTCTAAATATATTTTTCTCAGATGTCCAGTAGGGATGGGTCAGAAAGTTGCAACAACAAACAATACGGTGCAAAGTATAGTAAAGGTAAGCACATCTATGTTTATTATGTTTATTATGTTTATTTTACCAGACTGGGAAGACAGTGGTCCACTGGTCCTCTGCTCCTACAGCACGGGAACACTTTACAAAGGTCCCCTTAATCCTGTGATGAAAGTAGAGCGTGAACGATTAGTCTGTTACATCGAAAAAGTCGACAAACATAATCGACTACTCTTTTCGTGGTCAATCACTCGAGACCCAACAAGCCACTCTCACTGGCTGCTGATGATGCCGATGACATCACCAAGCTGCACCCATCACCTCTCATCCAGCGGCACGCGTGGGAACAGGGGTGAGGTTTTTCTTTACCCCTCCCCCCCCCCCCAAATATTTTTCTGGAATCCGATGAGTCGAGAAATCAAACTGACAATCGGTAGTAATAGTAGGTTTTTATCCTTTTAACTGATACAACTTCAAGGACAGTGCATATTATTATCATTATGAGAGTTGTTTCTTTATGTTTGCTTTTTTGACTACTTGTGTTGTGGTCATTGCAAACATGATGCCTTGAATAAAGGTGTCAGTTTTGTACCAGTTAAAAGGATAAAAACCTACTATTATATTTTGCCACTGGTAAAAGAGATCTCTGAGTGACAATCGATAGATTAATAGATTACTTAAACGATCGGATAGCCCAACTCTATATTAAAGCCAGTGTAGTAGAAACATTGTAACACTCAACTCTTCTGATTATGGTTATGTAGGTTACATGATGTACATCTGTGTCCTCGTAGCATATTTCTTGCCTATAAACATTTAATGGTTGAACTTATGAACCATAATTTCATATTGAATACGAGCCCTAAGAATACATTTGATAGCGTTAAATGTGAGAATTGTATTTTGCGTTGAATGGTGTACTACAGCGTATATGGAGTGCTCTTATCAATGGCACCTGGCAATCCAGCAGCAATTAGCAAGCCTTAACGCCACTGATGAGATGGAGAAGGTCAAAACCAGTTCAGAGGTTGCTTTTGCTTAAGCAAATGCTGCTTGATAATGTTGGTCAGGAAAGGACAAAAGGCTGGTTTTTGTGCAAATGAAACCCATCCCGGTCTCTTGAGATCTTACCTGGATAAACAAATCAACGTGAAGACATCAGACAGGCTTCTGCTTATACATGTTAGTCAGTGTACTGCACTATGACTATGGAGACCTGGGTTCGATTCCTAACATCGGTGTTGAGCAATATCTGAACCAGTCTTGGGTCACCTTCACCAATCCACACTGACCAGAATGGTGAAGTATGGTCAAAAATATCCATGGCCGACACTGCGTGGGGAGGTCTTCATCCAGCAATTGATTGACAGAGAGCTGTAAATGATAAATGTTGTTTTATAAATGTTAAATTCTAAGCTGCTATCATTGCAAAATATGTATGATTCGTGTTTTTTTTTTGCTCATTTTTAAAAGGCAGATGAAGGGTAATGTAAAAAATTTAACCCGTAAAAACAAAGTTTTTCACAATAAATCCTTTATATGCGTGGCAGCTAGAGTCCCCTCGTCCTTTGGCTTGAGATGGTTGCCACCTATGGGTCAGATGATTGCCTGCCACCATTAAGCAATTGGTAATTAAGTAAATACATTTTTTTCCTAAAAAGTGTAAAGTTATGGAAAAAAAATTTTCACGAAAATAAATTGTCACGCACAACGAGTCTGTGTGCAAAATGTCAGCTCGATTGGATCACGGGAAGTGGGTTAAAAAACGACCGAAAGATTTGCACGGTCGTAAGCGCGCAAGCAAGCAAGCAAGTGAACTTAATATAAAGGATTTTAAAATATTGAAATCAGGTTTAGTGTGGGTAAAAGAATGGGAAATATACCACGTATCGTGTTTGGGGGGGTAATACAATCACAGTCTCTGCATAATAGATCAACAATGCAGCTGAATTGCTGCAGGGTAGTGCATTACCTCAACGAAAACCGTTTTGCTTGAGGTTAAATAGAGAATGCATAATTTTAATTTTTCATCATACTCTGCGAGGCTTCCGATAACAGTTGGCAAGCCTCGTGCATTTCAGCGACTTGCCCCCTGAGCCATGTAGCCAGAGGGAGCTGTATTTTTTTTTACTTTATTATCTCCAACAACTGAATTTTTAAAAACGGTTTTTATTGTTGCATGAAAAGGAAACTTACATAAAGTGTAATACAGGACACTGAGGTTCATCGTTTGTTGTTGCTGAAGGAAACGCTTCGGTATGTTGGTTGGTATTTTTTTTTATGAAACTCACCAATTACATCATATTTGAAGAAGTGAATTGGTGAAGCCAAAATGATAATCTTAAAGTGTATGATGATGATACTCCTGTGAAGAATTTGCATTTTTAGCTCTTCCGGTGTGTTTTTGGGTTGTACCGCGTGTTTTTTTTGGCATTATTTCGCCTCTTGAGCCGGGAGCTTCTTCAAGAACTGAAGATGGCACAGTTGGAAATACCTTCTTAGTAGTATATTAATTGCGCTTCGCTGTTTTTCTTGCAGAGGTCTTTACAGTTGGCTTCAGTTGGATCGTAGAGTCCTAGAACATGATTTCCCCAAGAAATCCAGATGTGTTGTGCTGAATTTCACCGTCAAGTAAGTGGCACCCTTACATACGTCTCTCATTGTTTATGCAATTTCATAAACGTTGAATGTGATTCAGGAATAACTACTGCATGTATTTTTGTTAACAATTCACTCATGCCTAAAGTTACCTTATTATGCTTACTTGGAAATAGAAAATGCAATTTTCAATTGAAACTTTTTATCATGTTTTTGTTATAATAATAATAAAGCGACTGTTTTGGCCTTTTACGACCGTTGATTTTAGCAGAAAAATTACATAATTAGAGTCAAGGAAAACCTAATATGTATACAAAAGCATACGTTAATATATACACTATATTTGCACTACCTGCTATGACACACAGTTCAGAAACATGGAACAAAAGCTGGAAAGTGCACAGAGCAGCATGGAGAGAAGCATGCTTAAGATTAGTTTGGGAGGTAAAAAGAGGTGCAAATGGATTAGAGGACATATACATGTTAACGACATAATCAAACCTATTAAGAAAAACAAGTGGGCTTGGGCAGGACACATTTCTAGAAGCAGTGATTGACAAATGGTGAAGAATAATAACAGAATAGGCAGGCACGGAATGGAATGGAACGCGCCCATCAAGGAGATGGAACGATTATATCAATTACTGAGCAGGATTGTGAGAGGTGGCTCCCGCTTGGGGAGGCTTGCATCCAACAGTGGATTGACCATGGCTGATGATGATTTATAGGCAGGCAGAGGGAAGGGAGGTTTAACAAAATCAATATCATGTGACAGAGAAGAGAAGAGCTCCTTAATCTGGATTTAAGCAGTCGGAGAAAATCGGAAGTATGGACAGTGCTTTCGATTTGTAATCTTTCTCTCCGAGATTGATGGGCGTTTGAGAGACCGAGAAGGCGCAGTGCTCGCTGGCGCAGAGGTATTAGAAGGAAGAGAGGGGGGCAGACGAGATGAGATAGGTGGGAAAAAGAGCGAGCGTGTAAAATACACAAAAAGGCAAAATAAATGCAGGCGTGCCGGTGAAAGGGAAGACAGTTGAGGAATGTGAAGATGTATTCAAGGATCTCTCTTTTTTTCCATGGGTTACAAATGAAGAGCCAACCAGCGTTGTTGTCTGAAAATGGGAGGTTGTGGACTTGAGAAAATTGTCACTTTTGTGCCATCCTTAATTTGTGTGCATTTTTTGTTTGCACATCTGCTGCCCTCTGGTGGCAGGGAGCCTGCAAATTCCTCCAGCTGGGCAACAAAGACTTGACAGTGAAACTAAAACTATGAAATACTTTTTTATTTTACCAGTTAAGGCACACTGAGCTTTTAGCTCTTTTTCCGAAACGATCTGGCCACAGATGATAGCTCAACGAAGTGGCTCATCATGTGGAAATTTATAGCAGCCAAATACTCTAAACACGTTTATAATTGTGGAGGGAAAGACCGGAGGGGCCGGTAGAAAAATCCACGGGGAGAACTTGCAAACTGCGAATATACAGGCGGCAGGGTCGGGATTGAACCCACGACCTCCGGTATATCAGGCGAGGTAGTTAACATCTCATAGCCACCGTGCAGCACGGAATTACGTTATTACCATACTCTTAGGTTTTTTCGGTAAAGTCACGCAGGTAAAAAACATAAAATTAAAAGTTAATAAAAGTAATAATGGAAATAAAATAATAAATCACGACGTTTCGGAGGCAACACAAGTCTCCGTCATCAGGTGGGACCGTCACAGCTAAAATTACCGCAGTAATTATATTTATTACCTATGTGACTTTACCGAAAAAACCTAAGAGTATGAATCCTTGCAGTCACGAAAGCTTCAAATCTAGAATTACGTTATTACCATTCCCCTAGGCATGTCTGGGCTTTTGAGGACCAATTCACACATTTTCACGAGCTCGTGGAAAGGATAGCAACCACAAGGCATCGCTGTGCTTACAAATATAAACGTGCTTCAGATGAATCTTCTCAACATTGTGTATGTCATCTTCGCGTAACAAATATTCCCCGTTTTTAAGATGCCAAGAGCATGGTGGTCAATAAGGAAAACTGGACACCTAAAGTAATTGAGATTTAAATCTGCACATGAGGTTGGATGTGCCTTGATGATTATTAATAGTGTTCAAGTGTCTTTTCTAGACGGGCTCGTGTTAGCGAGCTAAATGAACTGATGCACATCTTTTTGGTTCTTTCGGTAAAGTCACGTAGAAGGGAAATAATATAATAATAAAAATAAACATTATTTTATTATTATTTTTATTTCCCTTCTACGTGACTTTACCGAAAGAACCAAGAAGATGAATCCCTGCAGTCGCGAAAGCTTTAAATCGAAATTTAGTTACGTTGAGATAAATTACCAGGCAGCCAAAACGTAAGTTTTTCTAAACGCGTTTAAGGTCAATAGCGTGTTGCTTAATGTTTGCAGGTTTTACATCGAAAGCGTTGCGTACCTGCGGGAAAACACAGCTGTGGAGCTCTTCTTCTTGAATGCGAAAACCTGCATATCCAAAGTGAGTATCACATTCCATGTGGAGACAGAGATCCTTCTTTGCCACTGTGTAGGCTGCCGCAGTTGGACTCTACCGCTCCCTAATGTGGTTCCGGCTTGCTCCGTGTGTTGTTCGGCATGGCGGTCCACGTGCCGAAGAAGCTCCCAGACCATGCAGCGAAACATCGGAAATCCTCCCGAAGAACGCGCGATTACAACCGGACATGCTTTGGAGTGCTATGAGTTCTTGTCTCATCGTCATTACCATGTGTGGCAGAAGCATCAACATATTTATCATTTGATAATGTTCACCAGGTTTCCTGTTGACAATACAATAGATTGTACAACTCAGTGGGATTACAGATGGTTCTCTGACTGAATGGGTTTTGGAGAATTCTAATAAGATTGAACATTTTAGTTTTAGGCATCCCAAGCACACATTTTTTATGGTTCGTATATTTGTCTGTTCATCAACCAGTTTGTCTTGTGTTTGTGTGTTAATGAATGAATTTGTTTAGGGAGTCGTGAAACGTTTCTAGACATTCTTGGGAAAGAAAAAAAGATTGTAGGGAGTGAATATTTGACAACCGACTGTTAAAGTGCATTTGCAAGACAGAGCACTGCGTGTGCAGTCACTAACACAGGCGCAGCACCTTGGCAGTGAAAATACTAATAGCTTCCTAATGCAAATTACAGCAAATCGCTGCTCTATATTTCTAGCTAATTGCACCAAAGTGGGCCCTTGTACGGAAGAACTTGGTGCGCACGCGAGCAGCAGGCTGGCACGTGAGAAATGCCCGTTCCACCACCCCCCCTGTGGCGAAGGAGATGCCATCAATCTCTCGGGCAAACACGTTTGACATATTTATGATTGCCAGGTTCAAATAACGCGAGCAGATGGCAAGGAACATTACACTTCGGCGCCATTACCGGAATCAATAAAATAATTATGTCGTAACACTTTGAGACATGAAGTTATAATGATCCCCCTCTGCTGCAATAAGAAGCAAGTAATTCCCCTCCCCAACTTCGTATGCCTCTTCATCTCGACAATCGTTTTCACTTCTGTGGCGTGTGCGATATTTCTGATAGTGTGTCGTCCGTATTGGCTGTTCCTATGTTAATTTCTCAGTCTTCTAATGTGTGCAAATCGATCTACCCACGTTTGTTTTTGCACACCCGATTATTTATATATACATAAGCTCACGCAGTAAAGAAACTGCATAGTGCTGTTTTTATCTTCACGCTGAAGACATCTGGGCGGATTCTGTGTGTGTCGTTTGTTTTGTTTTGCAACTTTTACCAAGCGTGTCGAGTGAAATAGCTGAACTTGTTTTGCTGAATTGGCTTCATTGAGCCACGTAAGTTGTGGGTAAGAAAAATGACGAAAATAACCAATGAGCAACAGAGACCACCTTGTTAACTCGAATCTCGGCAATGATTTGGCACTAAAAATCACATTCTATAGCTCACTGGTTTTAAAGCTGATGCATAATTCAAGCCACTGGTGCGTAACGTTTTGCACTGCTTTGATGTTTGCGGAGGATTGCATTTGCCGTGTGCGGTACACTCTAAATAGCTTTGACCTCTGCATGCATAACGAACCATTTGCAGCATTCTATTGTGTAGAAAATTCGCTACATTTTAGCAAGAATAACAATAATACGGGCTTTTGCGCCTTTATCACCGGGGAAACCAGCATTGTGTTCTACAACTGCGAAGATTTTTCGCGGTTGTGCTGTCCAGCTCTTCGATGCATTTTCGGGCCTCTACTGCGTATCGTTCGGCAGTGATGTCCGACGTTTTGCTGCGTGTGTTGGGAGCTTCGTCGAGGAAACTTCAGGAAGTGAATATTTACAAAAAAAACTCCCAGAATGTGGAGTGACACATCGGACATCGTGTCCCTTTATGTGTTTGCTCCTCAGTGTCTGCAATGTTCATGGTTTCTACGCCGTCGTAACTTCCGTTGTTTTCACCAAGGCCCTCTGCGCGGGTCATTCTGGTGAAGCGGCTTAAGGTTGCATGTTTCTTGTCTGCGTCAACAAAATAAAATCAATCTGTCAACACGTGCCACTGCACGTGCTGGGAACTCTTTCAGGAACCGGGGATACAGTGCCGTATTGATTCCCCGAAACATTTGCCCCAGCACGAGGCGCAGACATCTTGCCGAACAACGCGGGCTACCATCGTCGACCCACTCTTGACAAACGCAGAACGGTGTTTGTTTTTCACCACCGTCCGCTGCCCGCTGCACGGTCGGGAAAACAACAAGAGCAGAGCGTGTCGGGGTGCGGGGGGGGGCAAAGCTACCCGCCGAGCGGCACTTGAGAGCAGAGGTCGCAAACGGGTTTTGATTCCTTACCCGTACCCGGCCGCACCAGGGTCGCAAACGGGTACCCGTACCCTACCCGGCCGGGTACGGGTAGGGTACGGGTATCGGGTACCTGATTGCGACCTCTGGGATGAAGCCATGTTGCAGGCGCGGGTAGGTTGATTCTAGGAACTTGAATTGTGAGAAGAGACAAGACGTTGGGAAATGAGTGACAAACAGTTACTCACCAGTGACTCATGGCCTACCCGTACCCGTACCCGGCCGCACCAGGGTCGCAAACGGCTACCCGTACCCGGCCGGGTACGGGTAGCCGGGTATCGGGTAAGGTACGGGTATCGGGTACCCGGTTGCGACCTCTGCCTGAGAGACACGCGATGCCTGGGAGCAGCTGCCCACCCCTGGTAGGGTGGGAGGGGGGGGCTGCCACGGTGGCGAAATGTTAACTACCTCGCCTGGTATGCAGGAGGTCGTGGGTTCGATTCCGACCCTTGACGCATGTAGATGTGGAGTTTGCGTGTTTCTCTTCACTGTGGACGCGTGGAATGTTATCCGGGTCCTCAGGGTTTTCCCGCCCCATTTAGAAACGTGCGTTTGGAGTATTTGGTTTGCTATACATTTCCACGTGATAAGCCACTTTTGTTGTTGAGTTATCAATTGTGGCCAGGTCGCTTCTGACGAAGAACTATGTAGCTCAGTGGGCCATAACTTGTGAAATAAAAAATATTTTATTTTTATCTCTGGGCATTAGCGTTGATGGGACTTGGGTGATAATTTAATGTTCTTTTATTTATTTCAGTACGTAATTGATTATTCATCTTTGTGTTTTTCTTTTTTACTTCTATTTGTTGAATTTGATGGGTATTTTAATGGGTCGTATAATTAGATGTTAGCTTGCAACACTTTCAAGTCATTTTATGGCTTAAACGTGCAGACTTTTACACTTGTTTAGCAGAGGAAGTGTTAACACATCGTTTTTTTTACCAACCACATATCTTTACCGTGGTGAAGGATCCACTTTGCCGTTGTTTTCAATGAAGTGCCATTTGAAAACATTACATAGTGCAGTGAATTATAGTGTGCTCAATAGGGAGATATGGTCAAATCTGTAAATGAAGAGAAAAATGCATAAAAACTAAATTATATTGTGGGCTGGAAAAATATGAGATTCAAACAGGACCCAAAAATGTGTTAAAAGCACACAGCCAATTGTGCATTATGCAACAACCCAGTGCTAATTGGGATGGAACCGGTCCACAGTTGTCTATCATTGCATCACTGCTTCTATCAGTCGGTCACATTTACTCAAATGTATATTTTGTTTTATCTAAGACGAGGACCACAATGTACTTTTTCAGGACATGTTGATGTTTTTTTTTTGCATGTGCACAAATAGCCGTGTGCTTTTTTACATTTGTGCGCCTTGTTTGGAACTTAGGGAAAGAGGGTATAAATCTGTTGATATCGTTCATCTCCATAGTAACGATCTTCCGGCAAGAGGCAGAAGCAGCAATGACTTTGCTTGCCTAGTTTTGCATACTTGTAAACTGTATTACTTTTGGTGGGTTGCACAAAGCACAGCAGCATGGATTTGTGTTTAAAATCGTGGCATTATTGTGGAACTCACAACGTGGTCATGCCGATAAAAGTGCATGCAAAAATATTACATATTCATGAATGAAAAAAATGTTAGTTGATACAAAAAAAATTACTGCAAGGGAAATACGTTGAAATAAGTGGCTTGTTGCAAGAATATCTGTAAATTGCATTTTCTCTGCCAGTTTGGGGTCTTGCGCATTTGTTAACTGGACATCTGTAAAAAAGAGCTCCATAGGTTATCGGATTCCTCTGGTATAAATACAGATTCTGATACTTTTTAATAACAACAGAGAACACTCAGCATACTAATAACCCATATCGTGGCTTTTTCTCTTCAGAATCTCACAAATGTGAAGCTATTATTTTTACAGCATATGCACCACTTCTGAACAATATTTTAAGAATGCTGCAATGCCATACGTAATAATCACAATGCATCGTATTTTACGTGTGCATTTATTGGTGAACGAAGAGTTTATCTCTATGCTGTGGAGCATGCAACTATTTCTGTGTTATCAGCCATCAATAATAGACAATGTAATGCATTACTCCATTGTCCGTGAATTACTCCAATGTCTCATTCATACAATCTCTGTTGTAAACATTATTAATAAATAATACACAATTACATTTGCCATAAATATATTGTGTGTGTATATATATAAAAGATGTTTCGATCAATGGGGTAGTGGTTATTGTACTGTACTATGAACCAACCGACCTGAGATGAATTCCCAGCCACTGCCAACAATCGGTCGCGAGTGAGAATACTATTATCATATCCAGTACAATGTAAGTATCCAGTAGGGTATCTGGGAGGATGTCTACCGATGAGATGGACCAATGAGCTCAGTTCGAGTGAAGGTTCGGGATGCATTGTTGCAATGCACGATCGCTCAAAGAGGTGGTAAAGGCATGGGGAGGCATTGACCAAGGATGATGATGATATAAATAACAAAGATAACTAGGTAAAAGGTCACTTTCATGCAGGTGATAAAGCACCTGACATAAAATAGCCAATTGTGATGGTTCAACCCAACTTCTAGCTGTAGATCGTAGCAGTTGTTTCTGCTGCCCTTAGACGCATTAGGAATAATGCACGCGTTGTTCTGTTTCAACTGCCAGCCTCTTTTCCCCAGGGGTAACCGGCCGTTTTGAGACTATTAGATTTGAGCCAATAAAACTTCATTGGGAAAGTACTTTGTGAGCCTTTGCTTGGGTTGATTTGTTTTAATAATCCTGATTTAACAATCCTTAAGCTGAACCCCCACTGTGTGGTAAATTGGGAGAGGTCCATTCCCCACATCCATTACGACCGCTCACTCTCTGTTGCATAACCTCATCCATGAATCCTAAATACCGCATTATCAATACAACGTTTATTTTATTTGTGATTGATTTTGTTCTCGTAACTTTTTGTGAGTAGGTCACGGCCTGTCTCCAGGGCTCCTTCCACCAGCAGTGCCGTGAGCAAATACATCACAGAGCGGCACCTTTACTTTTTAAGTTTTACTTTCACATATTGCTTCACCAAACACGTAAAGATCATATAGTAGTAGGTTTTTACCCTTTAAACTGGTACAAAACTGACACCTTTACCAGTTTAAAAGGTAAAAACATGCTACTATATTTTGCCACTGGTAAAGGAGGTCTCATAACGTAAAGATGACTTTTAAACATTTCAGAATTTTCCGTTAAATACTTCCTGAATTACCACGTTGTGCATTGGAGTGAGTATTCCCATCAAACTTTCAGTGACGCCGAATTCTTTTGCAAATCTACACTATTTAATCGCTGAATGGAACATGTCCGAGAGCACCTCCACAAAGGAGAGGGAGCGATGAAATCGATTTGTGTGCAGGCACTCCGTACCGTATTACATCGCAGGGTTGTGAGGCGTCACGGTGTTTTGGGGAGGCTTTAATCCAGCAACGCATTTACCAAGGCTGGTGATGCCAATAATGATGACAATAATTATGGGTTTGATTGATGACCCTCGCTCTATGTTCCAACCATGCTACTTGGACATGATTAGATAGATAGCTACTTATCTTTATAATTATTCTTTTTCCTCGCAGTTATAATTATGTATTTTTCTATATATGTAATCACTTTTCTGAAAATATGTTCTTTAATACATTGATAAACTGCAGGAATTTGAAAAGAAAAATCGGTTGTTACTTTCCTCCATTTTTCACTGTTTCTATCAGCTTGTTATTGCAGAGTATCTTTAGATAATATTACATATATAGGATCACCTCAGCAACATATGTAAAATATTTGCAACATGTTACATTAGGTAATCTATTTAATCCAAATGCATTATAATATGGTTTCTCCATGAAATGACGGAATTCACAAATAACAATGCTTCTTGTAAGAATTGACCATTTCTACCTTTCCTGAACATAAGATATTTCTTGTGTCTGTTCCCGCTTACAAATAGTACGTGTTAATCCGTTGTCATGTTTCCGAGTCTCTGTCCTGTACCCTTCTCTGTCAGAAAATGTGTTTTGCATTTTGTATTCCTTCTTGCGAAACGTTTAACAACATTCTGGCCTTGTAAGTTTATTGCACATTCCTGTTGTTATTCTGACTGATTTATAGTAATTGTGATGCATTCACTTCCGTAAATATTCTAGAAAACACATTTGCATTAGTCTCATTGCACCGGAGCACTGCATTTCAGCTAAACAAACACAATAGGCATCATGTGAGGCTTTAACTAATTTGCTACAAAGCTTTGTCATCATATGGCTGGTATTGCAGGTGGTTACGATTAGGACTATAATCATTACGCTGTTTATGTGATGGGAATTCCTGGGTGTGGATGTGTTTAGGAGTGGAATGGGGTCTGTGGAGAGAAGTTGTTATTCTGGGTGGGCTGGCACTTGAGGAGGAGGGTGGTGTCTGTTCACCAGATGGAGATCATTAATATCGGCTAAGCATCTACACTGCTCCATAATTAAGTTAAAATAGACAAGCTCCCTCCTACTAAGCTTCTGATAATCTGTAAACTATGTTATCTTTATATAGACTGTCGACATTTTCCTCTATCAGTAAATTATTTTTGGCGACCCGTCGAACAAAGACGGTCACTGCATCGCGTGCTTTCAGATGCGCTTCTGCGGCCGTCTGGAACGCTCTTCCTTTCAGTATTAGGCAGCCCCTGGCGCTATGCACGTTTAAATCTAGATGGAAAACTAATTTATTTAGAACTGCCTTCTGTGTTTAGTTTACTGTCCTTCCTCCGCACCTCCGATGTAACACGGTTGGCTACACACGGTACAAAAGAAGTACAACACACATACAATGATCTATATTTTCACTTATCTTTTTCCCTAAGTTATATGACTTTGGTGCCCATCGCCATAAGCGACTTTGCTCATAACAGGGCATTACGAACTGCAAAGACTCTGCTGTATAGCTCTTGGGTGTGTTTTCGGGTTGTGCTGCGTTTTTGTTTGGCATGATTGTACGATGTTTCGCTCCAAATTCTGAGAGATTCTTGCGGGTCTCACCAATTCATTTCCTGAAGAAGCTTCAAACACGTGGAGTGAAACGTCAGACATCGTGCCATACAACACGTGGTAGAGACAACTCTAGAATACATCAGAAATGTCATTACTGAGAAATTAAACCTTAATGCGAAATTTGCTTGTACGAGGGTGAAGGCAATGTAGTTTTGACTAAATTCAGTCATTCCACCCATTTGTAAATGTTTCCATGATTCGTATGCGTGTTGAACTTCCTTCACACTGTACGCAACCAGCCTTGCTCATCACAGGGGCGGGGAAAGGACAACAAACTAAACATAAAGCAGTTCTAATGAAATGCGTTTTCAATCAAGTAAAACATTTTTTTATTGATACAGTTGTCACCATATTGCAGCCTCATTCTTTCATATATTGTGTCTCTTTTATACTCCCTCATAAAACGAATAAATATCTCACAGCACAATGTTCTTCTCATATACAATTTACACACATCTGCATACATCTAGAGAGAGAGAAAAACATATTGCAAATGAGTTACCAGGATTATGCTCCATTTCCTACATACATAAGTCCACGTCGTACTGAACGTTTGCTATGATTTACTCCATTGGAACCTCATTTGCCAGTAATAAATATGATAATTGTTTTTTTACCCTTCTATCTGGCAAAAAAACTGACACCTTTTTTTTACAAGGAGTCATGTTTACATAGACCATAATACCTGCAGCCATAATGCAAACAAAAAACATAACTCTGATAATATATGAACTGTCCTTGAAGTTGATTGGTCCACACCCGAGACAGCTTTCCTTGAGCCGAGTCTCACATGGTGTTGGACCAGATGACGTCAAAAGGCGCACGAGCGTGCCTTTTTGAGGTATTGTGATCTATGCAAACATGACCCCTTGTAAAAAAAAAGGTGTCAGTTTTGTTGCCAGATAGAAGGGTAAAAAAACAATCATCGTTTGCCATGATATTACGAGGTCAGTTCGGCTGTTGCGTTGTTAGTTCTCGGCGTCGCGAACGTCGTCGGAAAAAAATGCCGCGCAACGAGTTTGGAATCTGTGCAAGAGCGTTCATTGTTTATTTGCACGCTTCATCTATACAATATTTAGCTCCAGTGCAATATGTACCGTTCAGCGTATTTAAATGCCAGGTTTACTGAATGATACCCCCCCCCCCTCCCCATCGCTCTACGATTTGTCCTGACGCATGCTGCAAGATGTTGTAGCCACTGTCATCACAGCTGCTTCCAGCCAATGGAATTCCCCAAAACTCGTGCCTGACATCCCCCCCCCTCCATGATGACCTCCCTGTACACCCACACTTGGGCTAACACGAGTGAACATATTTTCTTAGCGTTCCCCCCTCCCCCGTTCTTCCTGTCGAGAGCGATGGGCCGTGCCGCCGGGTATCAGTGTCTGACTTGGCAGAGCAGTCGTCCTGATGATGATCGGTGTGAGATGCACACACACTGACTGACTGAGTCTGCCTCGCGACTTTGCGTGTGTTTTCCTACAGGGGATAATTGAAGTGGACAGTGAAACGGCTTTCGAACTCTCTGCGTACATACTCCAGGTATGCTTTGTTTGTGTATTACGCGTGAGTGTTTTCACGTGAGGTCGTGCTGTGGTTAGCGCGCTGCGCTTCGAACCTGGCGAACAGAGTTCAAATGCCCGCTCAAATGAGTGTGCAAACATACTCTTAGATTTTTTCGGTAAAGTCACGTAGGTAAAAATAAATAATAAAATAATAGAAATAATACTAGAAATAAAATATTATTTACAAAATATTATTTCCATTATTATTTCTATTACTTTATTATTTATTTTTACCTACGTGACTTTACCGAAAAAACCTAACAGTATGATTCCTTGCAGTCACGAAAGCTTCAAATCTAGAGTGTGTAAACATTGCCACGAGGGAGACAAAGGCGGCCGGGTTCTGTGCCAGCCTTCATAGGTCCTCACTAACAGTGCTTGCCTCAAACGGCTGTTATGGCTACACGGTGGAGCTTTGCCTTGTCTTTGTGTGAATGTATGTTCATGGCAAGAGAGAATATACCCATGCGAATAAATGCATTGTTTTTAAAGCTTTGCAACTAACGTGGGAAGCGTTCATGCATCTGCTTTGTGGGCCAGTCTTTTCTGTGGCTTTAACAACACGATAACTCTTGTAGTAAAGAAGATGCAATGTAAATCAAAGTTCCGTGTAATTTTAATTATAGTTCTGCGAATCATTGAGCCTCCTTTTAATCTGTCAAAGAAGCGCGCATTTCGGCCCAACGCTGTTGGGAGTCGGATCTGAAAAGAAATCCTCCTCGCACTGATGATGTCTGTAGTAGTGGCACGTTACACGTGTTCCTGCTGTACGTACCGAACGTGGGGTCAGTGAAGCAAGCTGGCAGCTGCGGTGTAAGAGATGTGCTGAAGCAGCTGGGAGCATTGCGCTAATCTGCATGTAACAGCTGAGAGCCCCGCGAACGGAGCTGTTGCAGTGTGTGCGTGTGTTTCAATGGGAGTTGGGATATCTGTGGAAGGAATAAGGAATTTTGAAAAAGTACAAAACTTTAGCAAGCTGTGTCAATCGCCAGCTGTGACACCGGCACGCGAGGACAGACTGAATAACGCGTTAGTCGGAAGTATTGACTCAACATTTCCACCGACGGTAACGCAAAGACGAATGTCACGTAGGTGGGAGAAAGGGGGGTGAAGGTGATGCTTGCTTTGCACGCTGTTAATAAATCACATGTGCTGTGTTTCTTTTCTCGTCTGTAGTGCAGAGGTCGCAAACGGGTTTTGATTCCTTACCCGGACTCGTACCCGGCCGCAACAGGGTCGCAAATGGGTACCCGTACCCGGCTGGGTACGGGTACCCGTTCCCTACTCGTACCTTACCCGAAATGAGTGACAAACAGTTACTCACCAGTGACTCACGGCCTACCCGTACCCGTACCCGGCCGCACCAGGGTCGCAAACGGCTACCCGTACCCGTACCCGGCCAGGTACGGGTAGCCGGGTATCGGGTAGGGTACGGGTATCGGGTACCCGGTTGCGACCTCTGCTGTAGTGTTCTAACATTACTGGGTGAGAATATTGACCGGTGCAGAGGGCGTGTGGCCCCCATTTCTCCGTGCTGCTGCAATGTTATCGGGCAGAACAGAAATTGTTTTTGGCTTCTCATGGTTGAATTGCCACTTCCAGATTCTCCCTCCTGCTCCTCACGTCTCGCTATTTCCTTGCACCACCCTCCCACCTCCCCCTCCCCTCTCTCTTGGCTTTCTCTGCCTGCCAATCCGTTAATACGACAGTAATTGGTCCTTCCTAGCAGTTTTGGCTGGTCACCAAAGTGTCTTGTTTTCCGAAGCACATTTCTGAACTTACAGCAATATTGAACTACTGTAAAGTATGTAAGGTCCCATGGTGTACAGGGCAGTCTCCAACTCATTATCCACCCTCTCTCTCTGACCTCTCTAGTTATGTGCAATGGAGAAGAGCCATTGCCCAAACCGTCGCCTATTATATATTTTTCCTTTTGAGGCAGTGTTATTTACGAATGTTATGAGGTTTCTATTTGTATATACAGTATGCGTGTAAACTAATGCATTTTGGGGGTAAAGGGGGCGGTGATTGTGTTTGAAAGCAAGTGTGAAATGGGGTGCCATGGTGGCGAAATGTTAACTGCCTCGCCTGGTATACAGGTCGTGGGTTTGATCCAGACCCTGACGCCTGTACATTTGGAGTTTTCGTGCTCTCCCCGTGGTCACGTGGATTGTTTTCCGGGTCCTACGGGTTATCTCTTCACATTTAGAATCAACGTGCGTTTCGAGTTTTGCTGCTACGAATTTCCACATGATGAGCCACTTCGTTTAGTTATCTTTTGTGTCCAGGTCACTTCTGAAAAATAGCTACATGTGGGCCTTACCTGGTAAAATAAATAGTTTAGTTTAATGAGAAGTACACTCACCGAGGCTTAATATTATAGACTGCCAGTACACTCACCAAACGTAATAACCAGGCTACAGTCTACATTATAGACTGCCAGTACACTCACCAAACGTAATAACCAGGCTACAGTCTACATTATAGACTGCCAGTACACTCACTCAGATTAAGAATCAGGCTACAGTCTACATTAGTGGTTTTTAAAATAAAATTTATTTCAATTCACTTTATTCTTATTTTTATATCTACGTGACTTTACCGAAAGAACCAAAGAATATGAATTCCTGCAGTCACGAAAGTTTTAAGTCCAAATGTAAGGGCTTTAAGTGTTGCTATTGTCTGTTTGAGAGGCAAACCAGGTCTGAATGTGTGATGTTTTTGAATTCCTCTTGCAGGAGGCTGCTGGAGACTACACCTGGTGAGTCAGCATTGTTATCATCAGTGGCATCATCAACTGACTGGACACTCTTGCATGTTCAGACATATGTTGATGTAGTATCTGGTATACACTAGAATATACCTACCAAGTCCAGCATCGTTATCATCTCTGGCATCATGAGCTACTTACACACTTGTAAACATACAAGAAGTACACTGATACAGTATCTAGTATACAATAGACTACCGTGTGAGTCAGCATTGTTATCATCGATGTCATCATAAGCTACCTGCGCACTCGTAAACATACAAAGATACACCGATATCGTATCTAGTATGCAAGAGACTATAACGTGTGAGTCAGCATTGTTATCTTCTATGGCATCATCAGCCGACTGAACACTTGCAATGTACAAAGATAGACTGATATAGTCCAGGAGGACGTCTGCCAAGGAGATGGGGTGATAAAAAATTAACCCGTAAAAACAAAGTTTTCACTATAAATCTTTTATATGCGTGTTCAATGGGCCACAACCCAGCCCACATTGGTCTTTTAAACGGGCGGCTAGAGTCCTCTCGTCCTCTGGCTTGAGATGGCTGCCACCTATGGGTCAGATGATTGCCTGCCACCATTAAGCAATTGGTAATTAAATATAAAAAAAATTGTCCTAAAAAGTATAAAATTTAGGAAATTTTTGTTCACGAAAATACATTGTCACGCACAACGAGCCTGTGTGCAAAATGTCAGCTCGATTGGATCACGGGAAGTGGGTTAAAAAACGACCGAAAGATTTGCACGGTCCTAAGCGCGCAAGCAAGTGAACTTAATATAAAGGATTTAATAAAAAGAAATAAAAGTATTTTACAATGCAAGATTTTTTATTTGACCTTCTGATTAAAAAACACATCTTAACACGCGTTATTAAATACATTTCCAAAGTCATAAATTGATGGAAATCTCTCTATGCATGCACATATTTAGTACATTTTCCACACACACATACAGCGCACTATCTCTCTGTATATACGGCCCGTGGGTATATTTATTCATTTTTTATATCAATAATGTAGAACCCCCACAGGGAAAAAATTTCCATCCTTGTGCCACTTTGACGGCCCCTGGTACTTGATTGATGTCGATGTTCCAGCGAAGGGGACAGGTGTGAGATGAGTGATTTCCACCGACGCCAAAGTTGAAGCCATGAAACTCGCTGTGCTTGCTTTTCTTGCTCTGCTTGCTCGGCAGGAATTTAATGGATGACCACAGAGGCGTCGGATTCAATGCAGTTTGAGCGTGTACCGGCCTATGCGACCATTCAGCTGCACATGTTAATGATACTTTTCTTGCGTACGTCATTCTTGAATGTATGTTGAACCTCTTTCGCACCATACATATGCTAATCAGAGGTGCGGAGGAAGTGCAAAAAACTAAACACAAATCGGTTTTTAAGAAATAAGATTTCAAACTCGGTTTAAAAGTGCAGATCTATGGTGGCTGCCTTATTCGTATTGTTTTCATCAGCCATGGTCACTCCACTGCTGGATGAAGGCTTCCTCTTTCTACTACCACCTCACGATTTAGCAATTTAATAATCCATCTAGCACTTGCTCACGAACTAATTTAATCCTTCCATCTCCCCAGTGGCCGTCTTCTTGCTCATTAATTTATGTACTTAAGCTTTATTGGGTAACAGCAGAGAATGGAAGTGTTCAATCTCAAGCATTTAATGTGATTCATTAGCCACTGCAATTAGGACTCCTAGATTATTTACATTTCTAATTCATCTACCATTAATTCTGTGAAGCACGATGACTTGTTCGTTTTATCTATACGTTAAACAAAGCTAAGTTACCGGACAAATGTGCTCATTAAACTATCATTATTAAAGATAAACATGGTGATGAATGCATGCAAAGGGTATGAAATAAAATGTATTTAAATATTTTAAGAGACCATTTTTAGTAGGATTATTTTTACAATGCTGCAAGCAATGGCATTTTCAATCATTAAAAAATAATGTCCAATGTTGGAATAAATTTTCAATTGATGTGTGGCACAGGCATAAAAACCAGTGATTTATATGTATTTTTTGTCATGAAAAGCATGTCAGATGGTTTAAAGTTACATCAAGTGACCGTGAAATCAGCCCTCTCCATCCTGTGCACAGGCATTTTGTCTACAGCTGTCGGAAGTGCAGTAGACTGGAATGATGAATGATTTCAAATTAGTTTAATCCAAGTGTGTGATTGCAGTTGAAGTTTTAATCTCTGGTTGTGCCTGAAATAAATTACATGGCCTCCACTTAGCAGATTTGTGGGTTTTTTCCCACCCATGTGCATACACGCTAGGGTATTAAGTTGTGAAATTGAAGAGCTTGGTAAAAATTTGTTCCAATTTGTCACTCTATACTCTTTGGTTTTTTTGGTAAAGTCATGTAGGTAAAAATATATATATAAAATAAATGAAAATGAAAATTTTTAATTAAATCACGACGTTTTGGAAGCAACACAAGCAACCGTCATTTTATTTGTTTTCATTAAATGTTTTATATTATTTTACCTACGTAACTTTACCGAAAAAACCAAAGAGTATGGATCCTTGCAGTCACGAAAACTTCAAATCTAGAATGGTCACTCTATCCCTGCGTGCGTGCATGTGTTGGTAGTGATGACGCAGTGAGGTCGGAATTGAAGACCCTTCCTCCTCTTCCCACACTGCTACTGAAGGAACACCCCTCGATCAGCTACTGGTGAGTGCTGTCATCTGTCCCTTCACTCCCTTTCCAAATCTTTTCACTCCATCATGCGGAAACCAACGTCAAAGTGATTTCCTGCCAAATCAAATGAGCATGGAGGTGGTGTTCATCTCCTGTTCACAACCCTGAGCCAGTGATAGGAATTTCCACATTCCTATGGGAGTGATGAATTTCTCCACGAGACAAGAAATGTTGAATTCCTCACAAAGTGGTGCTCACTTTATCGAACCCGGAAAGATGATGGGCTGAGTCATCCGCCAACCAGAATTTGAACTGGTGACCTTCCAATTGGGAACACCTCACTCTGCTGCTAAGCCGCAGGGAAATCACCTTTGGGTAAATGAAGAAATATATACTATTTGTGTTACATATATATATATTTTGAAACCCATATGCATATATGTATGAAATAGTAATATGTATGCTAAATAGTGCCTTCAGTTTTATGGAATCCCTCTTGGCTTGAAAAGGGGTGTCGTGCTCAGCATACATTTTATACACTCGCCGAGATTTACCGTCGTCATAAAAGTAGAATGAAATCCAGAGTCCCTCCAAATGCTCCGTCAAATTTACCGCACCTCTTTCGAACAATGTGATCATTCTCAAATAAGTCTCCACATTTGCGGACCACATGCACGGAGCACTTTACGTGATTTGGTATAGAATAAAACGGTATAAGTGGGCACTGCCTGTGGTGCAATGGTTTTAGGACACTGGACGAGCAATCCATAGGTCACCAGTTCAGTTCTGTCTCCCGGTTTGGCAGTGAAAACAACGGTGCAATGTTTCTCAAATCCCCATGCCGGATCCACCCAGCAGTTCACATGGGTCCACCACAGTTCGTCCATCGGCAGGTCACGTGTGATGACGTAAAGGGTGGGTACTTCCACTTCTTCCAACACGTCTGGTCTAGAATGGAAGAGTAGGCCAAATGCACCGTCGACTTTTCCGTCGTGGAAGCTCTTCTGAACGAGCAATTTCAGAGTGGCAACTTCATGTTATATTTTTAAAAATCTAAAATGCATATCTCCACGATGAGTGAACGTGGACGTCGTAAATAATGCGAGAGGCATTTTTAAGACCCACAGGTAGCATCACAGATTATGCACGTGAGATGGGGATATTGGTTGTTTTGAGACTGTTCAAATATTGATGCAGGGTAGTATTTGGATTGTCAACCAACACCGGTTACAACAACGAGTGCACCTATTGTTCTCTTTTAGCCCCGCCCACCCCCCCAACACGTTCCATTCATTGGCTACCAGATTCAGATTAGCCCCTCCCCCTTAACTTGTAATTAAGGGCTTGTCTCTTGGAATTTTGCCTCACTTGATACAGTAAATCTAGCTGTGACGGTCCAATCTGATGACGGAGACTTGTGTTGCCTCCGAAACGTCGTGATTTATCATTTTATTTCTATTCTTATTTCTATTATTTTTATTTTTTATTTTTACCTACGTGACTTTACCGAAAAAAACCTAAGAGTATTAATTATTGCAGTCACGAAAGCTTCAAATCTAGAATTAGTAGCAGAACATTGTTGCAGGTGAAGAGTTGAATCTCCAGATTTAAATGATCAAATTGTATTTCTCGGCCTCCCTTCACTCTGACAGAAGAGTGGGCGGGCTGTTATCACTGCTGGATAAAGAGTGCTTGCTTTGCTGGTGGATATTGAGCAAACCTTTACTGACCCGCCCCCGAGTGTACATATTGACAGTCGATGTATAGGATTGCCAAAGTGAGAAATGTGTCAGGAATGTGTTGCTTTACCTCGGGTTAAAGAACCTAAGTGTGTACAAACAGCGCCAAAAATCAAGGAATTGACTTTTTTTGCAAACAATGTGTGTTTTGTGTCGTTGAATGGCAGGCAAAGTGAGGCTGTTTTTTATAGTTGGGTTTAGCCTTCCAATATCTTGATACCAGTGTTACAAGAAGTGGTATTAAATGTATTACTTTCTCTGCTCTACCTATAGAAAATTTGAGTTCTATACATCAGTCTTTATTCTCATAAATATAACCAATTTAAATATAAACACATCATAGGAAGTTCGTGGGATGCTGAATGCATTCTACATAGTACTGTATGTCATTGCCTTGTTCTCTGGGAAAAATAGAGTTTAGATGGAAAACAATACGTGTAGTTTAAAGAACAATATACAAGAACAATTAATATTAATTTTACGTGAAAAATAAATTGGAGAATATAATTGTTAAAATCGTTCACCTGCGGTTTATTCCTGAGGCCAACATTTAAGCGTTGAATACAGTGGTGGGGTTAGCTCATTGAAGCAGAAACTTGTCATGCTAGTGCAGTGACAGAAGAGATATACACAAGACATAGAAAGATGAGCGAAAACCAATGCAGAGCAGAGAGATAAAATATATTCTATGGTTAATTGTCTTGTTATGTTCATGATGGATTTGAATTTGTGGTGATTTTTGACGCATTCACGTTTTTTCATGATTTCATAAACCCGACGACCTGAGTTAAACTCCCCGCTATGGCTAACATCAGTGGCGCGTGATATGCGTTACCAGTCTCATGCGTCCGCCTTCACCAACCCTAGTGTGGTGAAATTTTGCATCTTCTTGTGGGCCCTACACTTTTGCTTGGTTGGTTTGCTTGGCCCGTGCGCCACCGCTGATTGAAGACAGTTATATTGAGCCGTATTGCAGGTTATATAATATATTAATGTTTTTTTCTTTTTATATTTCACAGCGAGGAGCGGATTATCGAGCACTACAAGAAGCTCAAGGGACAAACACGAGGGCAGGCTATTGTCAAGTAAGGACTTTACTTGAATCTGTGATGCCCCTGTGATTTTGGCCCTTGCAAGACTATAAACCATAATATTTCAAGATCACTGAAAAATCGCTCGCAATAACATTAGCACGAGTCAATGTTACGTCATTACATCTTCTGGGGACCCAGGTGGTGGTGAGCGGACATCGCCGGATCGCCTGCCTACTGGGGCTATAATTGTCCTTTTAAAGTGATTGTCCCACAGTCCAGTCAATGCGTACGTTCTGGTAATGCCATTGCCGCAATGTTTTATTCTCTCTTGCAGTTACATGAGTGTGGTGGAAACTCTACCTAGCTATGGGGTTCACTATTACCCAGTGAAGGTAATGTTTTGTGCATTTTAGCAGCATTGAACACAGACATACATTCTACAAATCTCACCCATATGCAGCATAGTCACAAAACTGATAAGTGCCGGACCGTGAAGTTGATGGCAAAGTAGTGTTGCATGGGCAAACACTGGTAACATTTAGTCCTCATAGAATATCACCACATTCATTATCAATCACGCTGCCTTATGACGTTGGAGGGGAAATGCAGATTGTGTTATTAGTGGGGTTATCCGCGAATGTACATATATGCAGGAAAATATAATGCTTATAATTGCAGATTGTGACAGGAGTGTTCAGTGAGCCTACAGCTCTCATTGGAAAATTAGTCGGGACACGGGTAACAAGAGTTCTGCAATGGGCTGACATTTCAGGCAATATGCCTTCTTTAGAGCAGTGATACACAATGCAGGGAGATGGACTGACTTTATAATTGGAGAATCAGACACTTTATACTCTGGGTGCGCTGAGAAAACAGTTTTATGTTTGTTTAAAGAATATTAAGAAGTGAAAAGTTTTAATTTCCAAAGAAGTTTTCTCCAAAATTTTGAGCATCATATGTAACCGTTGAAAGTAAGCAAAAATCTACGTGTAAATAGATTTTAAATTAAAAGTAAGAGAATCAAATTTGAATGTAGCACTGCACCATAGGAAGAACAAGTTACCATTGCTATGCCCATTGTTGTTTTGAAAGAGCTGTTTGTTGGGTGAAGTCATGCCTAGCTGCAGAATCGGGTTGAATCCGAAATCAGGCTGAGCTCGTAATACTATTTACTTCATCTGATAATAATATTCTCTCTTGTACGCGTGTCAAACGTCTTTCGCAAACAATCCTCATGACTGACATGGCTCGGGGAAGCCCTCATCCATCCAGCAGCGGCTTGACATACATCATCAACACCATTTAACTCAGCACGGGCCCAAGTGCCCAACATGTCAAGTAGCCAGCATATTACATAATGACATTACATATTATACACACATTAGCTCTGCATTCTCATTCTATTTCATCCAATGTTTCTTTATTCATCATGGCATAGGTCGCAGCTCTCTCGGGAGGCCTAGGCAGCACAAGCTGCCCATTGTGATGAGACCAGGGCCAGAGAGAAACACTCAAGTGCATAATATCCACGAGGACCCAATTATTTGGTAGACGCTGTCTTTCCGACAGACCTGTTCTTCACCTGAGGACGGCTGCTTGCGTTGTGGCCGAAACGTCGTGAGACATTCAGACGCTGTCTTTCCGACAGACCTGTTCTTCGCCTGAGGACGGCTGCTTGCGTTGTGGCCGCCGGAACGTCGTGAGAATTGTATTTTATAATGTTTTATTTTTTATTATTTCCCCTCTACGTGATGACTTTACCGAAAGAACCAAGAAGATGAATCCCTGCAGTCACGAAAGCTTTAAATCGAAAGAACCAAGAAGAAGTTATGGCTGCTGTGGCTTTGTCTCGAAAGGATTTAGAAGACAATGGTTGAAAGCATTACCCATTGGCATGATCGTCCTGCATTCAAATGAGGATGATGTCAATTTTTACTAATTCTCATCACCATCGTGAGCCATGGTCGATCCACTGTTGGATGAAGGCTTCCCAAAACTCCACCACACCACACGATCCTGCGATGCAAGGATCCATCTGGCATCTTCACACAAGCTGATTTAATCGCTTCATCGTCCCCAGGGTGCGTCCTGTTCCTTACCCAATAACATTTAATCAGCTTCTTGGTTCTTTCGGTAAAGTCACGTAGAAGGGAAATAATAAAATAATAAAAATAAAACATAATAAAATAATTCTCACGACGTTTCGGCCACAACGCAAGCAACCGTCCTCAGGTGAAGAACAGGTCTGTCGGGAAGACAGTGTCGTCGTGAGAATTATTTTATTATGTTTTTTTTTATTATTTTACGTGACTTTACCGAAAGAACCAAGAAGATGAATCCCTGCAGTCACGAAAGCTTTAAATTGAAATTTAATATTTAATCAGCCTTGGTGAAATGGTAGAAAGGCTTAGATAGCTACAGCATTATTGTAATGTAGGAAAGTTAAATGATCCTTTCCATCATAAAAATCCTTTCAGTTTAATTTGAGCACATTATTCGAATTTAATATGCGTTGCTAAAATGATCTCTTATTTTCGTTGGCATAAAGCACAATCCAAACTTTGATTGCGCTGAAATGAAAACGTTTACTTTTGTTTATCTTTGGTAGTGTTTTTAACATTTTACAAGAGCCTGAACATTACACAAGACAAAGGCAAACCTTGTATTTGACACAAAAATAAGTGGGGCGGATTAGTGGTGAAGACAGTCTCTCTCAGACTTTCCAACAAATAATGCCGGCCCACTGCTCCTGTCCCTAAGCAGGTGGCCTGACCACATTAGAAGTTACCGAAACTGTTGAATACCAAGTTAATGGATGGCTGTTACTAAAGTGTGTTGGGCATGGCGGTGGGGAAGCAACAGCTGTGAGTAATGGCAACCATTAGACACCAGTCAGACATGGTGCAAAAGGAGAGGACCTGCCAGACACTCCCATTCCTTTTCTCTTTTGGCAGTTTATCCTCTTATGGGCAGACTGGTAGGGCCTGCTCAAAATTAGCTCGAGGTCATAACGTTTTTTTTGTGCTGCCTGGTCAGTTAGTTTGACCCACACAACCCACGTGGCTGATACGACCCGTGTCCCAAAACCATTCTCGCTCACCGTGTGTCTCCCCTCCACTTGTCTCCGCTGGTTCGCTATCTGCCCCATCTCCTCTCGCTCTGTTATCCTCACGTCCCTTTCGGCGACCCGTGCATCTCTCTCTCTCTCTCAAACTTGCCTGCTCGCTGCGACACAGCCTATCCACCGACCAATTCCAACAGTTTCTCTTTCGCACTTCACTATGTCCACTTGCAACAGGTTATGTATTGCACTATATATTGACATATAATAGGCGAGGATTTCACATTTAGTTAAATCCTCCTCTTCGGATATTGCACAGTTTTTAATGATATATAACCAGTTATTTTGGTGTATTAATATTTACCTATGCCTTCAGAATTATTTTTATTATCCCCAATTCACTCATTTGTTCCATATATGCTGTTAGACCACTACTGATTGCCTTCAGATACGCAGTTGTGGTCTTGTGTCTACTGGCAGATGGCCATTATAGGGAATAGATAACGTGGAAGCGAGTGATATTTTGAGTGTAACGGTTATATTAATATTCTTGGTTCTTTCGGTAAAGTGACGTAGAAGGGAAATCATAAAAATACAACAATAACATTTTCACGACGTTTCGATTGCAACAAAACATCGTGAGAATTGAATTGTTTTATTTTTATTATTTTATTATTTCCCTTCTACGTGACTTTACCGAAAGAACCAAGAATATGAATCCCTGCAGTCAAGAAAGCTTTAAATCGAGGTTATATTAATATACTATACTCTCTTTAAAACTAGTCTTAGTACTTTGCATTCCTCCCATTCACTGAATGGCCAGATGCCACACCACATATTCTTGCAAGAAAGGTAACAATCTGCAAGATTTATAACGACTTTGCAAAGTCATTAAAAAACACCCGGGGGATCAAAAAAATTGCCGGACTAGTTTGCGCACAAGGGGAGCGAGAGCGGGTGATCTTCCTAAGACTGCAGCCACAGTTATGTCTGGCCAAACGCACCACCACCACCACGCCTCCCACCTACCTCCCCTGATTTACTGGCACAGTGTGGGGGACACATGGTGTCCACGCTGTTTGTTGTCTTTGTTGTGGGAACCCCCAGCAGGTGTGGGTGTTTTTACAGCTGTGGTTTGATCTGAAAAAGAAATGCGCGGCACGGAAATTTACAATCAATGTTAAGCCTTTTGCTTCCACGTAATAAAAAGTGTGTCGTGGGATTTTTATATATTTTTGTAAATAAAAGCGCACGTTATGAGATGCCTCATCCGGTGTCTGTTTGTAAAATTCTATCTCGGTTTTTTTCTAATTATCTGTCACCAGACGTAAAATTTTCACGTCATAATCCTTACGGTGGCAGAGTGGTTAACGTAATGCATTATGAACTGATTGTCAGACGCGGCTGACTTCAGTGGCCAGGTATATCTAAACCAGTCTCGGGCCACCGATTTCACAAACCCACACTGACTTGCGTGGTAAAGTTATTGTCAAAAACCTCCAGGACTGACACTGCATGGGTCAAGGCATTAATTCAGATTTGGATTGACAAAGCGCTGCAAATAAATCCACACTATCCACTGATTAGATGAAGAAAATCAGTCAATTATGCCATCTTCCTTCATGACACTTTGTACAAGGGTGTAGTTAATATTAATTATTGTTATATTAGTATAGTAAATATTAGTTATTGATTTATTTATTCCGTACATTGTGTAGAAGCAGCCTGCATGTAACCTGCAGCTGATTTCTCATTTGCATATTTAACCCCACCAGATGATTATTTCGACTCCAATATCTTTCAAAGCAATGGTCAGTAAAATATGTATCATTAACCGAGCTGTGTGTGTGTTAACATTGTTATAACTGTCTTGTCTGGCAGGATAAAAAAGGACTGCCCTGGTGGCTTGGACTGAGCAACAAGGGAATTTCGCAATACGACTTCCAGGACAAGCTAAAGCCCAGGCAGGTGTGTCCTTTTATGATTTCCCAAAGACACGGTGAAAGCACATTTTGTTTCTCTTTCAAAGTCCAAAGAAAACTGACAAAGAGGGATATGGAGATGAGATAAATGTTTCAGGTACCGGTCCGCGACCCGGGGGTTGGGGATGCCTGCTCTAAAGGACCATTGTAGAGCTTCCTCTATTGGAGACCTTTCCACTAGCAGTGGCATGAGCAAGCACTTGCAGGGCTGCACCTTTATTTTATACAGACGTTAAATTGAATTATTTGTTGCTACAGACAGCCGTGACTCGTACGTTGTAGTACACCTACTTTACATATTATCCCTTACATACTACATGAAAGCAGTCGGGAATGCTTCTCAATACCATCGCCCATTTGTGTGCTGGTTTTAATAATCAAACGAATCTGAGCTCCATTATTCTGAGTGTGTTTGTGAGTTTGACTTTTCAACAGAAGGAACTGCCATTATTTATACGTTCCATTATTTTCCGAGACGTTAAATAATGAAATATGATTCGTAAAAAGGTATTGCTCTTGAGCATCACGACGTTGCTGAAAATGTACAATATCCTGATTTGGCATCTGCAATGTGCCACTCAGCACCATATCTTAGACGTCTCTCTTTGTCAGTTCATCAGCAAGTCAGCTGGAATTACAGGTCATGGGGATTTGACCTTGAGCTGTAATTACTGGATTCCTAGGGCTAGGATTGTTTTAATGGTCTCTGCAGCAAAGCCATTATGACAAAAGTATTACATCAATAAATTGCTACAGTGGAATGTACCTTAGATAGGTTTTAATGAAATTCGATGCCAAATAACAAAGGATTACGTACATTTTTCTCCCATTTGCTGCTGACAATAATGCTACAGTTTTTCAAGTCTATAGCTGTATTTATTGCTACTGTGCTTTATAATAAATAAACTTCATATTCCCATTGTACTGCATTTTATAAGACATTAAACCTATTATGTTTCCATTGCAGTTTATAATATAGTATATTACAGTGCATTATTGAAAACGTCTCGCTATGGTTACACATCAATGTTTTATAAAAGTCTCATGGTGGAGAACAAAACTCCGCACATAAGAGAGGGGCACCGTGGTGGCTAGGAGATGTTTCCACCTCACCTGGTATGCAGGAGGTCGTGGCTTTTATCCCAATCCTGACGCCTGTATATTATTTGCACGTTCTCAATGTGGTCGTGTGGATTTTTCTCCAGGTCCTCCAGGTTTTTTTCTCCACGTTTATAAACGTGCGTGTAGAGTATGTGACTGATATGAACTTCCAAATGATAAGCTACTTCGTTGAGCTATCATTTATGGCCAGGTTGCTTCTGAAAAAAGTTACATAGCTCATTGGGCGTTACCTTGTAAAATTACAAGTTTAGTTTAATCTTAGTTTAGAGTAAAATAGGTCTTCAGGTCGATATGCTGTTGCCTGTGTACAGTCAGATTTTGTGATGTTTATTGCAAATTATTTTGAAAGGCGTAAGCTTATGAAACAAAACTGCACGTCCACAAATTTTAATGGAACCGGGAGTCATGCATCTGAATTCACCAACGCCACATATTCCCATGAGATTGTCTCATGGGCTGAATTCCATTTGTGTGATGTATACATTTTTTTACTCTTAGTTCTTTCAGTAAAGTCACGTAGGTAAAAAATGAAATTAAAATTAATAAAAATAAAACAATAAAATCACGACGTTTCGGAGGCAACACAAGTCTCCGTCATCATTCATTGGCTACCACATTCTGATAAGCCCCCCCCCCCCTCTCCTCCCCCCCCAACTTGTATTTAAGGGCTTGCATCTTGAATCCTTGCCTCACTTGATGCGGCAAATCTGGCTGTGACGGTCCCACCTGATGATGGAGACTTGTGTTGCCTCCGAAACGTCGTGATTTTATTATTTTATTTTTTATTAATTTTAATTTCATTTTTTACCTACGTGACGTTACCGAAAGAACTAAGAGTATGAATCCTTGCAGTCACGAAAGCTTCAAATCTAGAATTATACATTTTTTTAGTTGTGAAGATGGTCTCGTCAAGATTTCAGCGAACTCGAGATATTTGAGTCTGTGTAATCGCAGTCTTTCGTCTCTTCAAATACCAGTCGAGGATCTTACTGCGTGTTATGTTTCAAATATTTTTTTTTTCAACCAGACGGTGTGGCCTCTTGCACCTGAAAAGACAGCTGCCGCATTCAGTACAATGCGCTGGTCTGGTCCTCCTCTCATTATCTCTGCTCAGTCAGTCGTTAAAGCACATGCCTTCAATTCTCACTGAGGTCATTCATCTTGACACCGCATTTATCTTTGGCATAGAATTATAATTGCGTGGTATGCCATGCATAAATCAATGCTGCTATTATACCAACACATTTTTGATGTTGGCTCCAGTCAACAAATATGGGACACATTTTAGCAAAAGGTACGTTGTGGATTTTCAATTGGTCGCACCGATCAAAGGATGTAGGGCCAATACAAGTGAAGGAAATATTTTTTTAAATGCAATAAACTTAAATATAAATGCATGTTTCAGGCAATGGTGACAGAATGTAGTATTACTCCTGCGATGCTGCTTGATGTGGTGCTCCAGCAGTCTCGGGGTGAAGTGCAAATGTGTTTTTTTGTATTGCTTGTCTACTTCTGTGGTGAGTGCCGAAATCGCACAACAGTAGAATTAACTTTATGGAAATTCCTATTTTAAAGTCGTCTTCTTTGACTTTTTAAATATTCCCTCTACCTTACGTTACCAACGCCGACGGTCGTGTACAAACCAACCGGCGATGTTTTACATTGGCTTATTTTGTTGCTCGCAATTGATTCCACGGAAAACCATAGACACATGCGCGTGTATTTCTTGCGCGTATAAATATCAACGCAAACACTCGGCGGAACAATTGCGCTGCTTATTATTATTTCATCCGGAGAAAGACGCGGTCCGAATTCCGACGCTATGAAACAGCAATTCTGTGACAAAAGAATGATGTCTAAGCATTCGGTAATAAAAAGGTCACGGTGATGTATATTTCAAGGACACACCTCAGGCTCCTGTGGAGGACGTTCCTTTGAAGGAATGACAACAATTTATATTGCACGATCAGCTGTTTTCTACATTGGTGGAGATGAGAAATGCTCCGTGTTCTTGGGAGATCTGAGAGTACAGACACGAGTATTACAGCACGTGCATGTTAGAAATGCTCACAAGGTGGAGTAAGTTCAGTGCACGAGGCAGATTTAATGACAAATTGGATGCGCAAACCGTCAAAGGTGACTGGCACTCCTAAAAGTACATTGACATTCCGGGTGTGTAATTATTACACTAATGGGCAGCATTAGAGAGGCTCTTTTTTTCCTATAGTGAAGGCCACCACATGGCAGGATTCCATTTGGTCTTTCCCTCCGCTTAAAAAATTGTTTGGAAAATCGTTCGTGTAGATCGTTTTTTTTTGTTACGTCCCTTCCACAATATATGTCCCCCTCTTTTTAATAGAGGTAAAATAATGAACACATGTTTCGATTTAAAACTTTCGTGACTGCAGGGATTCATATTCTTGGTTATTTAGGTAAAGTCACGTAGAAGGGAAATAATAAAATACTAAAAATTAAACATAATAAAATAATTCTCACGACGTTTCGGCCACAACACAAGCAGGCGTCTTCTTCACCTGAGGACGGCTGCTTGCGTTAAGGCTGAAACGTCGTGAGAAGTATTTTATTATGTTTTATTATGTTTTATTATTTTATTATTTCCCTTCTACGTGACTTTACCGAAAGAACCAAGAAAATGAAAACATGCTTCGTATTTTGTCAAATCAATGCATTTAGGATGCAGTGATGAAGTAGTGATTTGAATGTACACTCCACCTTACACATTCCATGTGAAGACAGACGATTTTAATCGGTAAAAGAGACTGTAAATTATAGCAAATCAATTACATGACACCAGTAGGAACAAACAAAACATGTTTTGAAAACCTGTAGATTAATCTGCTTTACAAACAACAATGGGGCAAATGTCACTTAAAGCCAATGGAATATGTTATGAAAACTGAAGAACGACCCTTGTGTTGTGCCCGAAACGTCGTGATTTAATTTTATTTTAGTTGTTTTCATTCTATTTTATTTCATTTATGTAATTTTTTACCTACGTGACTTTACCGAAAAAACCAAAGAGTATGAATCCTTGCAGTCACGAAAACTTCAAATCTAGAATTATATCTTAACAATTTATCATGGTTTATGAAACCACTACACTCCCAGTACATACCCTTGATAGAGATTTTGCGCTGTGCTCATTTGTATGCCACACTTATTTGACCCATTTATCCACACTAACAACAGCAGATGTGAGTGCATTGGTGAATAGCCGGGTGACACAAAAAGGGCATGCCTCTGTGTGTGTGTGTGAAAAGTAGAGTGATTCAGCGCAGGCGATTGGCGCTGCAGTGTGACATCACCAACTGCGGTGTCCAACTGGGAGGCAGTTTTCTTGAACACCGTGCGCGTGCACGCGCTCGTCTTGCGCGTTTGCGTCTGTGTGGAATGCGTGTGCACCCACGATCATGTGGAACGCGTGTGCACCCACGATTATGTGGAACGCGTGTGCACCCACGATTATGTTGAACGCGTGTGCACCAACGGTTGTGTGTAACGCGTGTGCACCCACGATTATGTTGAACGCGTGTGCACCCACGATTATGTGGAACGCGTGTGCACCCACGATTGTGTTGAACGCGTGTACACCAACGATTATGTGGAACGCGTGTGCACCCACGATTATGTGGAACGAGTGTGCACCCACGATTATGTGGAACGCGTGTGCACCCACGATTGTGTTGAACGCGTGTGCACCCACGATTATGTGGAACGCGTGTGTACCAACGATTGTATTGAACGCGTGTGCACCAACGATTATGTGGAACGCGTGTGCACCAACGATTGTGTGTAACGCGTGTGCACCAACGATTATGTTGAACGCGTGTGCACCCACGATTATGTTGAACGCGTGTGTACCAACGATTGTGTTGAACGCGTGTGCACCAACGATTGTGTGTAACGCGTGTGCACCAACGATTATGTTGAACGCGTGTGCACCCACGATTATGTTGAACGCGTGTGCACCAACGGTTGTGTTGAACGCGTGTGCACCCACGATTATGTTGAACGCGTGTGCACCAACGGTTGTGTTGAACGCGTGTGCACCAACGGTTGTGTTGAACGCGTGTGCACCAACGATTGTGTGTAACGCGTGTGCACCCACGATTATGTTGAACGCGTGTGCACCCACGATTATGTTGAACGCGTGTGCACCAACGGTTGTGTTGAACGCGTGTGCACCAACGGTTGTGTTGAATGCGTGTGCACCAACGATTGTGTTGAACGCGTGTGCACCAACGATTGTGTGTAACGCGTGTGCACCAACGATTGTGTTGAACGCGTGTGCACCAACGATTGTGTGGAACGCGTGTGCACCAACGATTGTGTTGAACGCGTGTGCACCAACGATTATGTTGAACGCGTGTGCACCAACGGTTGTGTTGAACGCGTGTGCACCAACGATTGTGTGGAACGCGTGTGCACCAACGATTATGTTGAACGCGTGTGCACCAACGATTGTGTTGAACGCGTGTGCACCAACGATTGTGTTGAACGCGTGTGCACCAACGATTATTTTGAACGCGTGTGCACCAACGATTATGTTGAACGCATGTGCACCAACGATTGTGTTGAACGCGTGTGCACCAACGATTGTGTTGAACGCGTGTGCACCAACGATTGTGTGTAACGCGTGTGCACCAACGATTGTGTTGAACGCGTGTGCACCAACGATTGTGTTGAACGCGTGTGCACCAACGATTATGTTGAACGCGTGTGCACCAACGATTGTGTTGAACGCGTGTGCACCAACGATTGTGTTGAACGCGTGTGCACCAACGGTTGTGTTGAACGCGTGTGTACCCACGATTATGTGGAACGCGTGTGCACCAACGATTGTGTGTAACGCGTGTGCACCAACGATTGTGTTGAACGCGTGTGCACCAACGGTTGTGTTGAACGCGTGTGCACCCACGATTATGTGGAACGCGTGTGCACCAACGGTTGTGTTGAACGCGTGTGCACCAACGATTGTGTTGAACGCGTGTGCACCCACGATTATGTGGAACGCGTGTGCACCAACGATTATGTGGAACGCGTGTGCACCAACGGTTGTGTTGAACGCGTGTGCACCAACGATTGTGTTGAACGCGTGTGCACCCACGATTATGTGGAACGCGTGTGCACCAACGATTATGTGGAACGCGTGTGCACCAACGATTATGTTGAACGCGTGTGCACCCACGATTATGTGGAAGGCGTGTGCACCAACGATTATGTTGAACGCGTGTGCACCCACGATTATGTGGAACGCGTGTGCACCAACGATTGTGTTGAACGCGTGTGCACCCACGATTGTGTGGAACGCGTGTGCACCCACAATTGTGTTAAACGCGTGTGCACCAACGATTATGTGGAACGCGTGTGCACCCACGATTGTGTTGAACGCGTGTGCACCAACGATTGTGTTGAACGCGTGTGCACCCACGATTGTGTGGAACGCGTGTGCACCCACGATTGTGTGGAACGCGTGTGCACCCACGATTGTGTGGAACGCGTGTGCACCCACGATTGTGTGTAACGCGTGTGCACCAACGATTGTGTGGAACGCGTGTGCACCCACGATTGTGTTGAACGCGTGTGCACCAATGATTGTGTGTAACGCGTGTGCACCAACGATTGTGTTGAACGCGTGTGCACCAATGATTGTGTTGAACGCGTGTGCACCAATGATTGTGTGTAACGCGTGTGCACCCACGATTGTGTTGAACGCGTGTGCACCAATGATTGTGTTGAACGCGTGTGCACCCACGATTGTGTTGAACGCGTGTGCACCCACGATTGTGTTGAACGCGTGTGCACCAATGATTGTGTGTAACGCGTGTGCACCCACGATTGTGTTGAACGCGTGTGCACCAATGATTGTGTTGAACGCGTGTGCACCAACGATTGTGTGGAACGCGTGTGCACCAACGATTGTGTGGAACGCGTGTGCACCCACAATTGTGTTGAACGCGTGTGCACCAACGATTGTGTGGAACGCGTGTGCACCAACGATTGTGTGGAACGCGTGTGCACCAACGATTGTGTTGAACGCGTGTGCACCCACGATTGTGTTGAACGCGTGTGCACCCACGATTGTGTTGAACGCGTGTGCACCCACGATTGTGTTGAACGCGTGTGCACCCACGATTGTGTTGAACGCGTGTGCACCAACGATTGTGTTGAACGCGTGTGCACCAACGATTGTGTTGAACGCGTGTGCACCCACGATTGTGTTGAACGCGTGTGCACCAACGATTGTGTTGAACGCGTGTGCACCAACGATTGTGTGGAACGCGTGTGCACCAAAGATTGTGTTGAACGCGTGTGCACCAACGATTATGTGGAACGCGTGTGCACCAACGATTATGTGGAACGCGTGTGCACCAACGATTGTGTTGAACGCGTGTGCATCAACGATTGTGTGGAACGCGTGTGCACCCACGATTGTGTTGAACGCGTGTGCACCAACGATTATGTGGAACGCGTGTGCACCCACGATTGTGTTGAACGCGTGTGCACCCACGATTGTGTGGAACGCGTGTGCACCCACGATTGTGTGGAACGCGTGTGCACCCACGATTATGTTGAACGCGTGTGCACCAACGATTGTGTGGAACGCGTGTGCACACACGATTGTGTGGAACGCGTTTGCATCGGTTGGCGAGCTGCGCTACGAAGCCCGGCGACACGAGTTCCATTATTTTCGCTCACAGCCATCACCAGCGACGGTTGTCTGAATCGGTCGTGGGCCTCCCCTAGGTCGGCTCAGTCTCAAATGAGTAAATGGTGTGATGTGTCAACGTCGCTACTGGGGAGACAAATGCGGCCGGGCGTGGTGCTGGCCACCCACCCCCTTGTGTGCCGTATCGGCCTTCATAGGTGCTCGGGAACAGCACTTGCCCCAACAGTCTGTGAAGGCTATAGGGTGTGGGTGAGGTATCTTTGTCTTTGCACTCGCAATGGACAGTGGGTGCTGGCAGATGGTATGAAGATTTTTCTTTTGAGTGCAGCATTTTTTGTCGTGAGTGGGTGTGCTTGAAAACACAAATTCTTCCTTCCACCCCCCACTGCCTCCCCCCTCTCCTGTCAGTGTAGTGGTTGTGTCAGTAGAGTGGCTGTCTCATTTATGACATAGCCGGCTCGAGTTTTAACAAGCAGCATGAGCGACTCATTGGAGCAGAACTGTTGTCTGAGAATGAACAGGGGTGGTGTCGCTCGCAGTGTCTCGACTCTGTCAGACGGTTTGTAAACAGAGTGCCAGGTGTGGGTAGAGGTGGTCAGCATTACTCGGTGAGGATGACTCCCCCCATCGAAGCCGCGGATTTACAGAACCCTCGCTTGCTGAGTGTGTCGTTCAGTTGCCGTACGTGTTTTTAAGAAGTATTTCTTTCAATTTGCAAGTATTTTTTCATGATCGCTTTTGTTTTAAGGTGGTATGCAAGCAACGTCGGTGGAAGTATACATTGGACGTCGAGCTGATGTCAACTACCCCGTGGATTGTTTTTGTTGTTGCAGATTTATCAATGGAGACAGCTGGAGAATCTATATTTTCGTGAAAAGAAGTTTTCTATAGAAGTCCATGACCCTCGAAGGTAAATTACATTTCTATTCATTGATTCAATTTATATATGAGATGAATACGTTAATATAGAAGCACGGCCAAATTCGTGTGTATATATGTTTTAACAATTTAACACATTTATATCGTTAATGTAGAGTATGAACAAAAATGTCCCTAGCTACGTACACCCAGCAGGGATCAATGTGTCTGCCACAGTCCATTGGCAGGGTGTGTGTGTGTGGTGGGGTAAAGTCTGGGAACTCCCACCTCGTCCAAGACATCTGGCGAGCGTGGAAGAGTAGGCCAATTTCCCTCCCTAAGTGGCTGTCTAGAGCTATCTATAGTGGAGGCCTTTCCACCAGCAGCGATGTGAGCGAGCAATTGCAGGGCTGCACCTTTAACTTTTTTTAACGAGCAAATAATATTGCTCAAATTTGGCATGAAAAGACACTTTCCAAAATAATGTTTGCGTGCGTTGTTATGCTTTTCTCAAGGTCGTTTTCATTGCTTACCGTATGCATGTTGTTGTGAATATATGTAATATACTTTATTTTAAGTTAAAAAAAGGTGGATAATGTTTACTTGGAATGTCTTTTCTTAGAGAACATGGACAAAGTTCAATTCTCTGTGTTTACAATGTCAGGTTCCGAATGAGATGCAGCGTCTTAGAGATTCCGTCGTATTTAGCCGCTGTGTACGCCCAACTTCTGTTGTGATTGTAGTTCACATCTACTGTTCATGGCACTTCAGTTTAAGGCATATTTTGGTAATTTGTCAAGAGAATGATGGAGTTGCTTTGGGAGGCTTCCTCTAACGCTGCGCTGAGGTCGCTGTCCTGCTTTCAGTTGCCGAGCGTGGCTACTCAACTTTTGAACACCCGAGTCACACTCATTTACTCCCAGTGTCCTGTTTGAACGTTCACGTTTTGTAAGCTATAGGCTTTCAACCCGTGTAGTTTGGCACAGGCTTGACTAACAGAGGCAATTGACGATGGTAAGTTTGTGATTGGCAGACGTTTATTCTCCTGTATTATGATATATGCAACTTTATAGGTGGTTGAGTGGTGAACCCTTTGGTTAGCACACATCAATCTGGACCCAACAACCTGAGTTTGACTCCTGGCCATGGCTAATGTCAAGAGCGAATTCAATTAGAATGAGTCCTGCACCACCCACCCCACAACTCCTCCTTTCACCAACCCACACTGACCAGCATGGTGAAGTATGACCAAACGACCTCCATGATTGCCACAGCATGGGGGGGGGGGGGGGGAGGCCTTAATTTTAGCAGTGGATTGACGTTGTCTTTTTTTCGTATGTAGCTCTAAATGGTACACTGTACAAAAGGTGTGAAGCGTAGGCCAAAACACTGGAAGAGCTTATCTTGTCGCCCTGAGGTCTTCCGCTGAGTTGTTTTGGCAACTCGGTTTTAAAGAGCCGAATCCAAAAGTAAATAAAAAGCTTCGGAAATATTTCGGTGGAAACTACGGTGCCAGGGTACATCTGCGTGAAGTGGACCAGCCCAGCGTATTGGCTTCGCATGGGTCCCGGTGTTTTATTTAAACCAGATGTATGTTTTTTGTCTCCCTACACTTCCTAATGGCCAGTTGGAGTAGACAGAGAATACAATGAACACTTAATGCTGAACGGGTTCTGCTTTCTGTCTCAAAAGTGGGGGGACGGAGTACTCTTGCAGAAGGGCATAAGTGTAATGCTTGGTTCTTTCGGTAAAGTTACGTAGAAGGGAAATAATAAAATAATAAAAATTTACAACAATAAAAATTCTGACGACGTTTCGACTGCAACACAAGCAATCAGGTGTGAAATCCACAGCAAAAAAATAATTTGTATAGTTTTATATTTTTATTATTTTATTATTTCCCTTCTACGTGAATTTACCGAAAGAACCAAGAATATGAATCCCTGCAGTCACGAAAGCTTTAAATCAAAATTTAAGTGTAATGCTGTTCCCCGAATGTTAGTGTTGTAGGTTGCAAGAACGCTGCACATATCTCCTATAAGCATCGATTATTGGTGGAACAGCCCAATGCTGGATGTAGTATTTGTGTGTGCGTGTCTAAGTATGAACTTACTGTATGCAGATGTGAAGTGGGGTATGAACCAACTGTATGTACATTTCACGTGGGGAGTGGTGGCGCAATGGTTAGCACACAGCGCTGCGAACCCGGCGACCCGAGTTTGGTTCTCGCTCACAGCCAACACCGGTGACGATTATCTGTACCCGTCATGGGCATCCCATAGGTCGACTCGGCCTCAAATGAGTACCTGGTGCGGTGTGTAAACCGGCTGGGTGTGGTGCTGGCCACCCCACCCCATCACAGCACTTGTCCCCCAGCAGTCTGCTGAAGGCTACCTGGGGGATCTTTGTACATTCGGCCACCTCGTGCCTATAAACACCAAAATAACTCAAGCCCCCCCCCCCCCCCCCATTACGCAATACAGTTTATTTCATAAGAATAGACCATTGTGTGCCAGCATTTGTCTAGCTCTTATATCTGAAAAAAATGCAACACAAATAACTGTGTTTTCCACATACCTCCAGAGTTAGCTTTCTACAAGTTCTCACAATAGGATCTTGAATGGAAATTCGATGCGCGGTATGTCATGGGAAATATGAGATTTTTTTTAAGCGAACACCAAAAACATTTAATTTAGATAAACAGTCTCTTATGTGACTTTCATGGAAGATGATCAATCGTTGTTTTCATTGGCGCCCTTCCCACGTCCAGTGGAAGGGAAAGAGTACCAATCAGCCCTGCTGCGATGTGAATTCCGATGCTCAACATAACAACAAAAAATGGGTTGGAAAGTCTCGGAGACAAAATGAGTCGTTCATTTTACACGAGACCCATTTTGTCCCGTGACATATACATCGAACGCACATGTTAATTTACAGGAGAAAATTACATTTAAAAAAACTAGCCTTCTGAAAAAAATGCACGTGTACCGTATTAAAAAAAACATTGGTAACAGTATATTTTACTTGTATAGTATATTCTAGTTGGCAGTCCTGCATTCACAACTAACCAGGTATATCAGACTTTGGCTCACGTTAGCTTTATGGATTTATTTTTAAATGCTGCACATGTATAACCGTTTGCCTAATCCACTGCTGCCCACCACATGGACCCTCCAGTCTATAATGGCCTGGTGTTTTGTTGTATGGTTGTCCTCCTATTTAAGCAATGTCCATGTCTCAAACCTGCTTAGCTTCCCAGATCTGATGAGAGCAGGTGCATTCGCGGGTGATGTGATCGTAAGCTGAAACATTGTACTTGACCATAATTAACGAGTTCAACACGAGTACAGATTTATTGACCACATATGCTGTGAAGGCTAGCGCACCATCATCCTTGTCAAAATATCTATTGGTAACTTGGAACGTTAAGTTTCCCACTGACTCAGGGCCACTAATGAGAGTATGTGGCACACTCGTGCTGACAGACTTTAGATTAGACTTTTGAATTTGAATAGGACTGACTGGAGCACACCATTACCTCCTGCTGACTTGGCCTGACTGTTGCTATTTTTAAAGAAATGCCAAATAAGTTCAACGATTAAAAAAATACTTCAAGGGGTTTTCAAGTATGGTTACGTCCACAGAAGTGTTGAGTGGCGTTTGCAACGGGTTAGCGCACTATGCACTGAACCGAGCCGTGGTCAACATCAATTGTGAGTGATGTATGAACAGCTCCTGGGCCGGTTCATGTATCACCCCTGCACTGACCAGCATGGTGAAATATGCTCAAACGACCCCCATGATTGACACGGCAAGGGGGGGGGGCCTGCTTCCAGCGGTCGATTGACAAAGAAGTGTAAATCATTGTCATAATTGTTTGCATTTATTTTTATTGAACAGGAGCCCATTTCAAGGCACGAGCGATAGGGGAAAGGGGTACAATTATTCCGCGGGCGACAAGCCCGAGGCCAGGTGCCCACGGGATAAGCGGAGGGAAGGGCAATTAAGCGAGTGTAGATGATCCCTATTATTGTTATTATTTATAATAGTGTACACACAGAATCTGAATGCTGCTGTGGTGTAATGGTTCGCGAAATGGACTTGTTATCCAGAGGACTCCGGATCGGTCTCATACTATTTTAATGTTTGATAGAGCGCAATCAACTCAAGGTGCTCGGCATAGTTTGTAAACCGGTGGCAGAATAAGAGTATTTAGATGGCAGGGGCGTGCAAGGGTTCAGGAATGAGTGACTGCGATAGAGGGTACTTTGGAATCACGAAAGGGTAAGGGAGGGACTCGAACGGATGGAAGAGGAAAGCGTATGAGCAACAGAGAAGTGGTAAGCAGTTGAAACAATGGTGCAAATTTCTCAAATCCCCTGTCTACCTAGCAACATAAATGGGTCCACCACGTATGCATGCATGTTGAACTTCTTTGCACTGTATGTAGCCAACCGTGCTACAGTAAGTTGATCGGCATATAGGGTGTGGTGGGATGAAGCGTGAACACTTTCACCTTGTCTTACACTGTCTGGCCAGCGTGGAAGAGTAGGTCAAATACCCTCTGGAGGAGATCTCCAGAGTTCAATCTCGCCTGAGGCTCTTCTGCCAGCAGTGCCATGAGCAAGCAATTGCAGGGCTGTACCTTTATATTACCTTACCTGGAGTAGTATATGTGAATTATGACCCTTTTTGTGATGCTCAACTCGAGGCAGGGCATGTCATTGTGCATTTCATGCTTTTAGACATCCCCAGCAGTCTGCAGGGATCTGAAAACTCGTAGCCATGCAACTGGGTATTTAAATCTGTCTGGGTGTCACTTTGCAAGGCAGGGTTCCATCCAATCACAAGCATAAGGCTGTCTCCTCAATACCAATAGCACTGCAATTATTTCCAGATGCTTTATTCCGAGCAGCTTGTAATGGGAAGGAATGTGGATACGTGCAGAGCCCAGCTGCCGGGCTTTAGCAACTGCATTAAAACAGCAATCTTTAGCACATATGCTTGTGTTTAGATGTATCATTATGGTTTGCTGTGCAGATCATTGCTGATGCCCACTGGAGGGCCTGCTCGGAATAAAGAATGATCTGCTCAGGATGCAAGGGTGTGGGCACAGAGTCACTCAGAGCTAGAGCCAAAACTGACTGCTGAGCAGAGGTCGCAAACGGGTTTTGATTCCTTACCCGTACCCATACCCGGCCGCACCAGGGTCGCAAATGGGTACCCGTATCCGTACCCGGCTGGGTACGGGTAGCCGTTCCCTACCCGTACCCGTGCCCTACCCGAAATGAGTGACAAACGGCTACTCACCAGTGACTCACGGCCTACCCGTACCCATACCCGGCCGCACCAGGGTCGAAAACGGCTACCCGTACCCGTACCCGGCCGGGTACGGGTAGCCGGGTATCGGGTAGGGTACGGGTATCGGGTACCTGGTTGCGATCTCTGCTGCTGAGTTCCCCGTGTGTGTTATACGAGTATGTGGGGAGCAGAGCCCAGCAACCTGAATTCGAGTGCTACTCATGCCGAATACCAGTGGCGGATATCGGACACTGGTCCTAGGCCTCCCGTCGGTCGATTTGGCCTTAGAATAAGTAGCTGGTGCGGTGTGTAAACATCTGCACCAGGGAGACAAAGGTGTCTGGGCCATGGTTCTAGCAACACCACCCCCGTCGTGTAACGCAGTGGCCTTAATAGGTGCTCACTGACAGCACTTGCTGTCATGGCCTGAAAAGGTATACCGGGGAACTGTAAATGACTCTCCTCGCATGTCAATATATGTATGCTCACATGCAATGACAGATGTAATGTGAACAATTTTTTTGTTAGGTAATATAATCAATCAAAATGTTTTGGTACTAACATATCAGGCAATAGTTTTTACCTTGGAAGAGTGACGGCTACCTTGAAACAGTGGTACAGTTATTAAACACCGTAGTCCCTTTGCCTGTCGAACAAGCGCACAACATTGTTGTAGTGCAACTTTAATGAGGCCAAAATATAATTGAGTCTTAAATTGGAAACCGACTCTCGTGGCAATTCATCGAATCACTGGTGGGCGGTGAATTGTGACATGAATCCTGTTCACCAACTACATTGCCCTTCTACCCTGGGAAAAGATTTGGGCTTAATATTTGAGCACCCTACTAAAGAGGGCAGTTAATGAAGGTGCTTCATTTTAATACATTCAAATTGACCCAATGAGCCACATCTGGCTCTCGCATAGACCATGTGTGAGCTCTGCATTAAAAGACAAATGTGTTTCCATGCTTGAGTCCAGCCATACTGCAGGTGCTGAGCAGCCAATTATTCATAGCGTTCTCCCTCCGGCCTCGGAGTAGTTAAAGACGCACGCAAGATATCGTTTAATATCCTGACATGATTCCACGAAAAGTGATTGAATTAAATTTCTTGAACACGGTAATACAACTCCCCGCACCATGCTTCATTTCTCTCTCTCTCTTTTGGATCACGCGAACATGATTTATAATTGTGCAACACGCTGCACGTGACGGTGGGCAAAATGTAAAATACATCACAGTGTATGCTCGGATTTATCCCGTTGTTTCATTTGCATGCAACCTACTTCTTGGGGAACTGCTTGTGTTCATGTGCCCATCTCTCCACACCACACCACCCCCTTCCCCGTAGGTTAACCGTGAGCAGACGCACTTTCGCACAGAGCGGCATCACAGTGCACACGTGGTACGCCAGCCCTGCGCTCATCAAGTCCATCTGGGTGATGGCCATTGGCCAGCATCAGTTTTATCTGGACCGAAAGCAGAGCAAGGTACGGCTGCGTGCATTGCTTCACTCCCTTGAGGATTTTTTTTGTCGGAGGTTAATCTCTCTTCAGAGTCTCGTGGTACGCGACTCCTTACCAAGTTAACGAGGTAAAGTAACAATGTCAGCTGTACGGTGTAGGCAGTGCTGCGTATCACTTCGACTTGGTGGTGTTTATTTGTCCTGCCCGCTTTTTCTTTACCACGTTGGCAGAGCGCGTGCCCGAAGGCCCGGATGCCAAGACGGTTAGAATCAAAATAGCACTCTTGAAAAGTTGAATAGATGAGAAGGAATGGTTCTTGAGCGGAGCAAGGATATAAGGACTTGTTTAAAGAGACGATGGGAGGGAGTGCCATAGGCGGGCAGCGCGAGGAGAGAAGCACAGAAAGAATTGTTAAATTTCCTGTTGTACGTTGGTTGGCTACCTCGCCTGGTGTACAGGAGGTCATAGGTTCGATCCCGACCATGATGTCTGTATATTTGGAGTTTGCACATGATGATAAGCCACTTAATTGAGCTATCATTTGTGATAGCCAGGTCACTTCTGAAAAATAGCTGCATAGCTCATTGGGCCTTACCTGGTAAAAAAAAACAAAGTTTAGGATCTAGTTTTTGTTTAGTTTGTCTCCTGGGGCCTCCCTTCGCATGAGTGGAGGATATTCTTAGGTTTTTTCGGTAAAGTCACGTAGGTAAAAATTTTAAATTAATAAAAGTAAAATAAAATAAAAATTCACGACGTTTCGGAGGCAACACAAGCTTCCGTCTTCAGGTGGAATTTTTATTTTATTTTACTTTTATTAATTTGAATTTTTTTACCTACGTGACTTTACCGAAAAAACCTAAGAATATGAATCCTTGCAGTCACGAAAGCTTCAAATCTAGAATGAATGGAGGAACCAATGAGTGACTTTATCTTCAACGTCTGTCTCAAGGCAAAGATCCCGGTGGCCAGGAGCCTCAGCGAGATCGCCATCGACCTCACCGAGCTGGGATCACTGAGCACGTCGGGCCTTGCCAGCATGGGCAGCGAGAGCAAGATTATCAGCGGCAGCGACGGAAGCCTCTTCTCGTCCGGTACGCAGCGTGCTGCTTCCATTGCTCTTTGTGTTTACTTCAGTGGGGGCATTCATATCTAATCGTTGCCCACCTAGAGCAAATGTCCATATGCATGAGTGCACTTGTGTGTGGAATGGTGAATCGCGGCTTTTTCGCCTGCGTTGCGTTTGAACTAATCCGTCCCTTCGTGCGTGCGTTTCCTCACTTGGCTGCCACTTCGCCATTGTGGCTTTGGCAAAGGATGAATAAAATTCTGGCCAATGCCTAAGTGCCAATTGTTAAGAAGGGGCATAACAGATGGTACCAATCAGATGAGGACGACCTGGGAGACTGATCCACTTCGTCAAGGGTGGGATGTAGTTGCACTTGAAAAAGAATTTGCAATAATCTCGCCTATTGCTTCCTGGAGCAAACAAAACATCAGGCGAATGCTGAGTTGTGTTCATCTTGTGAAATTCTGTTCGCAGGATCACAAGAGTCTGAGATCAGCCAGGAGGCACGGAAGGACCTCATGACGGCACTCAAGTCACGACGAGATGCCCTGGAGGACACCCTGAAACTCCGGGTGGAGGAACTTCGCCTTATCTGCCTGAGAGAGGCCGTGAGTGCAGCGCCAACAGCCCTTCCAGCCAGTGGTGACACTCGTATTTGTGATGTGCATGATCTTGCTTTACCCAGAGTCGAATTTGAAACAGTGGCATTATGGTTGCTGCAATGTGATATGAACTTTGCTGGCTATGTCTAACACTTGTGACAAGTAATATCGAAACCGGTGCTGACCATTTCACTAACCGGCACTGACCAGGCTGGTGAAGTATGACCATGAAGTATTGGATTGGAAAAGGGATGTTACGTGTTTTACATTATGTATGTATGTTGAACTTCTTTCACACCGTACATAGCCAAAACTTTGAATTAAAACTTTCGTGACTGCAGGAATTCATATTCGTTGGTTCCTTCGGTAAAGTCACGTAGATAGAAAATTATAAAAGAAGAAATAATAATAAAAATAGAAACGTCGTGAGTTTTTGGTTTTTATTCATTTGTAATTTTATTATTTTTATTATTTTTATTTTATCATTTTTATTATTTTCATTTTATAATTTTCTATCTGCGTGCCTTTACCGAAAGAACCAAAGAATATAGCCAAACCTGCTAATCGGAGGTGCAGAGGAAGCCCAAATTCGTATTTAACACAAAAAACATTTTGTTGAAGGTCTCCCTTGCATAAAATAAATTGTTCTCTATGTTTTCTAGAATTACTCGTTGCATGATATATTAACTTACATTTATTTGTTTTAGGATTAAATTATACATATTGTGAGGTAACTTACAAAAGATTTTTTTAAAAATGTGATGCAATGTTACGTGGACTATTTTCATAATAGCAAAAACCCGATTTCCTTATTAAAGCTTTACAGGAACACATTGTGAGGTGGTCTGGTGGCTTTGGGGGCCAGAGGATTGAGCGGGCACCACCGAGGTCATATTCCAATCTAGGAAGCTGAATGGATTCCAACCCGTAATCTCGCGTGGAGTGCGATGATAGTCTGAACGTGACTTTTCACTAAATTTTTTGCAAAATTTCCGCTGTGAGAATTCCAAAATATTTGATTCAAACTTTGAAAGCTGCACGATGAACTTTTTTGTTCCTGCAGCAGGGCATGTAGGGAAACTGTATAGATATCACAAGCTCTCTGGAAGAGATCTCACAAATAGTTTAGTGATATCTTCCTCTGGGAGCTGTCTAACATACGGTGTTATGCAGTGGTCAGCGAGGGTTGTCTATGGAGACGTCCTGTGACTTACTTGATCTCATGACATCACTCCAGCAGCGAAAAGATTACAAATTAACGCGTTCAAATAATCTTAAGTTCAGGATTTCTTGTGACCCCCTCCCACCCCTCCCACCCGCCCCCTGGATCGTTGTTGACTTTCAGGACCTGACGGGAAAGCTTCCCGAGGAGTTCCCCCTGGCTCTGGGTGAGAAAGCTCCGTCCGTCCGGAGGAGAGTGGGAACCTCCTTCAAGCTGGACGAGCACAAGATCATCATGCGCGGCGAGGTGAGCAGGAGGCTCGTGAATGAAATGACGACTCGGGTGTAATTTGCTCGATTAAGAGCAGCTTCCTTTGTTCAAATTGCGTGCATGGAATTGTGTACGAGAGAGTCTGTTACCCACAATGTTGTGCAAATTATATGTGCAACCCTCGCTGATCGGCATCGTCAAGTATGGTCAATCAAGCTCCACGATGACACCGCCTTCATTAAATAGCGGATTAATAAAAGGTCTGTAAATTCCAAGAGCAATATTGAGATGATATACCAACATTACATTTAGGCTAATGGAGTAAACACAACGGTGCAAAGTTGGCAACGATTTACGAGAAAAAATGCAAATTAGTTGGTTAAAATGAGACGAAGATAGGATTCTTGAACCAAAAACTCGCGAGATTCGGGAATGATCAGGAATTGTTGCTATTATCTGTCATAAGTGAATGTCCCAGGAAAAATAACAATAGCTTTTAGCTTTTCTGTCAGTAAACAGGTGTTGAGATGTTCAAACGCCAAATAGAAACCTTTTGCAAGGAATCAAGTCCGCATTAACTGCACATATATTGTCGTGAACGTGAAAACAAACATGCTCTGATAATATGTGCATTATCTATTTGGTGTTTGAACATCTTAACAGCTGTTTTATTGTCAGAAATGGTAAGACCTACTCTTAAATGTTATACTTTGATACTGGCAAAAAGGTCCCATCAATATCGGCACTTGAACTTAAACTGCATAAGTGACACTGGGGTGATATTGAAATGATTGATAACACTGGTCAACACACCTTTTCTGGCATAAGGTAATCCAAGGGTTTTAAGGTAATTTTGGGGTGCTGATTCCAAATCTGGCATCAGTTTTTGTCTATCACATCAGGTTTTTGAGATATCCAATATTGAATTTTCAATAAAAACTGCAGAAGAAAAATATTAAATAAATGTGGATATCTACATAAAATTATATTATAAACACACTATCCTAAAAATACAGCACCATATTTTAACACTAAAGCAGTCACTGACTCGCAACAACTTGCAATGATAAGTGACAGAGTTAATTTCGGGTAAAATCAATGAAAATGGGGTATGCCGATATAAAATGAGATGTGATAGAGCAAATCTGAGATCAGATTTGGAATCAGCACCCTGAAATTAGTCTAAAACAGCTGCAAAAGTCCAGGCCAGAAATTTTTTTTTTTTTTGTTGACCAGTGTAATGGGTTGAGTCATAGGCAGAGATGGAGGTGGAACGTACTAAACTTCTTCCATTCGGTGGGCATGGCTCAAAATGTGAACCAGAGATCATCTCTTGATATTTTTTATATCATGTGCAATCCATTAAATACCAATGAAGTGGTGGTATTTGAGTTTCTGTGCATGTGCATGTGTGTGCTTCGATGTTGATAGTGGTTAGCACGCTGCGATCCGAACCCAGCTAGCAGAGTTGGATTCCCGCTCACCAGTTACGATTATTTGAGCCGGTCCTGGGCCTCCCCTAGGTCAACTCAGCCTAAAATAAGTACCTGGTGTGGTATGTAAACATTGCCACTTGGGAGACAAAGGTGGCCGGGCGTGGTGCTGGCCACCCCCACCCCCTCATGTACCGTTCCGGCCTTCATAAGTGCTCGCGGACAGCACTTGCCCTAAAAGTTTGTTAAGGCTATACGGGGGATCTTTACATTTGTCTTGTGCTTGGCAGGAGGCTGGCCTGGAGAAGCTGGTATTTTGGCCCTTTGTGCATATGTCTGTGTGGGTGTGCGGAGCAAAAGTGTAGTGGTTACCACACTGTGCCACAAACTACGTAACCTGACTTTGATTCCTGGTCATAGCGAGCATATGTGGTGATTAACTGAACCGGTCCTGGGCATCATCTAGGTTGACTCAGCATTAAATGAATACCTCCTGCAGTGTGTACACATCAGCACTGGGGAGATATATGGCTGGGCATGGTGCTGGCCAGACCGTGTCCTCGTGCATCATGATGTCCTTAATAAGTGCTCGCCAACAACACGGACAACACTTGCCCCAAGAGTCAATTTATTTTCTAAATTTGAAGCTTTCGTGACTGCAAGGATTCATACTGTTAGGTTTTTTCGGTAAAGTCACGTAGGTAAAAAATATAATTAAAAGTTAATAAAAGTAATAGTGGAAATAAAATAAAATAATAAATCACGACGTTTCGGAGGCAACACAAGTCTCCGTCATCAGGTGGGACCCACTATTACTTTTATTAACTTTTAATTTAATTTTTTACCCTACGTGACTTTACCGAAAAAACCTAACAGTATCAATTTATTTTGTTCAAGAATACTTTTTTTAATCTCAATAGGTATTTGCATTGGTCTGTGTGTGTGTGTGTTGGCAGGAGGCTGATCTTGAGACACTGGTATTTGGGTTCATGTGCATGTGTCTTTGTGTGTCACTCTTTACGTAGCTCGACATTGCCATGAGGCTGACCTGGTCATAATCCTCCCCTATTATAATTATTTGGGGTAGAACTTAATGAGTTATTACTTACTTTAGGTACGAAAATATGCATTGATGTGAATTATTAACATGTTAAAGTCAGCTGAACCACGATACAGTCCCTTTGACTCGGTGAGAATGCATCTCATTGTGCAATTTATTTATTTAAGTAAAGATGACAACAGTGTTATGAAGTTAGCTTAACATAAAATATATTCTATTTGTCAATAATATTTTTTTTCTGAATGGCATTTGCAATGTGTGGTCGCGTGTGCTTTTGATGTTGGTAGGAGGCTGAGCGTGGAAGGGCCAGTACTTGGTCTCGCGCGTCAGTGCCTGTGTGTGCGCGTGTCTGCGTCTGTCCGCGTGTGCGCCTGGACGTTGGCAGGAGGCTGAGCTGGAGAGGCTGGAACGAGACTTTGCCATCCAGTCCCAGATCACGGAGGCAGCCAAGCGCCTGGCCAGTGACCCTGGTGTGAGCAAGAAGGCTCGCAAGCAGCGCAAGTCCTCCTACCAGAACTCGGTGCGCAAACTCCAGGACATCGAGGCAGCCATCAACCAGTACCGGCTCCGTGCGGGGCAGGAACCCACGAAGAGGACTTCCCACATCGGAGATGGTGATGACTACATTTCACCATTACCATATTATTGTAAGACACACTGGCTTCCCTGGTAGATTAAAGCACAAGCTGCGTCTTATAATCCGGTTGCTGCGCGTGTGTGTACAAGACAATATTTGCATAACTTTAATGACGCCGGGCACAAAATGTGGGGTGCGTCATAATTTCCGGAGCATCATATACAACAGAGAATAGACGTTTATTTGAAATCGAGAGTTGTGTCCTTAAAGCTACCCTTCTCCCATTTTAAGTCAATACTAAAGACATTAAATTGTATTTTCAAATCTTCCTTTGACAAAAAATACTTGTAGACTGAACGCCCTTTTGGCTGTTTTAGAAGATTTATATCCATTTGTTTGTCATCCATAAGAATAGTGTATTTCCAAACATACAAGAAACATATAGTAGCCATCATGTGCGTATACAATAGTTATTCTATTTAATAAGATTGTCGACAAATTAAATAAAGGACGGTTATGTGGAGTACAATTTTATAATTTGTGGTACAATTTATGATTTGGAGTGCATCTTGATCATCTTTCAGTAGTTGTTTAATTTATATCTAAACAGATGCAACGGTGTGAAGTATTAACGTGCTGAATTAAATTGGCCCAATGACTTACATTCCCTTTAGCTCTACGATTAAGTGAGATTGTACATCTTGCTATGCGACCAAAACAGGGTTCACGATACATATAAAACATGGGTTCGGAATAAAGGTGATGGCAGTGTTAAGTTAGCTTACGAGAGGATAAACTGCATTTGTCAATACCACATTTGGTAAATGGCAGTCTACCAAAACTGTGTTAATGTACACTTTGGGTATTCATTACAGGCTGAGAGCCATAGAGGGCAGTTAATGTTGGCATTATTCAATCAAGGGGCAAGCAGCATCAATATTAAGTGTCGCCATCAATCATTATACTTTTAATTGCATCGGGTGCGGTGCAGCAGTGATTGGCTTAGAGATGTCTTGCATCTCTTTTCTCTTTGCAGAGGAAAACATTCACTCTGACGTGCAGTCAGATGGCAGCTCGCTCGCCGAAGCCTCGGCTCTGGAAGACGGTAAATACATTTCCGCTCGCTAGAACTGCACACGCCAAAGATTGGCAGCAACAGATTCCAATAATAGAGAGAACAAGCAAGTCATGTAGAACAAATATACGCTCTACGTATGCATTATTTTCACGTAAAATGACATGAATGTTTATATACGTATACTTGATAATTTTGCAAGGACTTGAAATTCTAATATTTGTCAATATAGTAATGTATATACACTCATTAATTGGCTGAAACTGTCTTAATATACAGAGGACTGCAGTGCTTGGGCAATTGTTGGCAGCAGCTGGCAGCCTGGCTGCCTTTACGCTTGTCTGTGGTTCCTCATTGCCTCTGGGTCATTCTCTCTGTTTGAAAATGAGTGAGTGTTGTGCGGTGCATGGCAAATTCAATGCAGCGTTAAATTATTATTAATACGTGCTGACCCCACTCCGCCTTCACGCAGCCGCACTGACCAGCATGGTGAAGTATGGTCAAACAACCGGCGAATATTCTGTGGTGTGGTGATCCGTCACCCAGCAGTAGACTGATGTGGCTTATAAATTATTATAATTAAGTATGCCTTCGTTGCAGTGTAATTGATAGACGGACATCGGGCTTACATATAAATATTATTATGCTATCAAGTTGCTGCTACTTCATTGAATTTGTGCATAACATGACAATTAAACTTCATACTCAGTTTTTTTTACTGTCACTGAGAGGAAAAGAACATGTCAGCTGACTGGCCAAGGAGATCCTGAAGAAGGCCAGTCAGCCGAAACGTCGAGATCTCCCGTTGAGTTTTAATAACAGAATTAGATGCTGCCCCAGTGTAATGGGCAGCACACTGAACTTCCAGAGCAATCCAGAGCAGAGGTCGCAACCGGGTACCCGATACCCGTACCCTACCCGATACCCGGCTACCCGTACCCGGCTGGGTACGGGTACGGGTAGCCGTTTGCGACCCTGGTGCGGCCGGGTACGGGTACGGGTAGGCCGTGAGTCACTGGTGAGTAACCGTTTGTCACTCATTTCGGGTAGGGTACAGGTATGGGTAGGGAACGGGTACCCGTACCCGGCCGGGTACGGGTACGGGTACGGGTACCCATTTGCGACCCTGGTGCGGCCGGGTACGGAATCAAAACCCGTTTGCGACCTCTGATCCAGAGTTTGCCGGTTCGATCTCCCGGTGCGGCAGTTTAAACCGTGAGCAAGTGTCCGTAAATTCCCCCGCCTTTGTTCACCCAGCAGTATAAATGGGTTCATCACAGTGGGGGAAAAGTGTGCATACTCCCACCTCTTCCAAGTTGTCTGGCCAGTGTGGAAGAGTAGGCCAAACATATCATCTGGAGTTCCTTCTGACAGAGGCCTTTCCGTCAGCAGTAGCGCGTGAGCATGAACTTGTGTGGCTGCGTTTTTGTGCCTGCTGTATATCTAATTAAAAAAATGTTCTGTCTGCTTCTTACATGTGATTTTTTTTCTGTGCACATGAGTCATTATGATTCATACTTTTGATGTCCAAAATTCATGCAGTGAGGCTCTTTTTTTACAGTATTTTTCCTAACCTGAACCATACAGTTTAAAAATGTTGTGGTCATAATGCCTATTTTTGCATCTGTAATATATTAACGATAGCTGCTATACATCGCAGCTACAAGGGTGGTTGAGCATTATTTATTACATATATATATACATATGCCAAATTGCCTAGAATCTACCTAATCTCATCAGATCTCAGACGTCATTCAGGCTTGGGCATGGATAGTCTGCATATGGGTCGCCACCGTGTACAAATGGGTTGTCATATGGAGTGCGGGTGCAAACAAATCCATTGTTGTACTGCACTTCCATTCTCTATGTCCCTACGTGTATGCTCCCCACCTTGATGAACCTGTGTTGATCGGCGTGATGAAGCATGGTCAAATAACCCTCACGAACCACACCGTGTGGACGCCCTTATCCAGTTGTGAATTCGCTTAAGGTTGTTCGTGTGCAGCCTCGCAACTTATCGTTCACGCCACTGCTTACAAAATACCTCCTCTCGAGGGGAGCTTTAGAGAGCCCCACCAGAGTGTATTTTGGCCTACTCCTCCACCACGCTGGCTGAGTCACCTTGGAAGAGTTGGGCGTATGCCTATTTTACCCCACTTTAACGCGACTTGCTGATCGCTTAACTGTGGTGCCCAGATTTGTGAAAAGAGCTCCATAGCTTATCGGATTCCTCCAGCCTAAATAAAGATTCTGATTCTACTTCTGGGTGGACACAGCGTAGACATTTAAAACACGTGCCCGTCTTTTTTAACTTCCGTGCAGGGAGGTCAAACCGGCGACCTCTGGATTACAAGTTTAGTGTGCCAACCGTTACACTGCAGTCTGTACGTGGTTATAATGCCTGTTTCTGCGTCTGTAGTCGATTAACAATGGCTGCTTGCACCGTGTTGCTGCAAAGGTGGCCATGAGCAATTCATCAGTCCGCATGCACGATTTCTCTCCTCCCCGACACGTCGCTCCTCCCCGCAGAGGACTCCCCGCGCAGCAGCCTGCTCTCCTCGCTGCTGTCCCCGCAGCGTCTGGTGCCGCCGCTACTGGGCGGCTACGCCCGGCCCTCTCCGCCCACGTCGCTCGAGGGCCTCCGCCGGCAGCAGTCCTTCCGCGGAGACCCCTCCTCCCCGTCCAAGTCCGGAAGCTGGGCCGAGTCCTCGCTGGACGAGTCCTACGATCGCCCTCGCAAACCCCTGCTCCGACACACCATGTCCAGGTGACAGGCATCGCTCCTTGAGGCCACGTGAAATATAAAAAGCTCCTTTTTATATATGTATATACATACGCATATGCAGGTATTGCCTAGACCAGTGGTCGACAACCTGCGGTTCTGGAGCTCTATGCGGCTCTTTAAGGACTGCTTTGCGGCCCTGGAAATATTGAGTCTATTCATACTATCCGAGTCTTTTACCGAATTCTGAAAAGATGGCTCTTGTTATTTTAGTTGCTGACCCCTGACCAGTATACCATGGAAGTCCAGTTTACCGTGGCAGTCCAGTTTACCATAGGCAGGGGTCAAGCAATGCGTGGCTCAGGAGGTGCATGCGGTGCTTTGTGGCTCTTGAAATATTGAGGGTTTCCCCCACCCCCCAAAAAAATGGCTCTTATTATTTTGGTTGCCGACCACCTGGCCTAGACCATAGTGGCATTGCCTAGAGCTGCAGTGTTGCTCTGTGAATGGCGTATAGAAGGGAGACAGCTTTGAAAAGAGCGCTTGCTTGCTGGCTTGTATCTCACAGTCCCTTGGGAAGTCCATCGCACCAGCCGGGCTGCCAGCGAGCTAAGGGAACGGGCTCCCTGCAGAGCAGCCCGGTGAAGGCCGGTCCTCGCTGGGACTCGTCCAGCGTGCCATCCACTCCAGACGCACGTACTCGTGCCATACCCTTCAGCCAGCACCAACGGTCAGTGTCTAAACAGCCCCGGTTATCGTGCTATTGAGGTGACAACGCTGAGCTGCCAACTCTGTCATCATGCACTCAAATCTGTGCTCGAACGAGGTTCTCAAGTGTAGAGAGTTGATGGTCCCTGCCCAGCCAACAACGACTGTGCGCACAAAAACATGACGTTAAATTTGGTTAGGCGCATAGTTTGGCTAAATACCAGCTCTGAGAATTCGGAATATAACTTCTCTTAGAAGCAGAAGTAGTTGATAAAGTACTGCACCATACTGTGTAGAACGAAAGTGAAATGATGGGATTTCAATTGGTAGCTCTTTGCTATCTGCTTCTTTCTCCAATGGAGTATGGTGCAGCATGATATGATGTCTGACAACAGAATCGGGATACAATTTTTGGAAAAGATTCAAAAGATTTTAGAAATTGCCAATTACTACGAGCAGTCATGAGTAGGATTTTTACGACGCACCGATTCATAGACAAAAAGCTAATTTTATGCTCACATTGCATGGATCATATTCTGCATGCGCGGGCATAAATTATCTTAGAGTGAATATTTGATGGGTTCACGTGGTCCCTGCAGCAACTCTGGGTTCTATATGAATAAAGTGGAAATAAATAAAAGATACAAAAAATCAGTTCTTACGTCGAATCATGACACTCAAACGAAATGCAAGGTGGGTAAATCTTCACATGTCTCTTCTTGACGTACATAGTTTGATCACAAGGTCTTAACTATAACCGTGCCTAAAATGTCGAATGTCTGTACCTTGTAAACAGTCCTCAGATGTTGGCTATTAAGTTCAATATAAATGATGTTCATTTCAAATGTTTTGTCTCGTGTCATAAAGACCATCAAATACATTTTTTATGAAACATGAAGTTATTTGGCAGTTTAAATTTACTTAGGAAAAATAAACATTTCTATGATTGTGGAAAGACAAATCCACACACCACTTAACTGACACTCTCTATTCTATCGATCCAATCACAGGTTCCTTAAGAGATGTCTCAGGGGTAGAGTGAGCAGCTTGCAATCCAAAGGTCGCTGAGTTCAAATGCTGGTTCAGGGTCGACTCAGCCCATCATATCTCCTTGTGGAATTAATTATCAGTGATTTGTCATGGATAAACTCGCCCCTACCATAGCAATGTATAATTACCACCACTTGAGCCGGGTGGTAAACAGGAGATGAGCACTACCTTAGTACGAAGTCAGTTTTACTGTTGACAGCTTAAGTTTTAGGCGCCGTGATGGTTTGATGTTAACTACCTAGCCGAGTATACAGGAACACATGGGTTCGATCCAAACCCTGACGCCTGCATATTGGAGTTTGCATGTTCTCCCCGTGGTCACGTGGATTTTTCTCTGGTTCCTCTAGTTCTTCCTTTCACATTTAGAAAAATGCGTTTAAAGTATTTGACTGCCATACATTTCCACGTGATAACGAGCAACTTCGTTGAACTATCATTTGTGGCCAGGTCGCTTCTGACACCTTACCTTCTTGCACATTACAGATGGTTCGAGTCCACTCTTGGCGGGCAGCAGCAGCAGAAGCATCAGCAGCAGCCTCTCCCGGCCGCCCACCTGCGCCAGCGCAGCTGCAGCCTGGAGTCTCAGAGCCAGCTGCTGGTGTCCGAGGGCACGACGGTGGCCGGCGGTGACCTGAGCTGCGGCACGGGCACAGTGTCGCGCAGCAGCAACAGCTCGGAGCTGCCGCTGGACGACCGCTCGTCCTACACCAGCCAGTCGAGCTCCGAGTGCGGCTACTACGGCGGGCCGGGCCGCACGCCGTACGACACGTCGCGGCTGGGCCGCCGCGCGTCGGCGGGCGGCGCTGACCCGCGGGCGCTGCAGAGGCACCGCTCGGCGGAGAGCCTCGTGTCGGAGGCGCGGGGCGAGATGCAGGGCGCCGACGGCGGGGGGTGCGGCGGCCCCGGCGGCGGGGGGGGCGGCCCCGGCGGCGTCGGCGGAGCGCGACGCGCCGGCCTCTACCGCTTCCCGCACAACCTGCCGACGTCGCAGTACCGCGTGAAGGAGTACCCGCTGTACGCGGACCGGGCGGACGGCTCGCGCTGCGTGGTGCGCAGCCTGGAGAGCGAGCGCGAGGGACACTACTGCGTGAAGGCGCAGGTGCGCACGTCGCACTCGTACACCGCCGGAGGGATGTACCGCGAGAGGGTCGCGCGCCAGGAGGGCGGCGCCATCGTGCACTCCATCACTCAGTCGCGCTCGCAGGTGAGGCGGGGGGGGGACACCTCTCTGCGTGCCGTCATGCAGACGTTGATGATTCGAATGAAAGCGTTTTGAAGAGGAGACCATTGTGTTTCCGAGGCCATTTTTTGTTGTTGAAAAATGGCGGCGCATTTTCGGCTCAGTATGTTGGGGAAATGACACGAGATTTTTTACGGGCAATGTCTTTGTAAAAAAGATGTTGTTGCTAGATTCCCGAATTGCATCTTGAAGGTATTTTTCATACCTGCATATGAGTTGTTACCTCGGAGGTACAAAACAAACTGGGACATTGTCTTGAGCGGTGTATTATTTATTATTTATCATTGAATTGTCAAAGAAACTGGACTCCTAATGGCAAAACTAGGACTACCGGCAACTCTCAGTGCAGTGCCAGATATTTTGTGAGCCGTCCATCGCCCCTGTTTCGTTATCAGTAATGTACACCAAGGTGGCTAGGTTGCTGCCAGACCTCATGCCATTATCGAGTGCTGAGCCGGTGTAAACGAATGCTGTTGCCCTATGCCCCCAGGGGAAAGAATAGGGGTTAGGGTCCGGCTCTACATTGGTTAGCACAGAGTTCGGACCAAACAGATGGTTTGAGAAGTAAAACTATCATGACAGAAAACTGAGCACTGACCAAAAATTCATTCATGGGTGAACAAATATTCAGGGAGAACATATAGTCCCTGCACTGGCCCCCCGATAAGCTTCCGGTGTTGAATCTGGGCAGCCATCTGAAATGAAATCGTGTTCTCAAGTCGCAGTGAAAGGATAGGCAGCCCGGGCATGAATGACCGTACAAATAAACCGGTAATATTAGATTTGGTTTTTCATTTCACTTGGCTTACTCCAGTTGTGCCAATTTTAAAGTTTAGTATAATTGACGCTCAACATTTATAAGGGGCCAATTCAAGTGAGCTCAGAAACTTCATGACGGCATCTTCCAGGGCTGTCCTTGTACATGTTGGTATATTGTTACCGGCGACGGTTCTGAATTGGGTACGTTTTTGCCTTATGACATGGTGCCAGTAAGGACAATTGGAATATAACTTGGAGGAAAATTGTTTAAAGATGTGCGGTGGTATTGTGGTAGATGCTATTAAGTGTGGCGATGCAATTCCACTGTAGAGGGATTGCACTCAAATGGCTGGAGCTAGAGTTGGTGCTGATGATCTTTTCCTTTCTTTGTGTCACACCTGAGAAATGAGAAAAGATGCTCTCTCATATGCTCCCAGTTGAACAATCAACAACATTTCCTGACAGACCAGTGGGTTTAAACTTTTATGGCACCCGAATGCCAGATGGTGTTGTGCCTCCCCAGAGGGGACAGAGCAAGTGATGCTTACAGAGAGACTACTGAAATGGTAAAAAAAAAATCTATGAGTTATGTCTTAGAATATAACTCAACATGTAAAAAATGCTAGTCGTCAGTCGCTCACATTGACCAGTGCAATAGATTTCACAATATATCAGCCACGCTTGTAAGTCATGAAAATTGACAGACAGCTCTATATAAGAATGGCATGTTATAATGATGATGCGTAGATTTATCCATTACAATGTATTATTACTATAATAGGGTTTTTCCCCTTTTTTCTGGCAACAAAACTGAAACCTTTTTACAAGGAATCATGTGTGCATTAACCACAATGCTTGTGCATTTTGACCACAAGTATTGTGGTTAATGCACACACGATTCCTGGTAAAAAGGTTTCAGTTTTGTTGACAGAAAAAAGGGGAAAAACCCTATTATTATATTTTGGTATTGGCAAAGGAGGTCTAATGATGTCGATGCTTACCCCGAGCCCTCATTACTCTGATAGTGCATCGTCTTTCAGCTGTACGCTTTTGGCGTCCTCTGGTCTAGCACCAATTGAGACGAGGCTCAAAAGAAAGCTGTCTCTGGTGTGGACCAATCAGTTTCAAGGACAATGCATATATTATCAGTTTGTTTTTTGTTTGCATTTTGACCACAAGTATTGTGGTTAATGCACATGTGATTCCTCGTAAAAAGGTTTCAGTTTTGTTGCCAGAAAAAAAGGGGGAAAACCCTATTATTATATTTTGGTTCTGGCAAAGGAGGTCTAATGATGTATTATTACTGTCACAAGACCAGAATCACATTTTTGGTGTAATGTATTATGTATGATTTCTTAAAGTTTATTGCAAATGATATGGCTTAGGGGTATATATAGACTAATGGAGTGAATATACTTTACAACTGTAACAGAATAAAATAAGAAAATACAAATGAAATGGTAAAACAGGAGACGAATAATTAACTCTTGAATGCAATCGCCACCCTGAATCGTAACAATTCATTTGAGAATGGCATGGGCGGGGAAAGAGGGGTGGGTGCTAAATCATTAAATGCCATTTTAAAAGTGACCTTACCACTGCATGAGTTTTTTTTTCCGGCAGTGCCGTATAGCTCTCTGAAGTGTTTTATTTTTCGTGTTGTTACCGCACGTTGTTCGGCACGGCATCTGCGAGTTTATTCAGCTCCTTAAGCAGCAGCTTCCAACGAAGCGTTGGGCGTCACGGCCCGAACCTGCGCGCGGATACAACCCCGAGGACACATCGGAGAGCCTCAGCGGTGACCTTGTGTGTTTTTTTGTACGTGCGCCGACGACAGGTGGTTCGTAGCTGCTGCCAGGAAGGCGTTCGGACGAGCACTCTTGAGCACCTGCGCTCCTGGTACGAGCGCAACGCCTATCGGGACCCGCGGAGGCTTTCGCACGTCTGGTCAGATGCTGACCGGCTGGCGCTTTACCCCCAGGGCGCGGCCTCGCCTCCTCCTAGCAAGCCCACGCAAACAGGTGCCGCTGTCTCTCCTCTCAACTTCATCTGCTTTTGTTGGCCGAGGTTCACAAAAGAAAAGAGAAAATAACCTCGTGGTGTGATTTGCATATTTTTTCCTCTGGTTTGAATCTTAAAAACACCACAGCTGGCATGCCATGATATTACACACACACAACAGCTACGCTCTACGCGGTTGGCTTCGTAAGGTGCAAAAGAAGTTCAACATACATACAGGCTGGTAAGCCAGGGAACGGCGACCAGCAAATGATCAAAGAGAGGCAGCCGCATTCTTGCTGTGTGGTTCGTGGTTTGAGATCGTTGCCCGCAGACGGAAATGTCAAGCTGACCATTGGCGTAGGAGACGGTCACATCTGTCGTGTGATGTTACGTTGTGGTTCGATACAGACCGTTGCTTGCACTGCTGTGATATGCACTCGCTTGACAAGAGCCCATTTGTTAAATGGTTAACCTGTTGGCACTGCGGTGCAACAGCGTATCAGGCTGCAGCTAAGGAGTTGTCATTGCGCCTGTAACCTATTTGCCCCAGCTAAACGCTCTCTGTTCCTCCTGTCGATGTGGGCAGGCGGGTGTGGAGGCGGCAGTCGGAGAAACACGCTGTCCCCTGCTCACCAGGCGGATGAAGCTGCTTCGTACACACACCAGCCTGTGCAGCACACGAGGTGAGCCTGAGCGCAGGTTTCAAGTGCCGTTTTTGTTCAACCGGGGTGAGAACTCAATCGAGGCAGGGGGGTAGTCTTATGAGCATGAGTGACCTGGGTAGTAGTCTCATGAGCAAGCATGACACGTGTGTGTGTGTGTGCGCTCAGCCTGGCATAAGTGGTGGTGGGAGACGTGACCGTCACTTGGAGGCCAACGACGGCTTCTTGTTGTGCGTGGAGAGTAGTGGGGGTAGTGGCCGGCATACTGTAATACAAATCCAGCCACGGTGAATGTTAGTAGCAAATATACAATGAGAATTTTGCCTCGATTGCTCGCGTTAAGGTATGTACCCCAACAGTCTGAATGCCTATAGATCTTTCCTATCGTTGTTTGCCTATTAAGTCTAAATCCCAACTGTTGTAATGAATGTTTTAATCAGATGCAAATTGGATACGTGTGTATTATTTCTCACGAACATTATTTTCCCCCACAGTCTGTCCAGAGTAAAAGGATGATCTTTGTATTTTTGTCTGTGAATACTATTATTTAAACTTGATTTGAAGCTTTCGTGACTGCAGGAATCCATACTCTTTGGTTCTTTCAGTAAAGTCACGTAACAAGATTGCTTGTGTTGCGATCGAAACGTCGTGATTTGTTTTATTTAATTTTTACCTATGTGACTTTACCGAAAGAACCAAAGAATAATAATATTATTCGTTACAGTTACGGTGTGATACTTCAACAGGCACCAATGTTCTAGCCATTTGAACTCAAATCTCAGATTTTCCTCCCACTGCCAATTTGTTTAATGGCATGGGCTTCTCATGAGTCAGCTCATCCCAACACGACTCATTATGGAGCGCTATTGGTCATTAAATACAGCTGACTCAGCCCGATGAGCCTCAAAGAGTAAAAATCGCTACTCTACAGTTCGTTAGTATAAACAACTACTGCTGGATAATGATATTAGTGTGTTAAACCAATAGGCTGAAAAAACTATGAACTTTCCAAACCAATATTAGCATGAGTATCATAAGTTATAAGTTCGATGTGGCTGTTGAATTATAAATCAATGTGTCTATGTTCCCGCTACTTTCCTCTATGCATTAATACACCCCTAGTACAACGGATTTTATATTACTATGCCTCATGTATTACATTGTTGAGCTTAACCTGCAATGCATGTTACTTATTTAACAGAATAAGTGAGAATGTAATGTTAACCCAACAACAGTAAATGTCGAAATGCAAAAACTAAACCGAGCTATAACATCAAAATCAGCTGGTATTCGTAGTGATTAGTTAGAACGCTGTGTGTATATATATCCAGTGAGATGGTGTGTATGAGAAAAGTAATATAGCTACGGCTGTTAGCATTGATCAAAATAGAAATTCCACTTTTTATGAAATTACAGTTTCCTGTTTCTCTTCCTTGCCGAGACTTCAATCTGTTGTTTTTTGTTCATTCACTGAAGTGGGTGACTTGCTGTTGCTGCACTGTGCCTTTCTCCTGGGCTCTACCTCTGGATTAGTCTCCGCAACTTCTGACCTTCCATTCCCTCTGCATCTCGTTTTCCCGGCTGTCTTCCTCGTCCTCAGTGATACCACCCCTCCCTCTCAGGACCCCCCAGAGGCTCCTCAGCAGCCCTAGGGAAGCTGCAGGTAACATCGAATGTGTTCTTATGAACTAGGAAACAATTTGACTCGTTTGCAGTAACATTCATATACATTGGGGCAGCTTTACAAAAAAAACGGTTTGAGATTGAAATATACTGAAAGAGTGCATAGACTCGAATGTTGTTTCAGTTTTCAATTGGCAAATTGTGTTGCACATTGTATTTTGTACAAGAGAATAGACTTTAAAATAAGCTTTCTTTCTCACATGCCCCTTGGGCATATGCACGTAACGCATATTTTTGCCAAGCAAAATTTAACTTGGAAGGGATGCGATTAGCTCACGTTCAGGTATATTTGGAGGGCCAAGGGCCTTTAGTTGTCATGCTTCCTGCCTTTGGAACTTTGTCCCAAGTCATATTAAGAATGCAGGAATCAAGACAAATGTTAAGTTGTTTGCATTTGCGTGTCCTTGGGACTGAATAAAGAGCTCTCTATATAAGCTAAATATCTAAATATATTGGATTGTAAGTTTTGTTGATAAGCCTTTCTTCACAAATATTTGCTGGATGTGTGACTGTAACATTTGCGTCCAATGTTTTGCATTAATGCTCGATTAAGTCCTGTGGGTTTTTTTGTTGTTGTTGTTTTTTTTCTCCCAACAGGTCGTACAGCAGGATAACATACTACTCGAGTATCATGAACGGGCAGAGAAGCCACCGTGCTCAGCACATTACCAGCCCACTCACTACGTGGCACAAGGAAGACCACATTCAAAATACAGCCAGGCTAACTTGACCAGTGTTAATAGGATAGTGTATATTTACGTAAGAAAACGATTTTTAAAAATATAAAAAAATATTTTGGTCAAATGTAAAAATAACAAGTCAGCATTTTCACAAACTGGCCCTCCGGTTGCAAGAAATATCGTTTTATTGACCAGCATATAATGTATGTTTATCTCTTTGAAACTATTTTCTCTTAAAATTTGAATGCAAAACAAATATATAATAGAATTTATTTAAAGAGTGTTGTTTTCAAACATAAACACATCATCATTACTAAGCTACAAAAGCATGCAACTACAATCTCTCTCCAAAAGCTATGATACTTCTTATAACAGCAAAATAATAATAACGCCACATCAAAATTGGATGGTAATTCTGTTTCATATTGCAAAAGTGGCTTTCATTCAGCTGGGCTGGATTTAATTAGGGTACTACAAGATTTGTTTTATATCCATAATTACATTTTTTATATTTCATTGGAACCTCACTAAGTTACCTTATAATACGAATTCCCTGCTATATCTGTGAAACGCATTTGCAGTCCACTCAGGTCAATTGGTTCTGTGAATTAGGGGACTTCGCATGATCTAGACAAAGCAGGTTGAATAATTGTAGATTACCGTGTTAAGATAATGCACAGTGGCTTGCTCCTGCATATTATGTGATGGAATATTTCTTTCACATCTACACACTGGCATATGCAGTATTGATGACTCCCTACATCACTGACAAATATTATTTTTGTGTGCCCCCCCCCCCCCCCCCCACTTACTCTCTGAACAAGACAATCCTTGAACATCCTTACCCATAATGCTTTTTAAATTTGAAGTGAAGGATTTTCAACGTGAGCACATGGAAATCCTTCAGAAGCCGCACACAAGGATCCAAAGTCCAGAGGGCAGTTGCCGTCACTCATTTTGACATTTGGACAAAACAATGCAACCATCCTTTGGTGAGGACCAACGCAAGCATTAAAACACACTGGGCAATAGTCTGAGCAGAAAGGAATCTACCCAAGCACAGCCTTTGAAGAACATTTAACAATGCCCCATTGTAGGTAGATAGCTAGTAATACGGCATAAATTGCGAGTTAAACCCAACAATGGATAAATACATTGGAGCAATGTATGTAGCCATTGAGAATACGTCGCTTTTATAAGAATGGTATATAAAAGTAGCCTGGAATATAGGACTACCTTTTGCAATGGCAAGAATGTGGATAATAAACAAAAAGAGTAAGACAAATGTTGTCATAGATATATTGCGTTATTATATTCCTAAGGGTCTAGGTTGTGTAAAAGTCACCTTTTGTCCAAAAGAATAGTGCATTGGAAGCACGTGATTTAGTTTTTGTGTGCAAAGGTAGATTCAAATGTGCGAAACATTGTAGAAAGTTGTATAGATAAAAAAAATTTGTTTTTTCCATAGGTCATTTATATGTCATATATATATAAGAACTGGTATGAGTTCTGCCTGATTTATTTCTTTTCTTTCTTAAATAAATGTGCGGCGTTTTTTTTTTATATGCCAACTTTTGAAGAGTTTGCACCGTCTCTGTGGAGACAGCACTCGAGACAGAATTTGCTCAGAAGCAGCGAGGTGAAATTGATACGAGAGAAGCAGACATCTGGATTATATTATGTGCATGCACAAAAGAGGCTTTTATTTTTAGAAAGTAGTGTTTCAAGGGAAAAAAAATCCCCGTTCCCCCTCAAAATGTTTCCTGACTGAAATTTAATTCAGGGAAATGTATAGCTTCTGGGAAAGCTACATATTTTCCTACAATTAAAAAGACCGTTTCCTGGAGGATGTGCGAGCTGTTAGTTTATATAATTTTATTTATTTTATTTTTTGTAAAAAGAAAACTTTTTTTCTAAATGTGTATTTGTTGTAGTGTAACTGCAAAAACTCATGGTGCTGTCATGCCATATTTTACGAAACGCTGATAATAGGTAACCACGTTTTTAAATTTCATTTTTCTTAAAGATTACGTGAATTTTGGTACACTTTTGTAGCTGATTTTCCATCAATTTATATGACCTGAAACTTGTGGATAAATGTCAATATTGTTACGTGTAAACAAAAATATTCGTGTTATTAAAATCATAAACCAAAACATAAATAGAATTGATTATTGGAGAGCAGGTCAACATTTATTTCAGTAAAAGTATCATTCTATTCAAATATAATTCACTGTCATACAAAGTTCAACAAACATCACACATTTTCATAATGTTTCTAGCATGTTCGTCAATGGCATTGAATATCGTTTCACTTATGATTTAGAAATGATCATACACAGAGCTCTATAAGGTACATCTGAAAGTGACTCATGTTGGTAATATTTTCATGTCAGCATGAGGGTAAAAATAAGGGTGAGTCAGGCACAATGACACCCGCGCATTCCAGAGCAACCTCAAGAGGCATCTATGGTATCTCCGGTGACTTACAATATTAGTCAAGAGCCCAAAACAATCACTTTTTGTGTTGAGTGAGCCCATGTAACATTATTTCCCCTAAAAGGCCACCAGAACTATTTGAATGGGCTCCCATCATTTGTTGGTCGCCAATGTTTTAGACCTAGTGCACATAACATCAAATGTTAAGTAACTTTTTTTGTGTACATTTTAGCACAAGCTATTTAGATATTGGCTTGCATTACAATATCGTAACTATTCATGTCCCACCATTACATTGACAAGCAAATTACAACATTGCATTTTTGTACAATAGCTCGTCATTGAAAATAGATTTTCCCTCTGCAGTTTATAAACCCTTCATACACTCATGGGCAACACATAATAGAAGTTGGCTAGGGATTGATTTACATGTACAAATTTAAGCACTTGTATGAAAAAGAATGTTTTGCCTTTGTTCTCCATTCAGTAAAATGAGTGCAAGATATACATATTTTAAACAAATAAAGTATAATTTCTTTAAACAAATAAAGTATAATTTCCTTAAAATAAACATGTTTTTATTAAATATTAAATTAACAATACATTCTGAATACATATTAAACCACTTTGTAATGTACTCCTAAACAATATATGATGTGCTTGTATCGAAGACAGCGGGATTTATAATTTGCTTATTTTACCTGCTTCAGCAAAACACACTTAGGTTATGACCTTTGATTATAAGTAATGTATCTGACTCAATGCAGAAAATAGGAGGTATTTGTGGTATTGGTGGAATGTTTGACACTTTTGAAAAATGTGTCACCTGCTAAATATAACCAGAGTATATTACTTTAAGGGTGCTTGCCACCAACATTGAACCAGTATGGTAGAAGTTCTAAAGTAGCACAAGTCATCACTTCAAAAAGCCTTCGAATCTATGTCTTCAAGGCTATATTTTGATGACGAGCAGCCACACCAAGTTTAACACGCTTGTTTCCTTACGTAAAATAATTTCTCTTGTCACATTTATCGATATCCTTACTAGCTTCAGATTATGGTAAATACAGTTCTTGCTTTTCAATAGTCATCAATCTAAAGTCATGAAACCAGTTTTGTACCATTTTTTTACAATATTGAATTTCATTGAAGACCATACATAAACACCTTGCATGGGTAGTTTTTCTAATATATGAAGATGAAATGCAATTCATTGCATGCTTTGTCCTCGAGTCAAAAAAAAAAGAAGTTACATTGCCTTTTTACTTTTGCCATAACTTATTACGTGATGGGCAAATTGTTGAACACTATGGCCGTATTGGTAATCCACATCATGCAGTTTTGCTAAAATCAAGTTTGTAGGAATACCACTAACTGTGCCTGTGCACTGCGGGCAGTGCCATCACCTATTAGAATTCTGAGCTGAATGCTTCTCATTAACTGATAACTTGACTCAATGTCTCATATGGCAATGTTCTATGATTGCTTAAGGAAGTGACTACCTGAAGGATGGACGTTATCCACGACTTCAAAAACAGCCATTGATGCATCTGGCTCAGCATTGTGACCAACATTATGTGACTCAAAATATCCAATTACAGGACATATGAGTTAATATAATTACAAACCATAACTGATATAACAATACATTATTCTAATACAACTTGGATGGCATGTGTTCAAATATAATGTTTGAGTAAACAGCATTCATGGTTAGAATATATAAAAGGTATATATTTACAAATAGTGTATTAACTCCATGACCCTTAACAATGCTGTGTTTATTATAGCAAATCCTATAATCAGTGGTAAACTGGATTTTTCATAGATATAATACTTTCTCAGGTTTTTATGCCAATGCCAGGAAAATTGCCAAATCCATTTGCATTATATGTGTGTTTTTTTAAACAAATTTCTTAATAACACTTGGAAAATCCAGCCAATAACTCTGGTGATCCCATGTAATGTAATGAAGCTTTGAGACATTCACTTTTTAAATCCGAGCATAATTAAATGAATCATGGTAAAAAAAAATACCAATTTAGCCCACAAAAGATATGCCAGCAAATGATTAAAAATACCCTTTTTTTTCGTTTGCCATTTCTTTAATGCTACAGTTAAGAGGCTTGCTTTTTATTTGGCATTCACAATACAATTGAAATACCGAGGTATGTTGCACAGGTCTTTTTACTGCGTCTATAACGTATTGATAGTAAAACAAAAAAATCTAAACTAGTACTATATGTTTTTGATAAAAGAAAAAAATTTCCAGAGTGTGGGAATGAAGAAAAATCTGAAAAATTCCATCTAGGATTATTTGAAACGATGTGAACAAATGTAAATAGGTGGAATTTTCAGTATTTAATTACAAAAAAATCTCATACTTCACACAGATGTACATATAGGAGATATGACATTACCTTTGCAGAGGACCATTTAGCCTATAAGCTGAAGACCAATATGTTTTATAAACAGTATTAGCAGTCATAAATATTTCATTTTGAATTGACTGCCGTATATGTTTAAAATTGGACACACGAGTCCATTTTTAAATGTACATAAATAGATGAATTGTACAAAGATAATTTTACGTCATTTTGTCATCTCTGTATAATATGACTTAAGTATTTCTTTCATTGTTGTATTGTTAAGCTGGTTCTTAATATCTTCGATAGCTATTAGTATTGTTTTGTTTTAAATATTGATGTTACTTCTGTGCTTGTTGTACCTAAAAGTATAAGTTATATTTGAGAGGCGTTTAATTAAAGTTGCTCAACTTGGTCCATCGATAAATTGCTATACATTGTAGATAGCATGTATACTGATAAGCAAGTTCATGCTGTTGATAGTGTGCTTTTTTCACCTGCAGGCATTAATAAAGCATGGAACAATGTGAGCGTTTATAATTATGAGTTTTAATGGTGTCTTCTTCAATAAAGTATCTTAGTCCAGCTTTATTGCTGGTGTGTTGACAAGCAGTTTTTTTTTAAACGACGTTTCACCTTTTTTTACAGAATAATGTGGGGAGTGGGTAAACCGTTTCCACCTGTCCTGGTTTTCCCAGGATCATCCTCATACTGAGTTGGTGTCTCTGCTCATCCGTCGCACTGCGCTTTCAGGGCAACCCAGATGCTCTGAAATATTCAAGGGCTTCCACGCCGATGTACAACCACCTGTGGATGCAATTTTTTTTAATCATAAAACACAAACATTAATTCGTCATTTGTGTGCCTGTGCTTAACTGCATCGCCCTATTAATTCCTTTTCTGCCCTCACCCTCAGCCAAGCTAGCATTTTAAACAAACATTTTAGCAAAATTGTAACAAACATGCAACGACTTACGCAGATTAAAGACAATGATTCCAGACGTCGCAAAACAAATCCATCCAAGTCACTGCACCAATGTAACCAGGCTCCCTCGACGTCTCATTCTTCGGTCGTGATCTTTGGAACTTGAGCTGTGGTCATTTGTGTTCTGCGTTTGTGAGCTCCTGCCTGATGTAGAGAAGGCATGGAGAGTCGTCGATGAACCACGGTGAAACTTTAATTCATCCGCTCAATAGAAGCATACTCGCAGCAGCACGCAAGTGTCCTCCCGCGCAAAGCCGATTAGCATGTATTAATTCTAGATTTGAAACTTTCGTGACTGCAAGGATTCATACTCTTAGGTTTTTTCGGGAAAGTCACGTCGGTAAAAAAATAAAATTAATAAAAGTAAAATAAAAATTCCGAAACGTCGTGAATTTTTATTTTACTTTTATTAATTTTAATTTTCTTTTTTACCTACGTGACTTTACCGATTATCACGGTTGGCTGCGTAGGGTGCAAAAGAAGTGCAACGTACATGCAAAGCAGCACGAAAATCTGGGCCAGTAGGTCACATCCTCATCCCTAATCACTCACGGAGGAGCAAAGCCCAGTGCACAGTACACACCACTGAAACGACTCGATTCAACACAGACACGTTACAGGAGATGTGCGTCTTCCCATGATATGGCCCGATTTATGTACCTCACGTGGCGACCTGAAAAATTATTATTACACTTATATAACTATATTTTAAGTTTGTCTTTTAACAAAGACTATGCCAACAACTAAGCAGGAAATGTTCAGCCAATTCCAATATGGCCTTGGAAAACAACCTTGCATATCTTGACGAAAGAATGTAGGCAGGGTTGAGACTTGATTACCCTTCTGATTATGTGCATGCAGATGTCACTGCAATGTCATTGTCATTTGAGGTGGCCTCATATGATACAATTTGGGTTTACGGTACAGGTACATAGCATATAAATGCGACCGAATCTCAAGACGCTCGACAAACAGTGGGTATGTATATGCAATTGAAAGGCAGTCAGTCGTTTTTTTTTTTGAAAGGCGGTCAGTCGTAACCAGACGAGAGGAGGAAGGTCTTTGGCCTCGACTTCAATCGTGCAGGGAGTTCATAGCACGATTTGCAGAGTTCCAAACGATATGGGCAGCACTGAATGAGCGACCTCTTGCCTGAGCATTGCTGACCAATGAGCACTTCTACGTTAGGTTCTGGACCGAGTGAATACTTGAGTTAATTCCACAGCAAAACGGCAGTCAATATGACAAATATCCCTTAAATTTGGTAAATAAATGATGTGGTGATGCTGCGTTGGCAGTGGTGCACAAGCACAATTATCACAAACTAAACACATTCGTCGAATACTTCCTTGAAAATAAATAAATTGTATACAGGGATTACTTACGAACGAGTTAGATTCCAGAAGTCTGTTCGTAAGTCGAGTTGTTCGTAAGTCCAACTCTACTCCTGTCGATTCTAAACATGTTGTACGGCATGCACACTAAACACGGGGAAATGCCTTTAAAAGTTGTATAATCTCCTGGAGATGTAGATGCCACTGGTTCTTCATGTTCTGCAGATGTAGATGCCACCACCGCCATCTATTCTGGATATACGGACAGGTTTGTTGATATCTCTGAAAGTTCGTAAGTCGAATGTTTGTAAGTAGAGGAGTCCCTGTATATTATCTGAGACGTTTCGGGCAATGACCCTTGTTCAAAGCACACATTTGGTTCGGCTGATGTGTTCGAGCAGACGGTTTGTAGGCGCCCTCCGGTGGCTCAACCCTTAACTGCAGCAAAAAACAATTCAATGTCTACACATTCAGTACGTTTTTTTTAAAATAATTAAGCTGTTCTGTATTTATAACATCAAAAGACACATCAACCTCACTCAGCTTACCTAATATAATTGGCCACTGTAATAATTAGGTGTATAGTGTACTGCAGTTTTTAACTGGTGTGTATAACCTTGGTAAAATAAGAGATTATTTTTTAGATGCTGCTGCGTTTGCAGTGGCACACAATAAACAACAAAACGCAACACATTCGTTCATAAATGTGGCCTTAAAATAAAAATGTATAAATATACAAAAATATCACTTTGAATCTAGAATGGTTCAGCAACGTTATTCCGCACGCCAATACGCATTCATTACAAAATAAAATTGCAGTCATTATAATCAAGGCGTTTGCATGTTTTTTCTTCATTCAAACCATCGCCTTCAACACTTCCGGGTCCTCCGATTTTTCCCCTCCACGTTCTGAAACGTGCGTTAGAGGCATTGGTTGCATTACATTTCCATAACACATTGTCCTGCGGAGGGAGCTGGTATGAACGTTGGGTTGCTCGGTCAATGGCCAGGGTCAACGGCGGCGTGGTGTATTCCGCAAATATGCCCGACTGTGAGGGCGGGCACAAGCCGGCGTGAGTAGGTTAAACGTTGAGTTTTATAAGGGCACCACGGGGTGACCAGCCCCTCCCCACCCAGCCCCACCCCATCCAGCCCCTCCCCACCCTCCCTCCCCACCCAGCCCCTCCCTCCCCACCCAGCCCCTCCCTGTATGACAGACACAATAATCCCCTGTGGGCTGGTGTAACCAGGAGGTTCCTACCAGTATAAGCCACTTCGTTGAGCTAGCAATCGTGGTCAGGCCGCTTCTGAAAAATAGCGATATAGCTCAGTGGGCTCTCGACAATTCGATAACTTTTATTTTAAGGCCCCCAAATCTAGATTTTAAGTGCCCCACAAACATGTTTGTGCGTGTCATTCAGAAATCGTTAACATATAAGATTGCGGAGTTTTTTTCGTTTGACAGAGCGTGAAACGGCCCCATCCTTCATGAATCCTTCCTCCCTGCCCCATCCTTCCTCCATCCTTCCTCCCTGCCCCATCCTTCCTGAATCATTCCTCCCTGCCCCATCCTTCCTGAATCCTTCCTCCCTGCCCCCATCCTTCCTGAATCCTTCCTCCCTGCCCCATCCTTCCTGAATCCTTCCTCCCTGCCCCATCCTTCCTGAATCCTTCCTCCCTGCCCCATCCTTCCTGAATCATTCCTCCCTGCACCATCCTTCCTGAATCATTCCTCCCTGCCCCCATCCTTCCTGAATCATTCCTCCCTGCCCCATCCTTCCTGAATCCTTCCTCCCTGCCCCCACCCTTCCTGAATCATTCCTCCCTGCCCCATCCTTCCTGAATCCTTCCTCCCTGCCCCATCCTTCCTGAATCATTCCTCCCTGCCCCCATCCTTCCTGAATCATTCCTCCCTGCCCTCATCCTTCCTAAATCCTTCCTCCCTGCCCCATCCTTCCTGAATCCTTCCTCCCTGCCCCCATCCTTCCTGAATCCTTCCTCCCTGCCCCATCCTTCCTGAATCATTCCTCCCTGCCCCCATCCTTCCTGAATCATTCCTCCCTGCCCCCATCCTTCCTGAATCATTCCTCCCTGCCCCATCCTTCCTGAATCATTCCTCCCTGCCCCCATCCTTCCTGAATCATTCCTCCCTGCCCCCATCCTTCCTGAATCCTTCCTTCCTGCCCCATCCTTCCTGAATCCTTCCTCCCTGACCCCATCCTTCCTGAATCATTCCTCCCTGCCCCATCCTTCCTGAATCATTCCTCCCTAACCCATCCTTCCTGAATCCTTCCTCCCTGCCCCATCCTTCCTGAATCCTTCCTCCCTGACCCATCCTTCCTCCATCCTTCCTCCCTGCCCCATCATTCCTGAATCCTTCCTCCCTGCCCCCATCCTTCCTGAATCATTCCTCCCTGCCCCCATCCTTCCTGAATCATTCCTCCCTGCCCCATCCTTCCTGAATCCTTCCTTCCTGCCCCATCCTTCCTGAATCCTTCCTCCCTGACCCCATCCTTCCTGAATCATTCCTCCCTGCCCCATCCTTCCTGAATCATTCCTCCCTAACCCATCCTTCCTGAATCCTTCCTCCCTGCCCCATCCTTCCTGAATCATTCCTCCCTGCCCCATCCTTCCTGAATCCTTCCTCCCTGCCTCATCCTTCCTGAATCATTCCTCCCTGACCCCATCCTTCCTGAATCATTCCTCCCTGCCCCATCCTTCCTGAATCATTCCTCCCTGCCCCATCCTTCCTGAATCCTTCCTCCCTGCTCCTATCCTTCCTGAATCCTTCCTCCCTGCCCCCATCCTTCCTGAATCCTTCCTCCCTGCCCCCATCCTTCCTGAATCCTTCCTCCCTGCCCCATCGTTCCTGAATCCTTCCTCCCTAGCCCCATCCTTCCTGAATCCTTCCTCCCTGCCCCCATCTTCCTGAATCCTTCCTCCCTGTCCCATCCTTCCTGAATCCTTCCTCCCTGCCCCCATCTTCCTGAATCCTTCCTCCCTGTCCCATCCTTCCTGAATCCTTCCTCCCTTGCCCCATCCTTCCTGAATCCTTCCTCCCTGCCCCCATCTTCCTGAATCCTTCCTCCCTGGCCCCATCCTTCCTGAATCCTTCCTCCCTGGCCCCATCCTTCCTGAATCATTCCTCCCTGGCCCCATCCTTCCTGAATCCTTCCTCCCTGGCCCCATCCTTCGTGAATCCTTCCTCCCTGGCCCCATCCTTCGTGAATCCTTCCTCCCTGGCCCCATCCTTCGTGAATCCTTCCTCCCTAGCCCCATCCTTCGTGAATCCTTCCTCCCTGGCCCCATCCTTCGTGAATCCTTCCTCCCTGGCCCCATCCTTCGTGAATCCTTCCTCCCTGGCCCCATCCTTCGTGAATCCTTCCTCCCTGGCCCCATCCTTCCTGAATCCTTCCTCCCTGGCCCCATCCTTCCTGAATCCTTCCTCCCTAGCCCCATCCTTCCTGAATCCTTCCTCCCTGGCCCCATCCTTCCTGAATCATTCCTCCCTGGCCCCATCCTTCCTGAATCCTTCCTCCCTAGCCCCATCCTTCCTGAATCCTTCCTCCCTAGCCCCATCCTTCCTGAATCCTTCCTCCCTGGCCCCATCCTTCCTGAATCATTCCTCCCTGGCCCCATCCTTCCTGAATCCTTCCTCCCTAGCCACATCCTTCCTGAATCCTTCCTCCCTGGCCCCATCCTTCCTGAATCCTTCCTCCCTGGCCCCATCCTTCCTGAATCCTTCCTCCCTGGCCCCATCCTTCGTGAATCCTTCCTCCCTAGCCCCATCCTTCGTGAATCCTTCCTCCCTGGCCCCATCCTTCGTGAATCCTTCCTCCCTGGCCCCATCCTTCGTGAATCCTTCCTCTCTGGCCCCATCCTTCCTGAATCCTTCCTCCCTGGCCCCATCCTTCCTGAATCCTTCCTCCCTGGCCCCATCCTTCCTGAATCCTTCCTCCCTAGCCCCATCCTTCGTGAATCCTTCCTCCCTGGCCCCATCCTTCGTGAATCCTTCCTCCCTGGCCCCATCCTTCCTGAATCCTTCCTCCCTGGCCCCATCCTTCCTGAATCCTTCCTCCCTAGCCCCATCCTTCCTGAATCCTTCCTCCCTGGCCCCATCCTTCCTGAATCATTCCTCCCTGGCCCCATCCTTCCTGAATCCTTCCTCCCTGCCCCATCCTTCCTGAATCCTTCCTCCCTGGCCCCATCCTTCCTGAATCCTTCCTCCCTGCCCCATCCTTCCTGAATCCTTCCTCCCTGGCCCCATCCTTCCTGAATCCTTCCTCCCTGCCCCATCCTTCCTGAATCCTTCCTCCCTGGCCACATCCTTCCTGAATCCTTCCTCCCTAGCCACATCCTTCCTGAATCCTTCCTCCCTGGCCCCATCCTTCCTGAATCCTTCCTCCCTAGCCACATCCTTCCTGAATCCTTCCTCCCTGGCCACATCCTTCCTGAATCCTTCCTCCCTAGCCCAATCCTTCCTTCATCCTTCCTCCCTGCCCCCATCCTTCCTGAATCCTTCCTCCCTAGCCCAATCATTCCTGAATCCTTCCTCCCTGCCCCCATCTTCATGAATCCTTCCTCCCTAGCCCCATCCTTCCTGAATCCTTCCTCCCTAGCCCCATCCTTCCTGAATCCTTCCTCCCTGGCCCCATCCTTCCTGAATCCTTCCTCCCTAGCCCAATCATTCCTGAATCCTTCCTCCCTGCCCCCATCTTCATGAATCCTTCCTCCCTGGCCCCATCTTCATGAATCCTTCCTCCCTAGCCCCATCCTTCCTGAATTCTTCCTCCCTGGCCCCATCCTTCCCCTCACTCGCTAGGAACTCGACGTAATCCCCGTACCAGCAAAAACCTCACTTCCCATACCCCATCCATATTCACCGCATCACCTTTAGCTTATCCTCCCACTCATAGCCCGTGTAAAGCGCCTTTAATGAAGGCGCTGTCTATAGATATGAAGTCAGCCAATCGGCGTCGAGGGGCGGACTAAAGTGTGGGGCGGGTGGGGCGGGTGGGGCTGGGCTTTTTCGATCCACAAATCGTCCGCTGTAGATCACCGACTCGTCGATTTCGATCCGGAAATCGCGTCAAAGGAATGGACGGTGCTTGATCCAAATCGATTCCAGGTTAATCGAGCATCTGAATCGTTTAAAAAAACAACACCACCCCAACGTCGATTCCCGTTTAATCGATGCAAGGAATCGTTAAGACAACCCCAACGTCGATTCCATTGCCCAGTATTGCTTGTATGGGCAAAGCCACCACCCCAAACCCTCCCACAACCTCACAGTTAACACATACACGCGCCTAAAACATTAACGCAATTCATCATTAATTCCATCGCGCGGATTTAAACATCAATTTTTTATTCGCAATCTCGTTACACCGAATCGCTCGCTCCCATTGGCTGGCGGCGGTCGCTTTTCGCCGGCTATCCCACAAGGCAGTGCGGCGGGCACCCCCCCCCCCCACCCCCCCACGTGGTTTGCGGGCAGCATGGCGGCGGTCGGTGTGCACCTGGGCAGCACATGTGCGTGTGTGGCAATCTACAAGGTGAGACGTCGGCGAACGTCGCGTTTTGTTTGTGTGCGCGTGTTGCCCCCCCCCCCCCCTGACCTCACCTCCACCCCTCCTCTCACCACCTCGGGGTGTGCGGTCTGTGAAGTGAAGAGAAACGCGACCCTGACCGAGGCCTGGGCTGGGCCGAGTCACCAGCGCAGCTGTTCCCTGCCGCATGCGCTGCGCCCTACAGGAACCAAATCCCGGGCAAGCCTCAGGGCCGCAGCGCGCTTTGCTGTTCATTCATGACAGACACAGCCTCCCTGGGTGTCCCCTTCATTTGAGTTGGTATCTCGTGGTCCTTCTTAACCTTCTCTAGACTCACCAAGCCTCAATGGGCGCCCCTGTGTCTCCCCATGGTTCGCAATGGTTGGTTGGTCTCCTAGTGTCCTCTGATATTTTTTTTCTTCCGTCGGGCCATTGAGTCATTTATAGACTCATTGTGTTCACCCAGGTCACACTGAGTATCCGCTCGTCTGTGTGTTTCCTCTGCTAGTCTGTCTGTGTCTTCCCTGGTCGTCCCCTCATCTCACCATAGGCCCCTCTCGTTCACTCTTTGACTCCACGTGGATTCCCCTGGTGCTCACTTGAGTCTGGGTTACCACTGGATGAAACCTCGGCCCCCCGCTGGAAGCCATTTGGGCCCCCGGGGTTAATGCAGCTTTCTCCAGGTCCCCCAGTGGTTTCCTCTGTGGGTTGGTGTCCCATGATCCCCACTTGTAACCCCTCTACCTGGTTTCCCCGTAGCACACGGGGTCCCCCCGCCCTGTTATATCCGAGCCCGCGCGGTGTTTCCAGTCCTACCCGGTCTTCCCTACGTCTTGACCCTGATCCCCTCCGGTACCCCCTGCTCTCGGATTCCTTCCCAGTCACCATTCTATCTCACTCGTCTCAGTTGATCGCCTGGCGGTTGGGATTCGTGTTGGGGTCCGGAGGAGCTTCCAGGGTGTTGTTAGCAGTGATTTATTTTGTTTTATTCTCTACCTACGTGACTTTACCGAAAGATCCAAAGAGTATGGATCCCTGCAGTCACGAAAACTTCAATTCTAGATTAAGACTAAAGTTATTTATGTTTTTCATTTGTATATCAAGGAAAGTCTTTATTGGGTTGCAATACTTTTTCAACCGCGTCATCTATTGCAATTTGTGGCCATTCTTTGTAAGTAGTAGTTTGCTTCTTGATTCATCAATTACTACTGGCTGAGTACTAGATTACAGGCATTTACCACCATGTCTAAGCTGAAAGCTGATGATAGCCTGCTCACTTAAAGTGGAGAACTGTATTACTCAGACTGCAGTGTGCTCATATATACGGTGACGTGTGTAGTGCCATGGTGTGCGCGCAGGAGTGTATTTCAGCATCCTTAACTTTGTGTGTATAACATCTTAACTCTCTCCACATGCTGGATAGCATGAGACGCTACTGTTCATTTTCTTTTTCAAATCATAGGATCGGTACTGCTACATTTCAACCCATCACTTGCCTCCTCTGGGTGGCGTTTGTTTAGAATATTTCTATGAACTGGTCAGAATATAAACCTGCTACCAATTGCCTACATTCACAAATAACAATATATAATTTTAACCCATTTGATTTAACGTTGATGATTTAACTGCAATAAGTATTTTAATGAGTATAAAAGGGATTGCATATGGTTTGTAGGGTAGGGAAAATCCATGAAAAAACTATGGAATCAACAAATTAATGCAAAAAATATATTTACACACAGTTTGTATTAATCCCTGGAAGATAAAACCTAGAACGGATTCATGTTAGTGCGGTGGTAGAGACAAATCTTGCCTCATTGTTCTTCAAAAGGATCTGCACGAACATTAGTGTCACCTTTAAGTGCTGTCTTGCATTTTACAACCACATTTTGTAAACAATCGGAATATATTTCTAATGATATTCTTTAAAAGTTGTTTAATAAATTGAGATTGGCATGAATATGGTTGGTATTTTAACATGTCTGCTCTTATTAATATTATTTTGTTGAGTGGTATAGTGTTAGAAATAGTGGGTACATGATGATTGCTGTTGTCAGCACTCTGTAGTACTGGCAGTGTTTTGAACTGACAGCTGCTTAATTGATCCTATAATGTGTCCAAAATGTGTTGCAGGATGGACGCGCCGATGTCATTGCCAATGACGCAGGTGATCGGGTCACACCAGCTATGGTGGCCTTCCGTGACAGTGAAAAGGTGAGAAGAGGGTCTTTTGCATCTATAAATGGTTGGCAAAAGTCAGTGCGCAATTGATGTGTTTTGAACCATTTCTTATGTGTGGGTGTTTTTTTTTGTTGCTTAAAATATTCTAGGATGCACAGGTTAAAGGACACGTTGTTTAACAATAGCAATGCATTATTATTGATAAGTGTATTAACTTTTTCCAAACTAAATAAATTGTGCGTTTTTTTGAGAGTACAATATTATAAACATTTTCTGAACAATTGGCAGTATGAAAATTAAATTGCTTTATTTCAATTTCAGATTGTGGGACTGGCGGCTAAACAAGGCAGGATTCGAAATGCAACTACCACAGTAGTTGGCGTAAAACGAATTTTGGGACACAGGTAAGTTTCTCGGTCACAAAAATGGGTTTTCTACAATTTAAACGTGTTAATTCGCATCCTCTGCACCATAAGTGAGGAGAAGGATAAGGTTAAATATTTATTTTTAAATGGGGTGCACCAAATATGTTCAGATTTTTTTTTGCTTTTGATAATTTGTTTCACTCTGGATTCTAGGCCGTAGAAAAGGGTACACATGTATTTAATCTTAAACTGTGTAAATTAACTTGATTATTTTATGTGAATGTAGATAATATTGAGCTGAGGCATGAAACATGGCTGAATGTGTTGGCGTACACACTGCACTGAGAGATGGAGAGAGAGACGGAGGGTGATGGAGACGTAGGGTGACATAGATATACCCGTTCATTGAAATATACATTTCAAAAATACTATTCACAGAATACTTCTAAGGGATATGCTATTTGACAGACTAGTCATAAATTGTTTGGTGCACCCCTAGAGTGTAAGCACAACGGTAAACGGTGCACTTACAGTTTTAATGCATTAGTTTTTTCAATCAGAATGGTGTCCTTTTGTGTATTGTTTTGCAAATTGTGTTTTTTATGTCTAGGTTTGAAGATGATGTGGTACAGAAATACATATCCAGCAGCAGTTGCCCAGTAAGTTTATACCATTGTTATCTTGCCTGCATAATGTTCAGGAAAGTTTGTTTTCAATAGCCAAGGCTTATTAAATTATTTGGTTCTGTAATTTAATATATTGTTTTTTTATATTAATGGTGAAAAGCAATTTCTTCATTATACATTGTCCTTTCGATTTAAAATACTCTTTAAATGGTTTTTATATATACTAAAATGATACATTACAATGTGTTCAAACTTTGAATGTACTAATAATGATAAGGCTTATAATGCAGATGAAAGATATCCGTACAAATTTTTCTTTTACCCTTACAGGTTATTGAGAAAGACGGCTATCCAGTTTTTTCGATTAATAATGGCACCGTTAAAAAGCACATCACACGCCATGAAGTAGCAACACTCATACTGCAGAAAATGAAAGGTTTGGTTTATATTTTATTTCCTCCACATTTTTTTAATTTTGTACATTGGTATTTATAACACATGGAAATATATTTATATTTTTTCGTTTATTTTAATTCTTCCAGAGACGGCCTTGTTTGCAGTCGGTGCAGACGCAAAGGATGCTGTAATCACAACCCCTCTGAATTTTACAGAACAGCAGGTCGATGAAATCAGGTACGACTACCACATGTGGTACATGCAGTCCGAAGTATTTGCTCTGTGGTTTATCCATGTTTATAGTTCAATGATTGGATGCTCCGTTCTGCCTTTGTCCTCGTGTTTTACAGGCAAGCAGCAGAGTCGGCAGGCTTCAATGTCCTACGGATATTAAGCGAGCCAGCAGCTGCTCTCTTGGCATTTGGAATTGGGCAGGAAAATTCCCACAGCAAATGGTATGTATTGTGTGTTCAGAGAATTCCTATCCGGATCTTCTTAAGCTGGACTGTGAGCTCATTAGTGATACACTGCTATAATGTAATGTGGCTATTATAATAAATAAGAACGGGAGACACAGCAGAGCCTCACCATTCTGGCGAATTGCCTGATGATGCTGGATGTAATTACCAGCGAAACGTCGTACTCAAATTGTAAATGTTGTGGTTTCACGCTTCAACACACCGGTGGGCTAAAGCAGTGAACTATTTGTCTTTTGTCAACGTGACACTTTTTTACTGATTGGCCGTGTCGGGTGGTGGAGGGTTACGACACATTTATAAATAACGCGATCTAAACCCAAAAACGTTGATTATGAATAATAGAGCAACTGTGATGTCGTGGTTACCACACTGGACTTGCAATTCAGAGGTCACCAGCTAATTCTATCTCGCAGTGTGGCTGCTAACAGTAGAAATGGGTACGTCACAGTTACTTAATTGGCAGGCCTTCTGGTGGAGTAAAAGTGTCCTCTCATCTCTACAAAAATTGAAGAGTATGCCAAATACCCTCGTGGGGAGCTTTCCAGAGCTCCCTCTCGTGGAGGCTTTTCCTTTAGCAGTTCTGTAAGAAAGTAAGTTCTGAATAGCACCTATAGCAATAATATGAAGCATGTTATGTATTGTCCCATTTAATTGAGGTTTTGTCTGTTGTATATGTTTTTCTCTTTGCTCTGTACAGCAAAGTGCTTGTATACAAGCTGGGAGGTACGTGTGCGGATGCGACAGCAGTTGAAGTAAACAGCGGCTTGTATCGTGTTCTGGGATCGGTGTCGGACGACACTGTGGGTGGAGAGGAGTTCACGGACGCGCTAGCAGAATACCTGGCTGCCGAATTTCAGAAGTAAGGGTAACTCATGTGTTTGCCTGTTTTGTTGAACGTTTATCAACACTTTTTATAATGGGGTACTAGCAGAAAACCCCATTGAATACCCCTTTTGAATGCAATGCCATAGACATAATATCTCGTGCAAAGTTAAGTACGTCACTGAAATAATATGGAATCGTAGACAATAATTTCTTTCAAAGCCTATACATGGCTCCCACTAATCTCAATATATTTATTAAAACTGCTATATAAGGTATAAAGCCACAGTATATAATCGTCTTTTTAGATTAAGAGGGTCACTATAAATCGGTGTGACATCAAGTACAATTTCTAATATTACACGAACTTCACATTGTAATCGTAATCTTAATGGCGACAAATGAAATTGAGGGAATTGATAAAGTTGATACGCTACACCAATTCGCCAGCATGAAAATTGTCTCGCGCTTTCAAGAGGACAGACTTATCGCTGGAAATATACGAAAACTGATCATATATGTCGACGAGGGGGTGCGTGAGTTGAGCAGAGGTGGAAAGCGAAGATGAGAGTGACACTTGTTTTGCTGTTTCAGATTCCACCGGCAGGACCTGCGAGGGAACAGTCGAGCAATGATGAAGCTTCACACACATGCCGAGATGGCCAAGCACGTGCTGTCTACCATGGCCATCTCCAATTGCTTTGTTGACTCGCTGCACGACGGGCTGGACTTTGAATGTAACATCACGAGGTGAGGGGGTGTGACACAGCCCATTGAGTTTCACGTGGAGATAAGCAAGTTGTGAATGTCATTGTATGATGGGTTCTCCGTTTTGGTTTTATATCAGCATTATAATGTAAGTGCAGCTTGCCCTGAAAAATGTTAATTAAACAGCAGTTTTATTCAATGCAATCAAAAGAGCTGTTATCTGAAATGAGCATTTTCCTCACAAGATGGAGCGTTTATGCTTCTCGATAATAGTTTGTTCTGAACACCCATATTTACACATTTGCTATTGTTTAGTATTTTTATTCGGGAAAATATTCAGTCTGTGTGTGTCGTTTGAATGTCCACAATTTAGCCTTTGTCGGTAACTTTTCCTTGTGCCTGCAGGGCAAGGTTCGATTCCCTGTGCTCAGCCCTCTTCCAGCAGTCTCTACAGCCCATCCACGACCTGCTCACGCAAATCAACCTCACCGCCAGCGACTTCCAAAAGGCACGAGCAGTTGCATTCATTTCATGCAGGCTCTACCGTTAGTTGGAATACTACCGTGACCTGACCTGTACGCATTATTGTGACCTGACCTGTACGCATACTGGGTCTGAATTCGATCCGTGTCAGAATTTTTTGTTATTAATGATGCATGTCGATGTAGTTAGTGTAAGTTGGTGTAAGTGTATTATTGCACGGTCAGACTTATAGTTATTATGATCGTAATCGTAATTTGAACCTTGTTTGCAAAAGTATTTTTTTTATTTACGTTAAAATTGCTCGCAATTTTTTTAAATCAAGTAATCAAAGAATATATATTTATTATTTCGACCGTGCATAGTTACAGCTCTGCTTACAAATATGATGGAAAAAAATAATCACCTTTTTTATTTAATGAATGTGCACAAATTAATTATTGCATTTTAATGTGTGTGTGTATAGTGGTGGCTTCAAGAAGGAGTTATTCACAATGAATAACTCCTTCTTGGCCAATAAGGTCTGGAACAGAGCTGAGTTGAAACGTGATGTGAAGATGTTGATCTTTGATTGGCTTCGCGGCCAGTCTGTTCTCAAAATGAAATGTGACTGTAGTTAGACTTATAACAGATAGATTTAAAGTTTGCTCGCAAAAAGATGAGTGATCAGTCGTACTTTATGTAATTTGCTAGGTATTTAAATTTGAAGTAAATTAAAAGGGCACATGACTATTGAAAATAACATTTATACTGGAATGCAATTATTGCATCAATTAAAATATATTTTGCTTATGATGCATGCATTTTATCTTATATGCAAGAATATATTATGTAACAGTTTCTACAAATCCAATGTATGCGTATGTTAATGAAACAAGATAAAATGAGACAATTGAAATCAAACAAAGCGAGAAAAAATTGGATGACACATGAGGCAGATGAGATGCGCATATTACATGAGAAACACATTACCTGCCAGACCGGCTTTACAAATAAGATGGTACAAGCCCAAAAAAAATCATTGTTTCTCCAGTCAAAATCTAACCTCGAATCACAACATAATATCACTGGGAGAGTGTATTGCTATGTGCTTTATTATTGAGCACAACTTTATAAAGAGTCCTAATTTTTACGTCATGAACCTTAAATAACCACATCGAGTAAAAATGAATGGGGGCGCGATGGCTGATGTTGAATAAGATTAACATCCGGCGGTTGTCCGTCTGCTTCAGGTGGTGCTGTGCGGTGGTTCCGCACGGATTCCCAAACTTCAGCAGCTGTTGCAAGAGCAGTTTGTGGTACGTGTCAGCGCAACAATTGCCCCCCCCACCCACCGCCTTGCTCAACAGTGGGGTTGCTGTGATATCGCGACAGTATGATAAATCACTTATTTACATTTTAAAACTGAGCTATTCTTTTATTTTGCCAGGTAAGGCCCACTGAGCTATATAGTATTTTTTCAGAAGTGACCTGGCCACAAGTGGAAGTGGCTTGTGTGAAAATTTCTAGCAGCCAAATACTCAAAGCGCACATTTCTAAATGTGATAAATACATCGTGTGATAAAAAGTCCTTGATGATTGTATTCTGTTTTTTTCAAAATTGTATTTTAATTCCTGATAATACATATGAATTGACAAACTCGTTCATTGCAGTTGGACATGCATAGCTGTTAGTCATTAAATTCTCATTAAAATGTTTTCTGGAGTAATTGAGGCCATAGCAATTATATGACATCATTTAGTCTCACTGACAGCATGTGCATTTTAAGCATTATAGTTGATAATGGTTCTAAATTCTTATGGGCAGTTTGCTTTATCATGAACTGATGTAAGAACTTGTATTTAATCGTTATGCGTACTGAAAGTACAAATACAATAATAAATACAATGTGCGTGCCTTGCTGGTTTGCCGCTGTGGCCCAGGGCTCTGAGCTCATGTGCAGCATCCCCGTGGACGAGGTGATCGCTCTGGGTGCAGCTGCCGAGGCGGGGATTCTTCTGGGCCGCGATGCGGTGCGGTTCGACCCCGAAGCACTCTCCATTGAATGCGCCTCTCTCGACATCCTTGTTAAGGTGACCCGCACGCATTTGCAGCCTCCCTTTGGTTTTTGAATCCTTCTTTAATAGTTTTTCCCCCCAAGGTGTTCAGGCGGCTTGGGCAGGTCAAAAGCACCGCGCTTGACACTGATGACAATCTTGGGTTTGAATTCACACAGTCATCTGTGATTCAACTGAGTGGTGCTATGTGTAGCGTGTTCATCTTCTCGGCGTACGATGTAACTTCCATTTGCGCACCACCGCCAATGCATTCCCTTAATATTTTGTAAAAAAAAAAGTTTCTTTAATTGACATGGTCGGCCAGCACGCCGTCCGTATTGAAACCCTGTTTCTGGACGGTGATGTGGCAGGAGCAGGACGAGGCGGGGCAGGACTGCTACACGGTGGTGTTTCCGGTCGGCACGCCACTGCCCGCTCGCCGCCAACACGTCTTCCAGGCCCCCGGCACGCTGCCCTCTGTGCTCGTGGATGTGTACGAAGGGGTTGCGAAAGGCAGCTCGTTTGAGGGGGAGCACCTGGCTCAGGTGAGGGTGGGGGGGGGTCCCTGGCTTCGAGGAACTCGTGTGCTTTCTTTCATGTGAATAGTGTGGAAAAGACCAAGCTTTTCCGCATTCTGATTTAAATTCCAGCCATTCTCAGTCCACTAGATGGTTAAAGGCCTCCCCAAGCCGTGTCATTCATCCAGTTTTTTATACCATACTTCAAACTGATCAGTGTGGGTTGGTGAAGGAGGGGCAGGGAAGAGTAGTATGTTACCACTGATATTTGCTGTGGGGAGGAAGTGCACTTAGGTTGCCGGGTTCATAGCTCAGTGCACTAACCACTATCAATACCAGTGCTGCGCAAAGAATGGGATGTTGGTGTAGTCTAAAATGCTATGCAAGTCTTTGTGCCCGTAATAATGCATTTGTTTATCGGTATTCTATTTGGAGCACTGCATTTGTACCAGGGTGTTTCTTATTGTACATGGGTGTTCACATATAGTGAATTTGAGAATATTTTTTTAAATCAAATGAACAATTCATTAATACACGCGATAGATAATTCCCAAAGCTACTGGGCTGAGATGTGGCCATAAAATTGCAGTGTACAGCCAATGAACCCATTGAAAACATCTCAATGAATGTTTTCATGGACACGTTTGCACAGATTTTCCTTTGGGTATTCTGGTTTCCTTCGGCATGTAAAACTCTGTTTAAAGACAAATTGCGCAAGCATTCCAATGTAAGGTGCTGAACAAGAGCATTGAGACTTGGTGAGTCATACAGGAAACATTTTGTGTATACTTTTTAAAACAAGCAGCAATACCAGTGTAAATTATTGAGTTGTTTTCTCATTATATTCATTCTGATTGCGAATCTTTCACTCTGTCATATGTTGGTTGAATTCTACATTTGTCTAGCTGGTGTTAAAAGACCTTCAACAACAAGAGAATGGATTGCGTGACATCTCCACTGTGTTCACCATGAAGAGGTTTGTGCATTTGCAGTTTCAGAAACAGAACCTGATTTTTTAAAATGCATTTCTCAAGAATATATAAATTTTAACATGTTACTGTTCCTATGAGGCCCGAATAAAATTAATGTACAAAGTTTTTCCATTGAGCCAGTAGAGGAAGTTTCAGTAAAAAAACATCCTACTGTTTTGTTTGAAATATATTTATCGAATCTTAAAATGATTGTGTTTGGCTCATGAACCAACTGTTTTGTTGCAGAGCTGTAATGGTAATATAATTAATTATACAGTGCTTCCTTTCTCATGCCATCGTATAGCTGTGCAACAAAAACAAAATATTGGTAGGAACCTCCTGGTTACACCAGCCCACAGGGGATTATTGTGTCCGTCCGTCCGTCGTGCATCCAAAACTGGGAGGGGTGGGGCTGGGTGGGGAGGGGCTGGTCACCCCGTGGTGCCCTCATAAAATTCAACGTTTAACCTACTCACGCCGGCTTGTGCCCGCCCTCACAGTCGGCCATATTTGCGGAATACACCACGCCGCCGTTGACCCTGGCCATTGACCAAGCACAACCCAACGTTCCTACCAGCTCCCTCCGCAGGAATGTGTTTTAACTGTAATTACCACATATTTCTGACGTGCAGTATATAGAGATGCTGCAGTGGTGTAATAGCAGACTAGACTTAAAATGCGAGGCTTTATTAGGTTGAATGATTGTGGACAATAGTGACTGACTAGATAATCATAGTAAAAACTAGGCATTTAACAATTTGACGGGCAGTGATTTGATGAACTGACAATTCAGGGTTTTGATTCAATCCACTAAATTATTTTGTCTCAGTTTTATGATCTCTAACCATTGTTTCTCATTTTATGAGAAATTTGTACAGTTTTTGTTCACTTTAGCCTAAATGTAATGTCAGCATATCACTTGCATGAGTTATGAATATTTGATTCTCAGAAATGCTGCCAAGGTGTAATGGTGAGCACACTGGGCTTGCCATCCAGTGGTTGCCATTTAGGTCTCTCGGCGCATCATTTGGAAGCGGAAAGGTTTTACATCTGATGGTGTCTGCCCTCCTAGCAGAATAAACGGGTACACCGCAGTCAATCGTAATGTCGCGTGGGGCAGGGAAAAAAATCTAGGTGCTTCCACTTATTGCAAGAAGTCTGGCCAGCGTGGAAGAGTAGGCCAAAACACCCTCTTAGTGGCACTGGCTGGTGGAGGCCCTTCTGTGCCAGAAGTTGTGTGAACAAGTACTCTAAGGGTTGTACCTTGAACATTTTACCTTTTTTACAGAATATAATTTATTTTTATTCATTCACAGGGATGGATCGCTGCTTATCACCTGCACAGACCAGCTGAGTGGAACATCTGAAACCGTCACTGTGGAAGCAGCTTCGTGATATGATGCCTTGAGGATTTTAGTGTAGAATAAATTAAGCAACATTTGATTTTGTAAACGTTACAAAAAAAACTTGAATTGGTAGGACCATCTATGATGAGTTGTTGGTCCACTAAGAGTACAGAATATGATTTTGTGGGCAATATTTTCCAGCCTGCATGGAAAATATTTTTTACGTAAGTTCTTGAGCAAAAACATCCTCCGACAAAAAAACACATTTACACATTGTATAGGCAGCAGACCAGATAAATAGTCAATAATATTTGAAATGTGCAGGTGTACAGTATATCTGTAGGAGTAATGCTGTGTGGGGCAAGATGCTTCATGGAATATTGTCCTCGGTTACTTTTTAAATAATGGAGTGATACATTTTTTGCTAAATAAACTTATTACATATCAAACAGTACATTTTACAGCTCTACATTTCTAACGGTATATTTTGTAAAGTGTACATGTACAGTATTTACTCCTTCCATTCAGTAATGACTTAGACATTGACAAGTGCCATGCATGTAAGTGTTGCTTACAAAATGTTGTGGCCACGGCTGTTTAAAGTCCTGACAATTGAAATGTGTAGTTAAGAAAATAATAAACTATAAAGCCAACAACCTTGTTTAATTTGAGTGTAAAAGGCAGGGCATTTATTTAATAATAAAAAGTTAAACTTTCACAAAGATTTATTTAACAACAGTGTCACCTACGAGGAGCGAACGGAATAAAATTTGCTTTGTAACAGCCAGATTTTTTTTTTTTAAATATGCACATGACAGTTTACATGATGTACTCGAATAAATGTTCCATCCCGTCATTTTTGGAACGTGTTCATGAAGCTTTACCACACCTGTCGACGGAAGCTCTCGTGCACGACTGCTGGTTTTAATTTGATGGCATCAAACTAAAAGATGTTGTCACTTCAGTGATGATGGAGGTTGAAAAGCACGCGAGGTGCTTCTATACACTGTGTGTAGTGACATTGTGTGTAACAGCTATTTCATTGCTGTACTTTTGCAAGCTTTGTCTTAGAGTGTGCCTCTTTATTTTTTTTTCTCCTTTTTAACGTTTTCATGTTATCAGGAATGTCTAATAAATGTGAGTTTTATTATGCATTGATCACACAGCTGTTTTGGGGGACATTACTCAAGTGTGTGCTGTGATGGCTATAACTGCTCAAGCAACAGTACAGGAATAGATGCCACTACATGGCTACTCCTGTACTTTAGGAGGGGTTTCTAATTATAGTATTGCTGGGTGCAATGTTAGTCACTGGGTTTATTACCTGAACCACCCCTTTAACCCTTTCCCGTTCCGAGACGTCTGCAAGTTTCAGGGTGGGTCTCATTCACCGCTGAATCTCTGAACACAAGCAGTTAGCGTTCATTTTATTTAAAGGCATACTGCCATTGGTTTTAAAGATACTACTCGCCGCAGAGAACCACACTTGCTAGTGCCACACTGCCACATGCCCTCCCGCATGGCCTTGTTGGAGCTTTGCTGCCGATAAAGTTATTTTAGTTTTTTTTACCGTTCCATTCCGATGACGTTCGTGTACATAATTGGAACGGAATCTGAAGGAAAACATTTGCACGTACGTTAAGGATTATTATAAACACTTTGCCGGGCCCTCTCTTACAGGACTCCCTTTTTGATGCATTTAGAAAGCTTAATGAAAGGTGGTGTGCCATCCACCGTGCCATTTTAAAATAATTGCTTCACTTCCTGCCTCGGTCAAACTATATTCCAAGCATGCATTTTTATATTTTTTTACATTTTCTGCAGTAACTGAACTGTATTATCGTATACTTAACTGGCTTAGATATTTTTGATGTAACAACTGATTTTGAAATGGATTAGAGGTCACAACCATCAGAACTTTCTTCCTCCATTGTGCTGGATTGTTTATTTTCTGCCTGAATTATTTGGGCTAAAATAAGTTTTAGCATGCACTTCATATCAACATGTGTGTTGGGTCTAAAATCTTCCATGGCTTATAGACCTTTAATCCGCATGGTTTGTATAACCATCCACAAATGCTGTATTGTTCAAAGGCAGCAATCGGCAAGCTCTCCAAATAAGCTATCCATAAACAACTCGCTATCACCTTGAGTCAACTATCGCAAACACATTTAACATGACCATACACTCACAAGTATACTAAGCTATATTTTACCAGGTAAGGCCGGCTGAGCTATATAGCTCTGTTTCAGGAGCGACCTGGGCACAAATTATAGCTCAACGAAGTGGCTACCATGTGGAAATCTATAGCAGCCAAATACTCTAAACCCACGTTTTTGACTGTAGAGTTGAAAAACTGGAGGACACTGAGAAAAATCCACGCGACCACGGGGAGAACATGCAAACTCCAAATATACAGGTGTCGGGTTCGGGATCGATCCCACGACCTGCATACCACGTGATGTCATTAACATCTGGCCACTGACAGAATGGCCCTCGACTACAAATCAAACAAAGCACCGGGACATGATAGAAACTGGAAAGTAAAACTTTAGTATGACAGAATATTTGTTCCTACGTTTGATAATTATTAATGTGTTGGATAGCATCATTTAAATGCAGCATGTTTCTATAAAGTTTTTATAATTGATGTGCCACTGGACGGGAGGTGATGGGTGGGGGGGGGCTTGGTGTCGACATTATCAGGGCAGCTTTTCGGGAAGTTAATTGCAAAGTTTGGTCAATCATCTAACTCTTCTTACAACGTACATCGTGCTATTTGTGGCGAGCATACCTAGACTTTTATTGGCATTCAGCTTCGAAAACATATCTCCATGGAGGAATACTTTGCACTTTCGTCTGGTTAGGGACCAGAGCATGGACGAATGTCAAATCAGAGCCTTTATTGAGCTTGCAAATGTATTTTGTCTGCGAAAAACTAACATGCAAATAACTACTGTAACTATATAACATGCGTGCGAAACCTAAATAAACATAAATCAAAGAAAAATAAACTAAATAAAACTAAACAATGATACCTTGAATTTTTTTTTATTCTTGCGTAAATAAATATTGTAGTATTATACTATCACAAAAATAACTATGAATTATTTACAGTATAATCACAGAAGTGTAGTATTAATAATATATGAATAAACACATAAGAGATGCTCACTGAACGACTTCTATTCAAAGACTGAACGAAAAAGGTGGCGCGTGGCGCGAACGTCGTGGAAAGTTCGGAATGAAATCGGACGCAAGAGGAAAGGGCTTGGGCGACATTTGAAATGTGGTGATAGTTGAAAACGCCCGAAAGAGCGAAGCGACGAAAGCCAAGTGGACGAAAGTCAAGGTAACGCTGTACGCAACAATACAATTGAATGTGTAGCCCCAATCCAGCGGCGAAACAAAGTGCACATTTCGTTTTCCGGAGCTCAGCCCCGGTCAATTCCCCCGTGTGTATGATGATGATTGACACGTGTCAGTGAGGGTCGAGGCAGAGCACGTGGTGGTCACGTGGGCCGGTGGGGGGGGCGTGAGAAGTGGGGGGAGAGGGTGGGGGTAGAGGGTGGGGGCGGGGGGTCGGAGAAGGGGCGGTCGGGAGGGGGGGGGGGCTGGAGAGGGGGGGGATCTGGCTGGAGAGGGGGGGGGGCTGGCTGGAGAGGGGGGGGAGCTGGCTGGAGAGGGGGGGGGGCTGGCTGGAGAGGGGGGGGGGGCTGGCTGGAGAGGGGGGGGGGGCTGGCTGGAGAGGGGGGGCTGGCAGGAGAGGGGGGGGGGAGCTGGCGGGAGAGGGGAGGGGCTGGCGGGAGAGAAGGGGGGGGCTGGCGGGAGAGGGGGGGACTGGCTGGAGAGGGGGGGGGGGGAGCTGGCGGGAGAGGGGGGGCTGGCAGGAGAGGGGGGGGGGAGCTGGCGGGAGAGGGGAGGGGCTGGCAGGAGAGGGGGGGGGGCTGGCAGGAGAGGGGGGGGGCTGGCGGGAGAGAGGGGGGGGGGAGCTGGCGGGAGAGGGGAGGGGCTGGCAGGAGAGGGGGGGGGGGCTGGCAGGAGAGGGGGGGGCTGGCGGGAGAGAGGGGGGGGGGGCTGGCGGGAGAGGGGGGGACTGGCTGGAGAGTGGGTGGGGGGAGCTGGCGGGAGAGGGGGGGGGGCTGGCTGGAGAGGGGGGGGGGGAGCTGGCGGGAGAGGCGGGGGGGGGAGGGGGGGAGAGGGGGGGCTGGCGGAAGACGGGGGGGCTGGCGGTAGAGGGGGGGGGGGCTGGCGGTAGAGGGGGGGGCTGGCGGTAGAGAGGGGGGGGCTGGCGGTAGAGGGGGGGGGGCTGGCGGTAGAGAGGGGGGTGCTGGCGGTAGAGGGGGGGGGGCTGGCGGGGGAAGAGGGGGTGCTGGCGGTAGAGGGGGGGGGGCAAGACATTTTTTTGGCGCCACAGCGGTCACGTGGTGCGCGGCGTCGTCCAATCAGCGCGCGGGAGCTTTCGGTTCGCGGGAAAATGGCAGAGGGTGCGAAAAGTGAGTCTGGCTAGCAGCAGACTGCCGGGCGATCGGGGACATTTCAACCGAAGGGATTGTTCGTGGTATTTTGTTGTTGTTGTTGTCGTCGTCGAGGCGGCGAGAGCCCCGAAGCGAGGGAGAAGGGGAGGGCCGCGTTCCAAGAGGCGACGCTAAGGGCCGTCGCCGTTCCGCTTCGCCCATGGAGCTCGGGCCTAAGCGGGGTGAGTTACAGTTGCCATGTGTCATGTAAGCTACAGCTGCTGCTGTTGTTATTGTTGTTATTACGAAGCATTGTTTATCACGTAGAAGTGTAAATATTTGCGATGGGTATTTGTTGTTGTTTGTTGACACGTCGTGAGGAGTTGCGGTGAAGCGAAGTCGAGGTGGTAATGTTGTGGGTGTTGCTTGCCGATGGAGGTCTCTGTTATCAAAGGATGGGCGATGTTCATGTTGATTAACTTTGAAGTGTTGATGTATTTAAGAGTAATGAGATACGTCAGACAATGTTCAAATCGACAACATTCAGAATAATTCGTGGTTAGCTCATTAACTGATTGGTGATTCCACTTCTGTTCCTTGCTTTTGACTGGGGGCGGAAACATTGGCGTGTTTGCAACGGGCCGTAATATCTTATTAACATTAACATCATATCGCAATATATCATTCTTGTAGAACAACTAAATCCACGTTAGGGTGCATCTATAGAACAATTTCACGCAAACGTCAACATGTGTATGATCAAAGTTGTCGGCTATCGTAACCCTCGTACGAGTGAAAGCCACCTCCGCTTATTTTATATCATCATACGTTACTTTTTATATTTAATAAAATGCTTGGTTGCACATTCATATAAACTTATCATCATCGTCATCTCTGGGCCGCATGTACCCACACACTTGTGAAATGCCAGTCGTTGCGCAAAATGTATAGCCACTTGGGAATATTCAACCTCTCCCAGACTTTTGATTTAAAGCTTTCGTGACTTGCAGGGATTCATATTCTTGGTTCTTTCGGTAAAGTCACGTAGAAGGGAAATAATAAAATTATAAAAATATAAAGCAAAAATTCTCACGACGTTTCGACTGCAAGAAAATGTTCTTGCTGTGGATTTCACACCTAATGATGATTGCTTGTGTTGCAGTCGAAACGTCGTGAGAATTTTATTTAGATATTTTTGTTATTTTATTATTTCGCTTCTACCGTGACTTTACCGAAATAATCAAGAATACTCTCCCAGACTCTGTAAGGACTCGTGAAACCACAAGCTTTCTTCGACAAGGACTCTGATAATGTTGCTGCTGCTGCTGCTCTTGCTAAGTTCTCTCACCCCTGTTTTTTGTAGACAGCCCCAGTGCCGCATTAATATGTTGTAGGCCCCTGGGCTACAGGTACTGTGAGGTCCCCAGTTAATATTTTAAAATAGGAAACAAAGTTAAGGAAAAATAAGATTATTTTTTACAAAGCTAACAACAAATAGAATTCAGCATTCACTAATGAAATAACTTTTCACTTAATCTCTGGAGGCCCTTGGGCTTACAGCCGCTAAAGCCCCCGTGCCAAAATCCGGCCCTGCACAGACCCAGCAACTAGTACTTGCCAACCAGACAGAAAAAAACACGTGTCCAGGTATTCTTATACTGCATAGAGCCCTTGTCTCTCTTATCTTTTCCGGTTCCTTGTTTGTAACTGTATAGCGCAATTCATATCGATGTTTCGCGTTGTGTCTGTTTCTCATGCAGATTTCCAGTTGTTGAAATCAATGTGTATTACACTTTAATGAAAGTAAAAAAAAAATGTTGTATAGGGAAATATACTGTAGTTGATTCGATTTCTACTCCCGTTACAGTATGTGCATGGTTGAGTTAAATTGTTGTCAGATCTGGTTTCCTGGTCACTGCAATGAGAATAGGATCAATTTCGATTTAAAGCTTTCGTGACTGCAGGGATTCATCTTCTTGGTTCTTTCGGTAAAGTCACGTAGAAGGGAAATAATAAAATAATAAAAATTAACCATAATCAAATAAAATGTCTCACTAATTAGGATGACCTAAAACAAACTAAATCAAGCCCTTTGTGGTCCACTTGGATGAAGACCTCTCCTGCACGCCGTTTCGGGAATCTTTGACCCATACTTTACTAGCTCCCCCCCCCCCATCATCGCGGTTTGGCAACGTTTGCAAGGAACAGCAGCAGGGCCGTTTGACATGTCACTTGCCCGGAATCTTACTCGGGTTTCGTAAGCACAGTGCACTAATAGCATTACTGTCGCTGTATTTTTGCCCCGTGACAGGGTTAGTGATTTTATATTGAGCTTTACTCTTTCCACAATCAACTGTAATACTGCGTACGGCATTACGTTCAGGTTTGCTAGCCATGAGAGAGGCATTTTACTGGTAGGAACCTCCTGGTTACACCAGCCTACATGGGGATTATTGTGTCCGTCGTGCAGGGAGGGGCTGGGTGGGGAGGGACTGGTCACCCCATGGTGCCCTTATAAAACTCAACGTTTAACCTACTCACGCCGGCTTGTGCCCGCCCTCACAGTCGGGCATATTTGCGGAATACACCACGCCGCCGTTGACCCTGGCCATTGACCGAGCAACCCAACGTTCCTACCAGCTCCCTCCGCAGGAATGTGTTCGTGTAGTTTTGCTACTGCATTGAAGGGGTGCAGACGACAGTGGCTTTCTGTATGGTCCATGGTTTGGGTTTCATGTCCACAATCGCACTGGGGCTTTTATTTTCCATTTGTTAACAACGTGTGCGCATCGGCCTGTTAATGTTCTGATATGGTTGATAGTTACGGCAGTGTCTTTGAGCAATGTCAAAGGAGGTGCTATATTTGGGTATCGAGGTGTTTATTCTTGACGTCTGCGTTGTTCGACTGTTTGCCAGTCTTCTGTATCTGGGTGAGATTCAGTTATGTTGATCGCACGATCCCAGAATGGATGCCAGTTTAATTTGAAGGACAGTTTGCTGATCTCGGATCACCGGTTCATATTGCAGTGAGCTAACCACTGTCACTGCTCCACCAAGAATGAACATACGATGCAGTAATTTGCAAAAATTTCAGTTGTTGACTAGACTTGCCCAAGATGTTGACCTTGGAGCATAGTGTCCGTGTTGGTAACATAGCGTGTGGATGACTTCCGCAGCTTAATAAGTGAGTTGTAACCAGGGGTGCGTGGAGCAAAGGTTAGGGTTGCCGCAATATGGCGATACAGTACTATGATATTTACTTGCCCCCTACTGGACATGTGTGAAAAGTAGCTTCGTCGCTCATCAGATTTCTCCAGACTAATTAAAGATTCTCATTCCGATTCTGACGATATATCCAATCACTTATTTACATTTTTAGAGTTGTAGAGGGCATGGCGATTATATGCCGTCATTATTTGAATTATGTATCAACTGACTGCATGTGCCTCCAGCGCTACTGATTGTAAGGGTGCAATTCGAGCTGGGTTATCCAACAATTGAATGAATAGATGTATCGATTAAGATAACATAGTTGTTGAGGTGTCGCCTGTTAACATGTGTGCCGCTGGATGGGAAGTGACGATTTGGAGATTGGTAACATGATCGCCATCATTTGCAGCACACCCGTCATATGTTTTTTGGGGGTTTTCAGCATTCAGCAAGATTTCTGAATCACTCCCATTTTCAGAGGTTCCTGGATAATCGACCACGTAAAGTATTTTTTTTCTTGATTAATTGACATATTTGACAACTGTACCTAGGTCGAGGTGCAATCATCAGAAGACTTGAGTGGACTGGAGTTGAATTTGTATAATATTCATACTAGAAATACAGCAAAACACACAAAATACAAATAAAAAAAACTGAAGAACAATAAAAATTTACGAGAATTTGATAACGCGATAATCATGTTGTAACATTTCGTAAAAATGTTAGTAAAGGTTTCATGTGCCTTTTTCAGATATATTTGTGCCGTGTTTGGTGAGCTTGGATCGCTTGTCGGAGATCTGCAGGCAGCAGAAGCTAAAGTGTGCTGATCTTGACATTACCCGGCACAATATTAACTACTATGAAGTGGAATACTTGTGCAACTACCAGAAAACAGAGGTGAGTAATGCACACTCACTAAACATTTACACCATCTTTAGACAACTTTCACAAATTCAAATTGTACTTGACTTTACACAATGAGAAATAACAAAAGCTTTACCTTTGTAGGAATGATGTGTCATTTCAGTTTTTAAATGGCATACAACTCATTTCACCATTACGCTTAAATTATCATTTTTAGGATATGGAGTTTTACCTGGTGAAATGGAAAGGATACCCAGAGTCTGAAAATAGCTGGTTATCACGCAAAGATCTCAAATGCAAAGATCTGTTGAATGTCTTCCACAAAGACATGGAAAGGGAGTCGAAGAGGCAAAGACACGTTAAAATCGTCAATGGAAAGAAGCCCAGAAAGCATGTGCGTAATCTTGATCCCACTGTGGCCGAGTACCTGAAATTAAAAGGTCAGCAGAGGCTACGACTAGCCGCCTGGCAGAAGGACCTGAACCGGAAGAAGAACCACAGCGCTCTCATCCTAGTGGAAAATGATGTCGACCTCGAGGGTCCTCCAGCATCCTTTATATACATCAACGAGTACCGACCAATGGATGGTGTTGTCATGGCCAAAGAGCCTGTGGTTGGTTGCAGCTGCAAAGGACTGCTTTTCAGAACGGGGAAATGGATGCTGCCCTACAATCAATTTTACCAGCTTTGCCTACACCAACTCTGGACGTGTGAAGGTGAAGCCCGGAACACCAATCTACGAGTGCAACTCCCTGTGCCAGTGTGGGCCCGAGTGCAAGAACAGAGTTGTGCAGAAAGGCATCCCCTTCCCACTCTGCATCTTCCGCACGGATAACGGCCGTGGCTGGGGAGTAAAAACTATGCAGAAGATCAAGAAGAACAGCTTTGTGATGGAGTATGTGGGAGAGGTAGGTGTAGTCATCAAGAAGGACTGATATAAACAAATCTCAATATTTTATTATGCTTTTCAACAGTAAATATAATTTACATTCCTGGGATCCTACTTTTGGTTTCATGGTTAGCACACTGAAATTGTAACATAGAGGTTGCCAGTTTGATACAATCTCTTGGTGAAGCAGTTAAAATAATGGACAAGTTTCTTAAATGCTCCCACTTCTATACACGCAACGGTATAAAAATAGGTGCACCAGTCAATTGTAAGGTTGTGTGTGGTGGGGGAAATTTTGGTGTGGCTGCTCTCACCTCTTCCAAAATATCTGGCCATGGAAGAGTAGGCTAAATACCCTCTAAGAGCTGTTGAGCTTATTTTAGTAGAGGACCTTCTGCCAGGATTGGCATAAGCAAGTGATTGCAGGACTGCACCTTTACCGTTTGATATTTAAAAAATATTTCTTGCATTATAGTGTACATTTTTGAATGTCAGTTGTTGGTGTTTCTGTGTGTTTTCGTGTGGAGCTCATCCCCTCGGAGGAGGCTGAACGGCGTGGTGTGATCTATGACAGGGCAGGAACAACATACCTCTTCGATCTTGACTTCTGCAATGATGACTACACTGTCGATGCAACCTTCTACGGCAACATCTCCCACTTTGTCAACCACAGCGTATGGCCGTACTTTGGTTGTGTTGTCACGTTAAAGAGTTTGGCGTATATTTAAACCTGCAACTTGTCGCAATTTTGATGTTAGGAATCTTGAATTTATTTGTTATACCAATGTTACAGGGTTGAGTTTGAAGATTTGAGATAATTAGGTTCTAACTTAGTGTTATTTGGTACAATTAATGTGTCTGGTTTGAAAAGTATTGGTATAGGATGAATTTATGTTTGATGAATTTCAATCAGATACACGTTTTTAATGGGAAAAGTTGGACCCTTTTGTATATATCAAATGCAATTATAAAAATGCACATGAATTGGGTGTGCAGTAATATGGATTGATACTACCAATACATGTACTGATGTTTTGTAAATCCGGAGGGTGCTGTGTATATCATCAGGAGTTATTTTTACCATACTAAATGCTGGACAGTGCGAGTTGATGAAAGCAGGGAGCTTAGATATGCGAGCATCGAACGCACTCATGTATTTCCCTCACTGCCTTCTGCCACAATTTAGCTACATGGGACTATACTGACAGTTGTGTTTGTGACTTAATACAGTTCATGCCCAATTATAGTTCATTCGCATAGGTTGCAAGAAATATAGAACAATCCTTCTCCAAAGTGTGGGTGTTAGGTTTATGAAGACTGCCATGGTTTAAAATACTCTAAGCCCTTCTGGGTAAATAGGGGCGCAGCCGCGGTCACACTCGTCAAAACACAACTAAGTTGCCTATTCCCTCACTGAACACAAATACACTAACATTAAATAACTAATGTTCAAGTAGAAATTAAAAACAGTAAAATAATGTTATTTATCTTTGATACTGAGGGTTGAAGTCCAGTCAATGGTGATGACAGTGACGAGGATGCGGTAATGGGGGGGGGAGGTGGTTATTCGAGGGAAAAGGGGCTTTGCCCACTCTCTTTCTCTGCCTCCACCTGGTGGTGGGAAGAGAGTGGTGGTGGGAGCTGGGAGATGAGACGATGCACAGAGGGAATACAGATGCTGGGTGATTTCAAATTGAAAGTGGCGGTCGCCATGTTAAACCATGGACACACAAAATTCATCGCGGTTAGAAAATGTACATGCCGAAGGAAAATAGTGACTAGATAAATACCGCAAATGCAAAGAACCAGTTGGGAAGGGATCGCTCTGTTTGATTTCTTTAAAGCACACATCACTAAGTGGTATGAGCTTTTTTCTTCCAATAACCCTTTGATGTTTATGGATTTGAACAGCCATTTTATACCACTGTTTGGTTTCCTATCGTGATGCAAAGTAAGCAATGTCACAATCTCGCTCGAGTCATTTTGAGGCCTCAGCATGGCATTTACAACCAGCTATAACAATTGTCGGTGGTCAAACCACTTCCATGGCTGATACAGAGTAGGGAGGCCTGTATCCGGTAATTAATTGACGAAAGGGTGTAAGTTTATTTTACTTAATTTGATTATGCAAATTGACTGCTTTACTTTTGTGTGCAGTGTGAGCCAAACCTGCAGGTGTACAGCACTTTCATCAATAACCATGACTTCAGTCAACCACGCATTGCCTTCTTTGCCATGGATGACTTAGCAGCTGGGGAAGAGCTGACATTTGATTACAACATCAAAGGTGAGCTACCTACACTGAGTGGTTCTGCTATCTGCCAAATATTTTAGTCTGGTACCCGAGTACATAATGACACGTGCAATTCTAAAAATTGCTTACACAGTTTTAGAAATTAGTTTGACACGTCGGCTTTCGCGACCAATATTATTCATAAGAGAGTTTTTTGGTTTAGATTGAAATTTGATATGTTTTTTTTCATACAGCACTTAGGGTCTCACTACAGTTGCTCTAACCCAAAAACCTTTATTATGAGTTTTAGAAATTGGTTACACCATTTTTTTTCATTTCATCAGTTAATTTATATCAGGAGTTCAGGGGTGGTCAGGAACACTTGTACATCGATTGTCCATGTAAAAAATGTGAATTATAATTAATAAAAAAAAACAGTTGACATTAATTACATGAATTCTAATATAAAAAAAATGACAAATATAAATATACGTAGCTCTGCTACAGGCTGGCTGAAGTGTACGGAGTGGCGATGTCATGTCGGCCATGTTGCATGGGGTTGTATTCCTTATGGCAGTGATTACAACCCCTAGAAACTTCTGCAACTCACCCACAGAATTGCAATCTCACTAGGAAACACATTTCCTTTGAAATTTGGTATGTTTTTTTTTCATACAGCACTTAAGATCTCACTACAATTGTTACCTGCTGTATTTTATCAGAATGTTCTGGCCTCTGGAAAGCCCAAAATACCTTGTGCACATGATTGTTTCTCACCAGCAGTTATTGAATGGAAGAGGAGGAGCTGGCAAAACACCTGCTGAAAATATTCCCATTGTAATTAATTTAATGTTTTGGTCAAACAAAAAACTGACTTGCAACATTGTTGACTGGGGGGAGCGTATGTTACAAATAGTCCTTATTTTTATAACTTGAGATTTTTAAACTGCTTGCAGATAGTTGTCATAACTGGATATGATTACTTAGAAATACTGTTTTCATGTTTCATGTTGTATCTTTCTTGTTTCAGAAATGACAGAAGATGTGGCTGATACTTCCAATAGCCTGATTCAAGCGAGCCCACTTTCCAGTCACAAATGCCAAGATTCCAGTAGCCGGGCTTTGCATGGTCAAGTCACTAATGGCCCTGTTGCCATTGCTTCCTATTCAATTGCACCAGATTCCAGTGGATCTGTCCCTAATGGGAATATTGCAAATGGCCAAGTTTTAAATACTCCAATATCTAATGGTCTGGTTCCAAACGGTTTGGTTAAAAATGATCTGATTTCAAATAGTTCAAGTCAAAATGAGTCGTGTAACAAAGACACTGCGCTTCATACCACTGTGACCACAAGCCCCAAGAAGAGAGTCCGCATTACCTGTAAATGTGGAGCAAGTACATGTCGGAAGTTTTTATACTGAAACCCATCACACCTCCGCTGTGTTCGAATTATTCATTTTCTAAAACGAGGAGCTTTATTACGAGTGGTATGTTGAACTCGTTACCACCTAATTAATGCAGCTTTGTAAATAAAATCATAACTCCACTTCTATTTAAATTAAATCAATGCAGGATTTGATTTGTGGTTTATATTCATAATACATTTTTGGGTCGGATTGTATAAATAAAATGTGTAGTATACCGTCCCCCACCCCACAGCCAATTGCTTTTATAAACGTTTCAATTTATGCTGCTTAGGCACACGTATATTGGCACATTTGTTCACGTGACAACTATGAATTGAATGCGGAGGATGGTGTAAAACGTACTTGCAATATTACCCAAAAATCTATTCTGCATTGCAATATTCGTTGTGAAAGTCTATGTTTCTAAGTGGTTTTTTATTGTTTTGTGTTACCATGCATGACTTAAATTGCCTTTACAGAAGTAAAATGGCTCATCTAAGATGCTGGCAAATGTGTGCTTGTGTGCTTATAAAAGTTTCCATTTTAGTGCTGTGGCTATGGAAAATATTTTTTTCATCAACAATTGTGTCAGTACATTGCTAAGTACATTATTCCATTTGGCCTGAGGATATTTTAAATTTACATTTAGAAAGTTTATACAGATTAAAACAATTATCAAGAGTCTTGACTTTGTTTTTCTTGAAATGCATTTCCTATTTTAAAACCTTGCCAGCTAATTGCTTAAATTATGCTAGACTAATTAGCCATATGTGACAATGAGATTTGTCATTAGAATGTCAAGGTTTTAAGCCTCATTGCTACATAATGAGGGTCAATGTTGAATTGAAGTCAAATGAAAGTATTTTGTAAAATTTTAACCACGTGTGTATTTCCTTCATGTTCGAAGACTGATGTGCTTTGTGAACTAGCATGAGAGCGTTAAGAAATTTGATACTTGTATTATGACTTATTGGAATATTTCCATAAATACAGAATATACAAGTCCATTTGGTTTTAACTACATAAAATATACAAATATTGAATGTTACTTAATGGCATTAATAATTGCTATATATTTCAAAATCCAAATCCTGTGCATCGGTAAAACTTTTGTATGGATTTGCAGCACTTGTTAAAGTTTATTTGCTGTGAAATATTCAGTAGAACATGAAAGGTATTATTGGAGTGGTACCGTAAGTATTGACTGAGATGAACTGCATTTGTAGAACTTGACAACTTTAATAAATTTTATGTGGCTATTAAGTATACTTATTTGAAAACTACCTTTGTTTAATCTTAATTATGGAGCTTTCGTGACTGCAGGAATTATTCTTTGGTTCTTTCGGTTAAGTCACGTCTAAAGATAAAATAATAAATTAAAATAAAAGCATATTACGACGTTTCGATTGCAACACAAGCAATCATCATCAGGCAAAAAAGAAATAGCAACAAAAATCTAACTAGAAAACTATAGACAGACATACAGGCAGACAGACATCACAAGGACACAGAGAGAGGACACATATCGGCACAAAGGCCGATATGTGTCCTCTCTGTGTGTCCTTGTGATGTCTGTCTGCCTGTATGTCTGTCTATAGTTTTCTAGTTAGATTTTTGTTGCTATTTCTTTTTTGCCTGATGATTGCTTGTGTTGCAATCGAAACGTCGTAATATGCTTTTATTTTAATTTATTATTTTATCTTTAGACGTGACTTAACCGAAAGAACCAAAGAATACATTTGTTTAATCAGGCTGGCAAAAGTTTTTAAATCCTTTATATTAAGTTCGCTTGCTTGCTTAGGACCGTGCAAATCTTTCGGTCGTTTTTTAACCCACTTCCCGTGATCCAATCGAGCTGACATTTTCCACACAGACTCGTTGTGCGTGACAATGTTAGTGACATTTTTTTTCCAAAATTTTACACTTTTTAGGACAAAAATATATTTAATTGCCAATTGCTTAATGGTGCAATGCAATCATCTGACCCATAGGTGGCAGCCATCTCAAGCCAGAGGACGAGAGGACTCTAGCCGCCACGCATATAAAGGATTTCTAGTGAAAAACTTTGTTTTTACTGGTTATACTTATTCCCCCTGACATACGGTTCGAGAGATTCAAAAGTGTGACAAACGGAAGGATGGACACGTGCATTATATACAGAAATCCCTCACCAAGCGTGTTTTTCGCATCCGCGGCAGTTATGTATCCACGGTTTTCTTTCGGCATACCAATTTGCTAACCGCGGGATGGAGTTTTGCGTATCCGCGCTTTAGCACGGCGACCGGCACTTGCAATTCAAAATCGCCTGCATCTGTATTTCCTCCGTGCATCATCTCATCTCCCAGCTTCCATCACCAACGCTCTCTCTCGCATAGTGACTGTGTGTGGACGTTGTCGTACTGTCACGCATTATTCAGCATTTTTAGACCTTCAATTATTAGCATGAATTTTGCCCGTAATCATGGCTCTTAGCGTGCAACCAAGAGGGTGTGCAAAGCCCCTCTTCTGTTTTGAGGTGGTGAGACTCAGTGTTCATTGGAGCAGCCACAGCAGGTTCGGTATCCAGGTATTCTTGATTTAAAAGAATGTAAAAGTTATCCTAAAATCAACTTAAAATGCAGCCGCGTCCAAGGCACCAGATCACCCATTCCCCAAGATATCTCCCGATTAGTTTATCAGTTTAACGCTTAGGCTTTCGCAACCCAATATCGATCCATCGATCTAACCCAAAAGAACCCTGTATTATGGAAGACCCCCTGATATCTGGCTGTCCCCTTTATGTAGGTGGAGAGCTCTCCCTTTATTAAATTATTCCATTATTACACCCAGCTGTTCCCAAATTGCCTTATTTTTTGGGGAGGCACCACACCGCTCAAGCAATCCTGGGTGTGCGTCCACATAGCTTCCAGCCCCACACAAAGTACCCAGCCATCGCAACAGGCGTGGCAACAGATCACAGCATTTCTCACAACCACCTCCACATTAACTCATTCCTCGTCATCTTTATCACCACCACCACCACGGACTTCAACCCTCAGCATTAAAGGTAAATAGCATTACTCGTTTTTTTACTGTTATTTTAACATGTATTTATTTTATGTCATTGTGCATTTCATTTGTTTATTGAAGAAACGGGCAACTTTGGCTTTGACGAGTGTGGCTGCTGCCACGGTTGCCCTTAACCCCCATTTCGAATAAGGCCTTAATTTTTCTGGAACGTAAGCCCCGCGGTTTGCGAGGGATTTCCGAATGTACATACATATTTGTACCGCCCACCAGACCAGACTCAATTTGCCACTCCGACGACACAAACCAGACACCTCGCCATTTGGTAGACCCACCACACTTTTGCTGGAACGCAGCAAACATCACCCACCACTCACTTGACACCAACCACCAGCCTCATTGTTTCCATACACCAGACCGATTAGTCACCAAACCCACACACCTATAACATCAATATTTTTTCTATATTACATCCACGCACCAAACCACTGCATGAATGCACATTCCAGTACACACTACACCACTAAGCTGTACACCATACCACATCCACAAAACGACACCTTCAACTCCAACTGCACTCCACCAAACGACTGGACACCATAAAACACCACACCATTACCCCACTATGATACAGACTATAACCACTTTTGTACACACTATATAACTGCGCAACTGAACACTACGCAATAAACACATTCATTCACTTACTCATTCCTCCCTCTTTCACCGATGCAATTCTGCCACTCTTCAAATATTTACTCATTTGCACACATGGCCTGGAGAACAGCAGAATATTTGATTATGCAAAGGACAAAGTCCTTTAGTGTACATATACGCAGATTTGTTTTAGATAAAAAAGTTTTTCAGGTAAAACGTATCCTTCCCATAATTTTCATTCTTACCTCATACCACTCATTCATTCGCTCACTGCCAACTATATCCCAGCCTCCCATGCACACTGTCCGGGACCTCCCACTTTGCTCCCTAACTCCCTGTGACAGCCATTGCCAAGGATGCCTGTTGCTGGGATGCCTGTTGGTAGACTGATGGCCGAGTCTTCCTACTAGCAGCAAAACATTTTAATTTGTGATGCACACGTGATTTATTCGGCTTCTCGGGTTTTAAATTTTGCAGTCCTCAAGCGCTTTTTGTTCCACGCCCATAACTCAGAAAAAACAGGTCGTGGAGAAACACTTTTTGGCACATCTTCAGCCAGACTTGCAATCAATATAAAATGTCTACACTATCTTAAAAAATGTGGATATGTATAAGGTTCGTTAAAAATGCCAAATACGTACAGCAGGATATGTTTTGGCATGGATTACTATGTTCATTATATACTGATAAAATACATTAATTTTTCAAAGCACATTTTCACCATGATTTGCTAGATTTACGTAAATGTCTAATAATTCACGTTCAGGCGGAGGATGGGTCTCTGGTGTGGCAGAGATCTCAAAGTCTGATGATCCCTGCGAGTCTTGTGGCACAGAGCTCTTTCCGCACACACAGTCTCTGCTGGCAATGTTTGTATGCTCCATGCAGCCTTGACTATTTTCAAGTGGTAATATTTCTTTTAGACCATTATTTATCGTTCTACACAACTGTTTAGCTTCTGATAATTTAACATTTCCACATTTGATGTCCTCAATATCTGACTTAGCAAGCAATGCCATTGCACTGTGGTCTAATGGAATATCTAAATGTGCTCCTGAATGCATAGCTTGCATATGGGTGATTCCTTCACTTTGAGGACGAACACTCGTGAAGTTGAAATCTTGAGAACTTAAAATTTCTGTGTCCGTGACATCGGAAATGTGTGTAGAATCAGATTGTTGGGAGCACTGTTTACAGCTGCTTGCACAATCATCTGTGTCCGAGTCTGAAAATAGTACAGGGGTGCCAGGGTTGTCCATGGTGTCTGCATATTGACAGCAACCACTCTCAGCAACAGCAGCAACAGCAGCAGGAGCAGCAACTGTGGAAAAGAAGGCACCCCAAGTAAGTTCGGGACTGATTGTTGCAATATTGCTGCTTGCGTCTTTGCAGTGAGCATCGTCGTTTTGGACAACAGAGGTATGCTCCTTGGTCGATGTTTCATTGCAGGTTCCATTTCCCTGTCGTCCAGTGCTGTCTGCATTTTCACTGGGTGTGGTGCAGGGAGGTTCATCGGCATTCTGTACTTTTTTTCGACGGGCAGGTGGCTCTGGCGTATCATCAAAAAGATCCAGGAGGCAACTTTCTGAAAAGAAAAGTCATAATGCATTGTAATGATGTGTGCAATGTATTATATAGTTACATGAACTAATTTGTTTCGGAGGCTTGCACATTTGTTTAAGCACTACAAATGTTGCTGTTATAAAATTACGGAATAAGTATGTAATTCGGAAGTGGTATGCAAGATAATAATTTTACCTGCATCACTGATAGATCTTTTTGTACACTCCAGCGATCCGAGTGGCTGGTAATCTGACTCAGCGGAACTCGGCTCTTGATAGCAGTACGGTCGTAGCCTGACAGTTGTTAAAATAAAACGGAAATTGCATTAGTGTGAAAGCATGATTGTTTGTATGTAATATATCTTTACTTTAAGTGCTGTGTGTAAATAACTGTTAATGTTTAAAAACTGCTTTCACAATGCTTACATCTCTTTGATCTCTTCTACAGTTTTGCCCTTTGGAATGACGTTTGGAAAAATGTTGGCAGGCTTAATGTAGGATATGAAGTCTTCTATCTGCAAAAAACACAAAATGCCTCGTTCACAATGCAAGTAGCATGTCAGTTACTTGAGCTATGTTTGTCCTGAATGTTGTGTACCTCGCTGAAGGAAGAATGGAATGAAAAGCAAGCTCTGTATGATGATTCCCCAGTCCTACAAATAAAAAGAAAAGTCATTGTTTTTCATTATTATAATAATACATCATAGATATATACAACCAAATGTATCTGCTGCCTTTGTATGATCGAAAAATATTTGTTTTCACCTCACGATGATTTTGGTTTTTTTGTTTCTCTGTGTGAACCACATGGTTGAAGGTTTGATGCTCATCATGTGAAGTGGCTTTCCGTTGGCATCTTCTTCTCTGCACGGGAGACGACTTCCTTCACAAAACCCAGCATCCTGAATGCGGCAGAATTAATTTGTTAAAAACCCCAAGAATGCATATTAACAATCATATCTGCCATCAATAACTTGCCTGAAGAACATTTTAATCAGTTATATGACCTGCAATGACATGGATTGGAAATACGGACCCAAGTAAAAAGAAACAAAAGCTGAAAAGTGCTAAAATGTATGGAGACGCATGCTTATAATTACATTGAGAAAAACAGGAATGCATAGATGAGAGAGTGAATGTGAATCGAGGACATATCGACCGTTACGGAAACTGGACTTGTTCACAATGCATAGCTAGTAGTGGTGATGGGCAATGATTGCATTGGTTGGAGAATGGCAACCAAAGGAAAGAATAAACAGCAAAGGATGTTCACCATGGAAGTGGAGCAATGAGAAGTTCATGTGGAGGACTGAGATTAATTGCGGCATTGCAAGGCTACAAGGAATAGCGATGGGCTGGAGAGGCCTGCTATGGATAGACAATTGATGACGACGATGACAAATGTAATGTGCCAACAAGTCTACACTTGTAAGGACGAGTTTTTGACGCAGGTTACATAAACATGCTTGCTTTGAAGAAGATGTTGCAGTCTTTTTGTAAGCCTGATAAAACAGTTGCTGGTGATGATAATTGGTTTTTTACCCTTTTATCTGGCAACAAAACTGACACCTTTTTTACTAGGAGTCATGTTTGCATAGACCACAATACCTATAGTCATAATGCAAACATGACTCCTCGTAAAAAAAGGTGTCAGTTTTGTTGCCAGATAAAAGGGTAAAAAAACAATTATCAGATTGTTTTACTGGCAAATGAGGTACCAATGGTATGAGTTGCTGGTGATGTTTGAAGTATGGCACCTTTGGAAAGCGGCAGGCGTGGATCTGCGTATTGCTGTCATGAGTTACATGATCCAAAATATCAGGCATGTTCTGAAACATCTCCAGGTACCCCAGGTGCACCTACCACACACGCACACACACATGTATCAGTTCACAATTGGTACCAGGAAATATCAAGCTTAATAGGCGGATCCTTATATTTTGATGTTATAACCTGTCTTTTTATAGATGTCATATCAAGTATTTTCAGCATATCTTTATTTTCCCTTCAACGATGCAATTATCAATGCAACATGGAATGGAAACGGCATACAAGTGATAACGTCATGTGGTTAATGGATGGACATTATGTCTAGTGAATTAATTGGACTTCATTGGAAGTTATTACTTCGTGTCATTTTGATTAAAAACATGTCAAGGTATTTTCACGTATTTTCTTAAAATGTGTGTAGAGATTCGACCATATATGCCAAGTATGACATGTACTATGTTGTGAAGTCAGAGATTAGTGGATTCTGAGATTTGTTAAAATGTTGGATTTGAAAGACAAAATTGACATCATTGGTGAACCATCTATTTAATGCTTTAATAAGGAATGCCACAACAATCAATCCCATACCTTTTGACCAAACTCCCGGCTCAGGTGAGTGAAGAGGTATTCATAGCCATAGGCTGCCTTGCAGCTCAGCCAGATCACATGTTGGGGACTTTGTGTAATCCAACCCCGGACCAGATTTAAAATTCCTTTTAAACAATCTTCCTGTAAAAACATAATGTAATTACATTTTACGTCAAATTTACATTTTACATGTTAAGTGTAATAAATATAGGTATTGTAGGGAATATCTTACCCGGCTTGGAATGTAGTAGCACACTGGGTCACAAAATGTGGTATCCAAATATATGCTTTTGATACGTTTAATCCTGAAGTAAAAAATACAATGACACGTTAGATATGTTAGATATCAGTGTTAATAGCTATAAGAAAACTGTAATCAAACATAAAAACCCACGTTAAATTAAAGTGAGAAAAATAAATATAAGCCATATTTGTGAATGCCACAATTGAGCTGTGGAACCCTTGAATTTAACATTACCCATCAACAATGCTGTGTGGACTCAGCATTGATATGCTGGAGCACTGTGTGGTGCGCACAGCACTTGCCTGCCAGCTGAGTGCAGGGCCCCCATGCGGGAAGCCCCTCCACGAGGCAGCCGGAAATCACCCGTGTAAAGCACCGTCCCATGGTCCCCTTCAAACAGGAACCTGCAAAGAGAACGATCCGCACAATTGATCATATCGAGATATGTCTATCATGCCACTTACAAATCAGGAACCAAAGGTAGAACAAGGCACAATACACCATGAATATTTTAATAAATTCAACTTTTGTAAAAGGAAGGTTAAGAGTTTTGAGAGAGAATTATCTTACTTGTGATGTAGGCAATGTTTTTTGTGATTGGCATGAATGTGTGACATTTACTTTTTGCTGCAATGAGCATGTGCCAATTAGTAAGGTTCATCGGCAAATTGGCGCAAAAGTGAAGACGCAAAACGACTGGTCTATTCGAATGCTCAATTGTTGTTAACAGTGCACTAAATTTAAACGTAATCATCGTAATAACTATGAATGTCTATGTGCAACGCTCACATGACGGAGCCTGGGCAGTGACCCGCCGGAAGAAGTGTAACCACCAAATCTGTTTTCTGAAAAATAAATACAATGTATTAAGTTAAAATTAATCATCTGGCCAAATGTCAAATGTACATACATTTTATTGTGGGTGTTTGGTGGGGGATTCGTGTGCAGTTGCAGGAAGTTACTTGTTTCGTTTTATCATCCGTTAGGGAAATCTGGGTCGGAGTGTCCACTTCAATCGCCACCTTCAACAATGCACAGCACAATTGGCATTAGTTAGTTAGTGTTTAACTTCCATACTTTACGTGCCATAATACATTTAATAACTCAGAAATGTGTGTGCATGGTGGCCGTTAATATTAACTTACCATAAACTGTTCAAGGAAACGATACCTCCAGTTGCTAAGCAGAAGCTCCCGGGTGACAGGTGAGCAGTAGAGATGCAGACCTGGGCTGAGAAATACTGGCTGGTGAGTGACTTTACCGAGCTGAACTGCATTACCACATCAATTATCAAAGTGAAATATCTCCGTGAAAAATTCTGCATTCAGATTATAAATCAACATCTATCAATGTGTGTGCATTGTGTCAAAGTTGTGTTGTTAACATGAGTTGGAGTAAAATGGAACAGACAGTCACGCTAGTAACAATTAAAGTAGTACAGTTTCTGATTTACATTAACATATATGACTGCATTAGTATCGAGCAGGTAATACAAATTACCTTTTCTCAAGCTTTTTTCTCAGTGCTTCCGAATATAATCCCACCATATGATCTGGATCAAAAACAAAAATACCTCAACGTGTCAATGTATTCAATTACAAGTGACTACTAAACAGTAACATTGCTGTAATTTATTTGATAGATATGGCAGTAAGATATGAAATGATAATGCACATCATGTATTAATATGTACATTAATTTTGATTTAAAGCTTTCGTGACTGCAGGGATTTATATTCTTGGTTCTTTCGGAAAAGTCACGTAGAAGGGAAAAAATAAAATATATTAGGTCAGTTATGAAAAAAAATTTTGTTGGGTTTCATTTACAATATCATTGTTAATACAATCTGTTTTTGGTATAACTGACGTTTGTGAAATTGTGCCTAACGAAGCTTAAAACTCGTGGGCAGCTTATGGAGCTCCTGTTAAGAGATATATAGCCGGTACATTCTGCATAGTTGCCTACAACCAGTTACACCCGATCTGGTTGGAGAGTTGGGCCTGGTTCGTACTTGGATGGGTGACTGCCTTGATTTAGGCTTGGGCTGTGACATGACCAGATGGAAGTGCAGCAATTGATGCTTTAATAATTGTTCCACCCTTGTCATGGGTGCAATATCTATGGGTTCCCCGCTTTCCTTATACATGCGAAACAACGATTGATGCAATTGTCCAAAGAAACCAATGAAGGGCCCTTCTGAAAAAAGACTTATCGACTGAGGCATTCCTCGGTTAAAATGGCATTATGGGTATCATTACGTCTTGAGTTGCACTTGCATTCAAACAATAAAAAATCATCGTTAGTATTTATCCGCGGGACTATTCTATTTGCTGCCAGAACCTATCCGCGGGGAATTGTCATTCGCGGGACAACATCACGGATGAGGATCATACCTGTCAACCCCATATCAGTGCCTAGCTTGTTACAGACCAATTCAAACTCTATTGGTCACCCCGTGCGCTTATAAAGCTCAACGTTCATCCTACAAAGTCCCATTACAAGGGAGAAACACAAATAGACAAAAGGACAGTTTTTTTGCCCGTATTGATCCGCTCCCGGCACCCATCGGTGTCCCCATTCGACGAACGAATTGGTTCGTCCACTCACCCTGGTGGCAGTGGGACAGAAAGAAAGCTCTGGCGTTGACGTTGTCTCTGTCGAAGCGGTCGATGGACACGGACGGATACTCCGCGGTTTTGCCGAGGAACGAACTCATGGCGGAAGTCCCTGGGCCGTGAATCGCTCTCCACCCTCACCCCACCACCACCACATCGATTACAATCGATACGGTGCTGCCCAACGCACCTTCGCCCACAAGACATCATCAGTGTGAGCGGCCCCTCACGTCTGAAACCATCGTGGTGAGACGATGATGGGGGGTTGTTGTCACGTTTGTGTTCAGTATTGGCCGCACAAAAGACGAACAGGGCCCGTGGGCCTTGCAATTGAATTATATTGCGTTAAATTTATATTAAAGTGAAATCGCATTAAATCTTGTATGGAATCGACGAAGATCCGGGCAATGATTTGGTAGGGCCCCCTTTGGCAGCACACAGCTCGCGCGGCTCGTTAGCCAATCAAAAACGTCGGCTCGCTCGCGCGGCTCGTCAGCCAATCAGAACGTCGGCTCGCGCGGCTCGTCAGCCAATCAAAAACGTCGACCCGCTCGCCGCGGGCACGTCAGCCAATCAAAGGCGGCGTCACAACCGCCCCTCCTCCCCTCTCCCCCCGCCCTCTCGTAAGTAATGTACGACGCCGATTGGTTGATGTTGGTACCAATCCGCCTAGCAACGCGACTCTCGATTGGCGAAGCGTGAAGGTTGCCCCTGGTTACCGCCATCGCCTAGCAACGGCTTCGTAAACAACTTGACAACGGCGCTTCCTATCGACCGGCGACCCTCTTCCCCGAGTGGATTTGGTCGCTTGCAACGTCAAGGAAGGTATTCATTGTTCGGATTAAAAGGATGTTGGATTGATTGAACAGCTTCATAATGTCTCGGTGGTAGTTGCTGGTTTGTCTCGCGTGTTTATAATCAATGGCGTTTGACTGTCGCTCTCTGTAATAAAGTAAATAAACTCGAGCGGTGGCGCAGTGGTTAGCAACACACACACACACTCTGTGCAATGAACCAGAGGTCGATCCGAGGCCACGGATAACATCAGTGGGCTGGTGAAGCTGGAATGTTCAAACAAGAGTCAGAATATTTATACTGGATGAATCCGAGAAGCGATAAAGCTCTTTTTCACATGTCCCATTGATCGACAAGGCGTGGCGAAAGGGGCTTTCTTCTAATTGTGGGTTCACAATATGTGTAATCATTCATTGTCATATATATTCTAGCTTTAACTACCCGGCTTCGCCCGGGACTTGGATTCACCACGCCCGGCCGCCTTTGTCTCCCCAGTGGCGATGTTCACACACCACACCAGTTACTCGTTTGAGACTGAGTCGACCTAGGGGAGGCCCAGGACCGGTTCAAATAATCGTCACTGGTGGTGGCCGTGAGCGGGAGTCGAACTCGGGTCGCCGGGTTCGTAGCGCAGCGCGCTAACCGCTACACTACTGCTGCCCCCACACACACATACACGTGCTTGCTGCAGACACATAACTTTCAGGGTGCGTACGGCAGTAAACGACTGTAAAAAATTAACCCGTAAAAACAAAGTTTTTCACTATAAATCCTTTATATGCGTGGCGGCTAGAGTCCTCTGGCTTGAGATGGCTGCCACCTATGGGTCAGATGATTGTCTTGAAGCATTAAGCAATTGGTAATTAAATATTTTTAAAAAATTCCCTAAACAGTGTAAAATTTAGGAAAACATTTTTCACGAAAATTAATTGTCACGCACAGCGAGTCTGTGTGGAAAGTGTCAGCTCGATTGGATCACGGGAAGTGGGTTAAAAAACGACCGAAAGATTTGCACGGTCGTAAGCAAGCACGCAAGCACGCAAGCAAGCAAGTGAACTTAATATAAAGGATTTTAAAATAGACCAATGCGTGACATGAGCAGGCACATTGCGTGACGCTTCCGCATACGGGTCACATGACAGAGATGTGACGTCACACTTGCCGAGCAAAATATATGCATTATTGCCCCCCCCCTCCCCCCCAAAAATACAAAAGTCTAATTTGTATAATTTTTGCATGGTGTACAGTCTGGAAAGTACCCACATGGCAAATTTCAAGTTTGTTGCATGTTGGGAAGTATGCTAAACATTTCGAACAGACATATTCACAAATTTGCCTTTTATATAATTAGATTACAGAACAATCATAATAACATTCCGTATTTAGATATAACTAGCTTATATACCCGGCGTTGCCCGGGCCAAAAAAATATTTCAAAAGTACTCTTAAAAATCTAACAGCAGTGCGTACTGACTGTGGTGGTACCTGCTATGATTACAGCAGTGCATACCGACTGTGGTAGTACCTGTTATCACTACAGCAGTACATGCTGACTATAGCAGTATTTATCGACTCTATAGCACAAAGTACTGACCTGACAGAGTGGCGTGGTGAGGCCTAGTCCCATGCAGAGCCTCCGGCCTCGCCTAGATTGTCCAGCTGGCCGAGGTGGCACCTTGTCAGGCTGGGGCTGGGCTGCTACCCCTGACCCCCCCCCCACCCAGCCACGATCTCCCCGGCCGCTCTGCAGTAATATCTAGGGCCTATAGTGGTAGCATGTAGCGACTGTGTAGTAGTAATAACTGCACGCATCGGGGTGGGGGGGACATCACACAGTGAAGAATTAACGTGAGCGTTTAGTGTATTTTTATAGCAATTTTTACGCGAAAGAAAATGTCCCCTTTACTCCCACCGAAGGCGTACGACTTGGCATGGACCGTCCCCCACACCAAAGGCGCGTGAGTTGGTATGGTCGTGCACGCGTCATAAATAAATAAAAGGTAAGCGCACAAAAATCGCACTAAATCGCTAAATAAACTAATTTAATGTTGACGGATGTGAAAAAGGAATAACGCTTGCTCACCGCAGGGCTTACGGCGTGGTACCTGGCTATTTTTGTTTTACGTAACCCCACCGTTGTAGAGGCAAATCGTTCGCAAGCGCGCAAACACATGAACCCACAAAAAACCCACAAAATTATTTTTGGACTTTTATATAGATACCTATATAGATACCTTTAAAAACACCAAATACAAAGGGCAAGTGCTGTTTGCAATCACCTACAAAACTGAATTGAAGGGGGTTATGTATTCAGCTCCACAACCTACCGGTCTTGGCTTCTCAGTGCCGATGTTTAACTGAGTCGATCTAGTGATTCCCAAAATAGGTTCCTATACTATAGTACTTAGGACCATATAGGTGCTTTATGAGGCCCAGAATCGAACGGAGAATTAAATGTGAGCTTCACGAACTACGACGAAAATGTTAGAATGTTATCGCTCTTTCTTTATGTTTAAATGTAATTGTGTATATTTGTGTGAATGTTGGAATATTCTGTAGGCGGAAGTCGTTCCGTGATGAATCCGAAGACAATGAGCCGGGCAAGGTCGTGGAGCGAGGTGGTGGAGGACCTTTACCGCTTCCAGCAGGCGGGCTACCGTGACGAGACGGAGTACCGCCTCGTCAGGAATGTGGCCGAGGTCAACTGCAATGGCACACTCAAGCCAAGCTGCCACATACATTACCATTGCTGTGAAAACCCACACGGGTTACCACCCCCCGTATTCTTGTGCAGGGAGATTGAGTGTCCAGGTCCATACGGCGTACAGCCGTTTCAATACGGGAAATGTATTTTTGTCTATTTGTGTGTCTCCCTTGTGATGGGACTTTGGAGGATGAACGTTGAGATTTTTAAGGGCACGGGGTGACCAGTAAGGTCTGAATTGGTCTGTAATAAAGTAGGCACTGATAATTATCAATAAAGTAGGCACTGATATAAGGGGTTGACAGGTATGCATTACAGTACACACTGCATCTGAAAACGATATACAGTTATCGTGGGGCATAGGGCCAACTGATGAAGCAGGTTCATGGTATATATTTCTAAGTTAAGGTATAAATGACGACACTTTTATATAACACAACCAGTCATAGATGACAAAGCGCAATATGACATTTGGGAACACAATAACAAGGACTTGAACAGAGGCAGGCAGTGTGAGTCAGAAGCACGGATTGCCAGAGAAGGGAATTCTAGGTCATGATGGCAGCAGCAGAGAAGCACCAGGCACTCATCTAACTGTGGTTGAAGTTATTTTTTCGTGAAAGGGTCTTGCTTGCTGAAGTGAAGAGCACGTTAAGCATGGTAGAGCGAGACACAAGCAGAGAAGTTAGCTGGAGCAAGCCTTTGGGATGTTTTTGAGTAAGGTGAGGGCGATTTCTAATAGACTTTTCCATGTGTCTTTCAAGTTTGGCTTACACCCACCTTTTCCGGCCGATTGATGTGTTGTGTTTTTATTGTCATTAAATAGGCAAAAAACTAATCGTTGTTATTTAGTATGTGCATATCATTGGTGCGTGTGCTGGGCTGACACAATTGTAAGCTTCGTTAATTAGAAAAAAAGTATAACTGGCTGTCAGTCGCACCATTGAATAATTCATCACTTAAATTGTATGCGCAAACTGAATGACCTCACTGGAGCACTTGACTATGACTTAAGTCGTTTTAACTAATTTTCGAAGCTTCATACCTATGTCAAACATCCAGTAAGTATTTACAAGATACAAACCATGTGTTGTGTCTTCCTCTGATTACTAATACATTAGTTACAACTGCACTACGAATGCCGGACAACACAGTTGTATTAAATTATACAGTACTGTGTCATATTTCATATACAATTTAAGACATCATTTACATTGTATTTTCCATAAATGAAAGATTCCGGTATAAAAAAGATGCACGTCTTCACTACTGTTACCATCACCAGGTGCTGAACAATGGAGACGCATTTGTGTAACGTGTGGTTCACGCTTGTGTTAATATTTGCAGGTGGACCGCTGGCCAGACACAGGCTACGTGAAAAAACTTCAGAGGCGTGACAACACGTTCTATTACTACAACCGCCAGAGGGAGTGTGAGGACAAGGAGGTTCACAAAGTCAAGGTGTATGCCTACTGAGAATGGGTCTACTTTCATGACAGCAACATGTATCATATTGATTGCCTCTACATCTACTTTGAAGCAATGTAAATGTGAAATGCTTTTATTAGGATCATTGGTAGAACTGCCTTAGCGAATCTCACTTGCTTTTTTTTAAATGTGGATTACAGATTATGTTGACCTCATTGATATAAATAATGCATGTACTAATGGTGACTTGTTAATAAATTCATACTTAAATGTTATTGAATGTGTATTTTTCATCGACACGTGATGATATCTATCATTAATCCATGTGCGCTCCACCAATAAAAAAAACATTTGTGGTTACAGCGATCTACTAGTACAGTACACACCACTATGCAAAACAGCAATAACAACAGCATACCTGGCACCTCCCCATGTAACCATAGAAGATGCAACATGTGTATCTTCACATCAATTAATATATGGACCAAAACACCCATAGCATAATTTATGACACTCTACGTTTACATGCACCAATCTGGCTTATTGCATCATCACGTGCAAACCTCACTGTGGCCTTTGTAAAATTGGCGTTCGATGTGTCCAACATCTTCTATCAACTAGCCATGCAGATATGCCCAAAGCAGTGGCGTGTCACTTCATCAGTGGGGACCATAACTCCAGTAACATGTCAGTGCATGGTGACTGTCTTTATCTCTGGTGGAAATGACAGCACCAAAAGAACAGAAGGCCATCTCATTCAAACTGAATACCGTTCAGCCAGAAAGACAGGATGAATGCCTCACATTAACTTAATACATAGTTGAATAAATGACTGCTGGACAAACCTTATAATTTTTTGTTTAATATATGGAACACATGAATGTACGTAACATTTGATTTCTCAGTAATATTGAACAGCAAATGTTAAAAGGACACTCAAACTAGTTTTAAATTGGCTCCTATAAATTCCTCTACCCTGCTTGCAAGGCTCAGGAATATAAACCATGTTATGCTATGAATAAGGGCCGTTGACCAAAACGTCAGCTGCTATAAGTCTTCCATTTACGATTTTAAGGCCACTGTTGTCGACGAATGTTTTTTTTATTTGTGCCAGGGGAACCACTGCCAGCGCAGCAGCATCACCAAATAACTTGTCTAGGTTTAGAACTTTAGATAGCGTGACTACACGGTGGCCACTATGGCAATTGTTAAGCGTGAAAAGGGGGGCGGGTTGTTCATTGAGAAAATTTGGCTGAGAAAAGTTGGCTTCGGTGGAGCAAACTCCACCTCCAGCCACTTACTGAAGAGCCTCGCCCCACGGAAGAGGCGCAGTAACACGTGAAAGAAGGGTCCGCGTTGGTGGTACGCGTGTTCGTTTAAACGTTGAATGAAACAGCTGACTTGACTGAAGACCGACCACTCGTGTGATACGCCGGGAAGTGCATGGTCCCACCAACATGTGGACGAAACAGGCTGCCTCCACTTGCTGTGGTCTGAAAGGAGGACTTTTTGTTGGAGCCTTCTTATTAACTTCACGTTTACTGCTGGCCTCAGCACAGTCTGTGTGTTCACCGGTAAGATGCGAAGGAACTCGTGTTTTTAGTTGTTGATGTCACTTTTGAATTTGTATAATGAAGACGTGTGATTATTTGTGTATTTCACGTCGTCTCACCGATTTATCAATCTTGATCTGTACTACTAAACATACACATTTACATTTAAACTACAGCACATTTAAATGTATGAATGTCAATGTTATGTATTGTGTGTGCTAATAAGAAAGGTGGTTGGTTACGTTTCACTATCATCAAACGAATGTTTATTTCCTTTTAAATCTTCAAGCCTAGTTTAATCAGTTTTGACGCTACATTGCTTGAGTTTTACTTATGAATTGTGGCGCTAGGCAAATGTAACAATGCGTTCAGTTTCTTAGAACAGGAACTACAGGAAATGAATTCCTTAAACACTCTGGACGACGTGTCAACACAACGTGGATTTATATTGCAATGCTTTGATACAGCTTACACGTTATTTTAAAGTCTTACATTATGTAACGTGCACTGCGGTATATTGTACATGACACACATCAAAACGTGTGATTACGTTTACTCGAGTGCAGCAAATGTAAATGAACTGCAGGAAATTATTTAAGTTCGTGAAGACGGCTGCGAAGTTGGACTGGGAATTAATATGATTAAAACAGTAAAGCCATGCACAACAAGTTCGCGACATAAATTAGGGAAGGACAACAAACTAAACACATAAAGCAGTTGTAAAGAAATGCGATTTCAATATTAAATGATTTAAAGGTGCACAGCTCCAGTGGCTCCTAATATCGGAAGAGCATTCCAGACGGCCGCAAAAGCGCATCTGAAGCTAAACACAAAAAGCTGTTCTAAACAAATGAGTTTTCAATCTAGATTTAAAAGTGCATAGCTCCAAAGACGCACACAAACAATCTACACATATCTTCTTGGTTCTTTCGGTAAAGTCACGTAGAAGGGAAAAAAAATAAAACATATTTTATTATAATAAAATAAGCATTTTATTATGTTTTATTTTTATTTTTTTATTATTTCCCTTCTACGCGACTTTACCGAAAGAACCAAGAAGATGAATCCCTGCAGTCACGAAAGCTTTAAATCGAAATTTAATCTACACATAGTCAATATTAGCTTCTTATTTTGACGTTTGCGTTGGGGTTTACACAACACGAGTCTTTGTTACGAAGAGTGCGTGGCTCAGAAAGAGTGATGCCCGTCCTATGTCTACAAAGCTCGCTTCAATCAGGCAGGCAGTCAGAAAACCATAAATACTTCACTTAGTGTACTCGAGTTATTTAATGCGCCTTATTTAACAGTACAACATATGCAATTTAAGTATTGCCATCTAGATTTAAGTTACCTCCTCAGAATCTTTATTTTTACTGGAGGAATCCAATGGGCAATAGAGCTATTTTTTCACAGATGTCCAAAAAGTAATCATGTCACTGGCATCAGGCGCTTTGTTTCTGGAAGAGAACATTTTAGCATAGCTCCCAACAATTGCATTTAATTATGTTTTACTGCAGTCATGAATGCCCTGCATTGGATGTTAAACACACTGTTCGGCATGTACTATGGACTATACAGTGTGCATCTACGTGCCGATTTACCGTTTACGACAATATGCAATGGCACAATTGCTTTACTGTAAACAATTCCCTTAACTTTGGGGTTACCACCCCTGGAATCTCTTTTTCGGAGGCAGGAACTGATTTGTATCACATATCTGACGGTACTGTATTATGTAAAACTGTATTGCAATGTCCTGCATAGTCCTGCATAGTTCTGAAAGACCTTAGCTGACTAAGAAATATGCCGGGCTTTGGTCTGTGGAAGAGGTGGCAACCCGAGTTTGCGTGTAAAGGTCAACCAACGTGGCTGGAGTGAAAATATGCACGGAACAGGTTTGCTGATTTTGGTTTGTAATAAATTATTAAAAGTGTGAAGTTTATGTGGACCTCTGGGGTTTTTTGACTTGAAAATCTGTCAGTCGAGTGGGATATTTTAAACCTCGGAACTTGCCGTAGGGAGATGACAACTTGCTCAAGGAGGACATTCTTGTGCAAGACTGACGTGGCCTAAAACCCAGAAGACTTGCTTTGCAAGTATCAGTTGTACACGGTGTTCCAGATGTATTGTGACCCCTCAATGAATTGACCCCTCATTTTAGTTTCCCCTTTGTACATAAATTTGTGTTTTAAATTCAGCTAGCTTAAAACAAATATTACGTTTTAGAGAATTATATGGGGGTCACAAGACATCTGCACCGCCCGGTACATTATTCCACAACACTACAACCCGTATACAGTTCTGTGCTGTGAAATAGATGGACATCTATCCACGGTTTAAGAATTGATACCGAAATTGTGCTGCAATTCAATTGTTTACTTACGTTTACAGTACTGTACAGTGAATCATAGAATATATGGATGCTACCGGGGTGTAATAATTAGCAGACTTAACTTGCAATTCAGAGATCACCGGTTCGGTCTCTCGACGTGGAAGTTTAAACAATGGGAAATGTTGTTTTTTTTACCGCCCCTACAACTCTGTCCACCGGAAGTGTAAATGGGAAAACTGCCTTCGATCGGGCAGGCTGTGTATGGTGGGGTAAAGTGTCGGTACTCCTACCTCTTCCAAAACTTCTGGCCAGCGCGGAGTAGACCAAAATATCCCATAGACAGTCTCTGAATTGAGATGTCATTCATTTTAAAAGATGTGATACCGTGCCGATGTCCATGTTATGGAAAATGAAAGTAAAATACTACAGATTAAACGTCACAGGTTACAGTACTGTAAATGAATACATCATTGTTGGAACGCTACAATTCTTAGACTCAAATACAAATCCACCAAGAGTATATACCACCCACTTGATTTTTATGGTAGTTAAAACAACAGTGCATTACTTAAATTGCATGACTCACTACAATTCCTGGCAAATAACCAAAACAGGGCTGTGAACCTGTCGGTATGTGGACCTTGAATTGAGTTATCCCATGATTTGCATGGGCTCTGTCTCTACATACGTTACTGTGACAATACTCTGATTTCCTCCTACGAGCAAAATCACTCATTAAATTGGCCAAACAATGCCCCGGGCCCTGTTCAAAGAGAGAAAAAAAAAACAGTCGTGAGATTGATCGAGGCTTTCATGGATTTGTGAGCGGGAATTGGCTAGCAAAAGTGCAATTGCGTCTTTCTACTGCCACTAAGTGGGCCTTGTCTGTCCATGAAGAGTCCACCGAGCTGCGGATGTGAAGCAGAGTTGCCCCCCCCCACTCCTTCACCAACCCAGTAGCCCGCCCTTCCATTTCCACTTGCGGATATTTACAATGGCCTCGAATGTGACCTGCAGTCAAAATATCTGTGAAGTCCTTTCCCCTTGTTTAAGCTGTTTTGTCCGGAGCTCATTGTCTTCAAGCAGCTCTGAGTTGCTCATAATGGAATTATCATTCTTTTTTAACACTTATATAATTATTATTAGTTTTTTTCCCCATTAAATATACACACAAACACGCTTTCATGTTTCATTAATTAATTTTTGCATTCATTCAGCATTCATATTGAGAACACACGTACATTATTATACAGTTGTCAATATATAAGTGAGCATGGTGATTTTGTGCATATTATATTGTTTAGATTTAATTGGATGTTCATACATTGGGGGTTTTATTTTTTGTAAGTTTTATTTTACATTATATACAGTAATATTTACTCAAGTTATTTTATAACATTTCTCAAGCACAGTACTCAAATGTTTTCTTTAGTCTTTCCTGCATGGCTTTGTTTCCACGTTGAAAATGTACGGGTTTTTACTGCACTGTACAGGAGAACATCTATTTTTGGCCACCCTATTACTTTCGACTCCTGTTAGGCACAGAAGCTTTAGGGTCCATGCACTTTATATACCCACGGCCCTATTCTTCCAATTATCCACCGTTAGCCACGACTTTACCCATAAACCGATGCGGAACGGTGTCCGATAACCCGCAATTTTTCTTACGGATAAGAGGAGTGAATTCGTGGATAACCCCGTGGATAATAATGCCCCCAATAATAGTCTCCCATGTCACAAGAGACATTGTCGATGGGATTCTCAGTCGCAGGCCCCCAGCCGATGCGTAGCAGGTCCTCCTGATCCTCAGGAAGGCCGTCGATGATCGGACACAGAGCTCTCGTGTGATCTGCCAACACAACAGCACGGTCAATGTGGCCAAAGATCCGAAGCCTCCTGGCTCTTGGCTATTTCAGATACCGGCTGATTTGCTATTCGCCAACGTACTTTGGCATTTGTGATGTGCCCGCTGGAGTGAATACAAAGTTCAATCTAGATTTGAAGTTTTCGTGACTGCAGGGATCCATGCTCTTCGGTTCTTTCGGTAAAGTCACGTAGGTATAAAATAAAATAAATTAAATCACGACGTTTCGGGCGCAACACAAGCGTTCGTCATCAGGTGGGACAACCACAGCAAGAAACATTTGCTGAAGTAGGCAAAAGAGCTGCTTGTAACAAGAGGTTATTTTTACAGGATACACCAGTTTCCTCTGACATGCCACAAACACTTACATGGATTCGGCTCCGATGCGAGACCTTCCTGAAAAGGTGTCCTGTGACTCAGTGAAGCTTTGTTTGCTCAAGTAAATGTTTTACCATTTTGATGATTTCGTAGAACCTACACTTGTCATGCTCTGCCCAGGCAGAGACAGCAAACAGTGTGGCACTGTGGGCGGGAGAAAGGTAGGCATGCTTTGCCACGATTCTGTCATCGCAGGAAAAGTAAAATGAAGAGAGAGACATTCTGCACGAGTTAAAAACGCCTCGCATGCAAGCACACACACCTCAACACAAGAGCAAAACTCGCCAAAAGCTGTTCGTGGAGAGAACTGGTCTTACCTGTTGAGCCATTCACATTCCTCACGAAGAGAATGAATGCTTTTGCAAGATTAAAACCACTCGACTATCACCTCCACATAAACAGTACAGTATATCGGCCACTGTTCACTAAATATTTGTTTTAAATTGGGCCATGAAGCTTGCCAAGTTGATCTTGGGATAAAAACTAAATTCCGGATGTGATTTGGAAATAAAGACATGATCATCATGAACGCACCCAAACTCATCAGATTTTGGAAGCTACCCACACTGGAGCCTTGTGAGTAGACATGTGACCACCAGGACTTTTTAGGTACAGCAATGCATCGCTTTGTATTGTAGGAGTGGGGCTGTGAGGTGGCTTAAAGATGGAAGTTCTGAGTTTCAAACCGTCATATGTGTGGCATTTATCCAGGTTCTGCACTTTCCTCGCATACGACACCGTGAATGAAATAAGCAAAAACATTTCAACGCAGTACTGCCCTGAATAAAGTCTGAGACTCGGTGAAAAGTTTCCTGGGTATTTTGTATGCGTGGTGTGCTCACAAATTCTCAATGGTGATGTGGTGACGTGGTTTAATTTGTGTTTGAGAGTACTTGCAGATAATAATGCAGCACAGTGTTGTGGTCTTGTTTCGTTTTAGCTCAACCATCATCAGGCTGACAAAAGAGGTGTTTTTTTTTAGACATCCAATCCTCTTAACTTCATCGTGGTATTTATCAGCTTTGGAAGTTGCCAGGAGTCTGAATGTTGAGCTGCACAGCAGGACATTTTATCTTGAAAGGGAGCACTAGCCTTGCCTCAAATCCTGTCTAGGCAACAGAAAACTCTGTTTTCTTTTCAAACATTCACTTTACATTCTTTGGTTCTTTCGGTAAAGTCACGTATAAAGATAAAATAATAAATTAAATTAAATACTAGCATACGACGTTTCGATTGCAACACAAGCAATCATCATCAGGTATAAATTAAATAGAAACACAAATCTAGTATACTTAGAAATGTAATGTAATACAACAGAGAGTCGGATAACATAACAGTCAACACCCTATCTGGTTGATTACGTTCTTCCTGAGAATGCTAAATTTGAGAGAGAGATTAAACACAGAACCAGAAACATAGACAGACATATAAGCAGACAGATATCACAGACATACATAGAGAGAGAGCAAACATAGGCACAAAGAGCTTTATATTCACTTTACACTCGCTATAGCGTTTGACTAGAATAAGTGACGCAGTTAATTAAAATACAAACATATCAAGTGCATCATCGTTTAGCCTATACTTTATTTGGGAGGGATGTGCTCTGTCAGGAAACCCCTGAGAGCCCCCATGGTGATCTCTGCCGTCAAATTGAGACGCGACACGAATCGGAGCATTGTAATGCGTTCCACGCGGGATTAGTCTCGGTGGCCGCCGTATGTGATAATACGGCTTACAAAGACCGCAAAGAATAGGGACTGTGATACCAAGTTTTAGGTTTATGAGCCATAAACAATGAAGGATTGGAGGAAATTGAACATTTTTCATTTGCAACAAAGCACAGACAGAAAAGGCTACAATAGAACTCCTCCAAACTATAAAAGAGGGCAATGCCACTGATTTGGTTATAAGCTGCAACATTCAACACAGCTGCTTTATAGCTGGCGGCTAAACACTGTCAAAGGAGACATATTTAAAAGGTAGAGTTTAATGTATCTTCAAGTGCTGCGAAAGCAAATTCCTTTGACTTTTAAAGAGCGTCTGGGTGAGTCCCCATTATGGATTTGTAAGGATACACCCCATAGTGATTTGATGATTGGCACAATCATTCGATTAGCGAATCGGTTTGTTTCGTCAAATAACATATAGGCGTTTGCACCAATTTACTACAACTTCACTATGAGTGGCATGATGTGACGTGAAGAATACATTTGTACATCTCACAGAGCAATGTGCCACATGCATGGGAGAAAGGCACGTGGAATACATTTCCAGTAAGACTTATAAAAAATATATACATCGAGTGAAAATTTTATTCTAAGCACATTCAGGAGCACATATTCACATAAAGCTCTGCTATGAGATTCTTAGCTGCACGACAAACGAAATATAGTACTTTTAAAATTCTCAATGATAGAATTTAGCCAATTCAAACGAAAGCTAAAAAACATCGAATGTGATGGATGTTTTTTGTACTGACCGGGCTGACATCATCAACTTGCTACTCTTGATATGACGCTTTTCACCAAAGGTAGCTTCCCCCTTTCAAACCCAGGATCTCAGCAGTGCAAGCTCGGCTTTCTGAGCTCTCAGCCACGTGGCCAGCAATTTTTTTTACTATGTTAATTGTATTGTTTCTTATTTTTGCTGCACTATTTTCCACATTTTGTCCTCGCTTTTAGCCCAGACGTGTGTAACCTTTGACATTGAAAATGCATCTATATATATGCACTCTATAAGGTTTATATAAAATGTAAGCGCTTTACCTCTTCATTATGTCAATGTAGTAAAAAAAAACTGTAACATGTACCTTTGAAATAGTAAAATGAGCGATTAAAAAATTATATTATACACCAGAGTATGTCGTCTGACAACCACACACGTACTGGTGGTGCTTGTGTCGAGATTTACCCAAGACCTGGAGCATTTGGGCAACTTGTACACACAATGAGATGTGGGCATGCAAATACAACTACTCCTACTGACAATTATTAGTTAATACAATTGAATAGAAACGCCTTCGTAAGCTGTGTATCAAAAATGTGGATCTCTGCAAGTTGCCTAAATTACACCAAGTTTCAGTATAGATGCCAGAGGCTCTGAATAGCGAAACTAAAGCAATTTCATGATGATCCTTAAGTGCAGGAGGAGAAACGTCAAAGGGTGCACTACATAGCTTCCTTGTTGATATTTACGAATGCAAAATCGTACACGTAATGCACTGCAGTAATTGGTATTGCTGCAGGAGGAAGAGCATTACATTTCGATATTTTGCTAGGTTATTTAATTTTAGTGTGTCTTTCTCCTAATTTTCAAGCTTGCGTGTACCGTACCACGTCGTCGTCCTACTCATTGACATGCTAATTTTTAAATCCTTTATATTAAGTTCGCGTGCTTGATTGCTTGCTTGCTTAGGACCGTGCAAATCTTTCGGTCGTTTTTTAACCCACTTCCCGAGATCCAATCGAGCTGACATTTTCCACACAGACTCGTTGTGCCAGACAATTATTGATCGTGAAAAAAAATTCCCCAAATTTTACACTTTTTAGGCAAAAAAAATTTATTTTACATATATTCAAATAGAACGCATTCATGGCTTTGGCTGAACATTACAGTGCAAGAGCCCAGAGCGTAACCCCTCCACAGGCCGTGGTGGAGTAGCGCAGTTAGTAGCGCTCTCGCTTCCCATGCCAAAGGTCGCGGGATCGATCCCCGCGTCCTCCACAGGCGAATATATTTTTAAATCCTTTATATTAAGTTCGCTTGCTTGCTTAGGACCGTGCAAATCTTTCGCTCGTTTTTTAACCCACTTCCCGTGATCCAATCGAGCTGACATTTTCCACACAGACTCGTTGTGTGTGACAATTAATTTTCGTGAAATTTTTTTTCCAAAATTTTACACTGTTTAGGGAAAACTAATTAAATATTTAATTACCAATTGCTTAATACTGGCAGACAATCATCTGACCCATAGATTGCAGCCATCTCAAGCCAGAGGACGAGAGAACTCTAGCCGCCACGCATATAAAGGATTTATAGTGAAAAACTTTGTTTTTACGGGTTATACTTATTTCTCTGCCCCCTCCTTCTCTCCGCCCCCGCCCCCTCTCTATATTTAAGGCCTCGTCACAGAGACGATCCCTCTCTCTTTGTGCCGATACGTGTCCTCTCTCTCTGTGTATCTTTGTGATATCTGTCTGCTTATATGTCTGTCTATAGTTTTCTGGTTAGATTTTTGTTGCTATTTCTTTTATACCTGATGATGATTGCTTGTGTTGCAATCGAAACGTCGTAGTATGCTATTATTTAATGTATTATTTTATCTTTATACGTGACTTTACCGAAAGAACCAAAGAAGCATTACGGTACTTAATGCTTCTGTTTGTCTTTTACAGGTGGATTACCACTTTGAGTACACAGAGTGCGACAGCACCAACTCGCGATGGAGGGTGGCTATACCCAACATACCCGGCAGCTGCCTAGGATTTCCAGAACCCACGCAAGGAAAAGAATGCTGTGAGCAAGCATCACGCTCTCGCACTCATCATTTTGCGCAGTGAAACGACGGGTGTGCAAGTGGTGGAAAAACACATCCGTGTGAAGTTGGCGGAAGCGTACATAAAGACAGAGTTGCTGAGATTATTCCGGGAGAGTAGTGGCGTAGTGATTTGTGCACTGCACGATAAGCAGTTGAATTGCTCATGAATCTGTTTTTGGGTTGTACCGCGTGTTGTTCCGCATGATGTCCAACGTTTCACTCCAAAGTGCTGTGAGCTTTTTCAGGAACTCGGCAACTGAATTAGCTCCCAGCACGTGGATTAAAACGTCGGACATGCCGGCCATCACGCAGTACAAAGCGAAAACCCATCAGAGAGTTGTACAGCACGCGCCCCCGTGATAACCCACGCGGAGGAGCGCTTACATTTTTTAAAATGATTATTGCTCCACCGGTACAGCATTTATTCGTCTTCATGCCACCATAATGTTGATTTCTGACACCCAATGACGCTTCCTGGACTTAGCTTTCTCATGTGGGTCGGGAGAGTTCCTGAACATCCCCACGGAGACCTGCATCAAGTGTACACCTGGGACCTACTCCCTCGGCTCTGGGGTTCGCTTTGACGAGTGGGATGCCCTCCCCACTGGGTTCTTGGCTGCATCCAGCAGCCAGACCGTAAACCCCCAATCGGATGTCAACAGCTGCAACCAGTGAGTCTCGTCGCGTCGATGTGTTCATTCCACCATTGGAACCTCATTTGCCAGGAGCACAATATGATAATTGTTTTTTTACCCTTTTATCTGGCAACAAAACTGACACCTTTTTTACAAGGAGTCATGTTTGCATTGGACCACAATACCTGCAGTCGGAATGCAAACAAAAAACATAACTCTGATAATGTATACACGTGTTCATTCTCTCATGTTGAACTGAGTACAATGTGTAACCAATGCAGTATAGCGCAGCTACTTTATACTGGCGAGAGAAAGGCAAAGGAGCAACATCTGATACAAGGGGTGTGCTTATATCCATATTCTAATTAATTGAATTAAACGCAATGCAATTTAGGGCACAGTTATGCATTTTTAAATAATGTATAGACGAATCCATACAATAATGAAAGTGTTTATATAACATCGTTAAAGGTCAAAACTGTTTGGTCACTCAGTGTACATTACACATGTAATATTTTCAAGCAACTGATTTAGAAAAAGTTACATTTACGATCTAAGAGAACACATGTAAGGGAAAGTGCTGTATATTTCCAGACACTGATGATATATTACATTTTGCTCTTTCATTTATACACATACCCGAGCAGTTAATATATCATCTTTTTAAACTCCGTACATCCTTTCTAGAACCACAATCATATTTTTTAAAGTTATTATCATCTAACAGCAGGTTGAAATTGATGTTTAACTTTATTTTCAGGTCACTTTGGACTCCAAAGGATCAGTATATTGAGTCAAACAGAGATGACTGCTCTGCTTCGCTCATCTACCGAGTGAATCTCAAGACGGAGGGAACCATTGCGTTCGAGTACCAATACACCGACTCCAACATGTTCTTTGAATTCTTTGTAAGCATATTCTGCTCTTGCGTATGGCAATATGTGTTCGGGAGCTACATTAAAATGTTGAGCATCTGCTAGCCACGACAAAGAGGGTTTCAGGAGCGCGAGAGAGATTGTGGAGTTTTCCTATTCCTCCTCCGTTGATGGAATGCAGATGACAGTGGTTTTTCTATATGATCCATAGTTTGGCTTGCATGTCCACAATTGCACTGTGGTCTTTAATTCAAGGTTATATAAGGTTACATGCACGCCAGGCAATAGGACCACAGTTCATAATAATTTGTGATGGTATTTCTTTTCTTCAAATATTTTCAAACATTCTTGTATAACATGCGTTCTCAAAATGGAATGATTTATTTTCATATTAACCAGACAGTGTGCCAGCCTCACAAGGAAGATGTAAACTCACAAGTGCGATTAAACATTCTTTGAGACGTTGTCATTGAACAATGCAGGAAAAAAAATACTGATGCGTTTTTTTATGTATTGTTGACTGCAATACCCTTACTACTTAAAATGCATTTATTTGTACATGGCTATGCGTAGACTTTTAATACAAGTGCAGGAATCTTGAAACTTGGTTAACTACTAGTATAAATTGTGTGAAATTGTTTTGATATGGAAAGTGACTGTGATGGAACTGGTGGGCTGATTATTCTGCTACATTTCATAGTTGCATCCGTAATAATATTAATGATTAACCAGGAAAGCCTCACTTGAGTCTAAAGACTTGTATTCAAGAGGGCTCTGCATTGGGATGTTTTGCTATTGCAATTATTTGAGTTTTTTCGGTTAAGTCACGTCTAAAGATAAAATAATAAATTAAATAATAGCATATTACGACGTTTCGATTGCAACACAAGCAATCATCATCATCATCAGGTATAATGCTTTTATTTTAATTTATTATTTTATCTTTAGACGTGACTTAACCGAAAGAACCAAATAATAATTCCTGCAGTCACGAAAGTTCTAAAATTAAAATTATTTGAGTGTTTGGCATGTGACCCTGAGTACTTCCATCTCCGAGCCACAACATGTAACCCCACGGCTTACAACACCTGCCAAGAACTGGTGGTCACCCATCCAAGTAAACAGCCAGATCCAACGCTGCTTAGCTTACAAGAGCTGATGAGCTGGGATGCATTTAATGTGACTTGGTCATAAGATGGCATGGTGAACACAGGGAAGCCAGGTTCAAGTTGTTCGCCGATTGTGATTGGAAGTTGTCTTTTTGGTTCTTTCGGTAAAGTCACGTAGAAGGGAAATAATAAAAATAAAACATAATAAAATAAAATTCTCACGACGTTTCGGCCACAACCCAAGTAGCCGTCCTCAGGTGAAGAACAGGGCTGTCGGAAAGACTTTCACCTGAGGACGGCTGCTTGCGTTGTGGCCGAAACGTCGTGAGAATTTTATTATGTTTTATTTTTATTATTTTATTATTTCCCTTCTACGTGACTTTACCGAAAGAACCAAGAAGATGAATCCCTGCAGTCACGAAAGCTTTAAATCGAAAATTGGAATGTTGTATTTTGTTGTACATCGGTTGGGGTATGCCCTTAATGCTTTAGCCATTTAATGTGCATTTAATGAAATGTCAATGTCCTCTTCAGGTACAAAATGATCAGTGTCAAATGACAGACTTCAAAGGCAATGTGAAAATACATGCCAATATCTGAAACTGGCAAGTGGGTCTCACACGAAGTAAGTATTGTTTTTTCTTCATTGCTAGTAATGATTCTTAGTTATTCGTGCATGAACTTATACTGCAGTAGAACTACATTCACATAGGAACACGTTATTGGATATATCTTAATTATGTTTGGTACAATTTGATTGGCTCTGGGACATCCAATTAGTTTGTAAAATCCTTTTCTTGTAATGTAGTTAGGGGTGAAAAATTGCGTCGATGCATTGATTTAACATAGATTCTTAAGGCTTACAATGCAGAAATACACATCGTAAATAGTGCGTGTAAGGCTTTTGTGTGTGTTTCTTTCATGTAAATGATATCACAATGATATGCAAATGTTACAACAAGACGAATGGAGCCTACAACCCCTGCATGGACAATATATAATATAAACAAGCAACAATACACAAAAAGACGTTGAAAACAAAACAAAAAAAATAATCCGTTAATTGAATGTTCGCTTGAATTGCGAAAATAAAAATAAAATACTTCTGAGAATGGGGGGGGGGGGGGGGGAGATTGGGGAGAATGAATTTATTTACTTCTCTCATTCCAATTACAATGGATTTGCAATGCATTTGAGGTTTCTTGTTTGTAACCAGATGTAGAATGTGGACACAATTTGTCAATGGTTGAAGATGGGTTATACGTTAATAGAGCTATTGCGGATGAGAGTAATGTGAGTGTGGGTTAGAGACAATGACTGTGTGTATGTTGAACTTATTTTCCACCGAGCGTAGCTAACCGTGCTAATCAGAGGTGCGATATTGGTACCTTGGCTTGAATCTGGAATAGGAACTAATCTAGGATTGTATGAAATGTAATTGGTGAATATCATCTCCCCACATACATGCACTTCTTAACTGCAGGCAAAGCCACAAGCACTGCACTTCTTAGTGTTCAAATACGATGCCAAGGTTATATTGTATGCAAGGTGTACTGTATTCTATATCTTCAACATATTTGTGGGACGGGAATTCCCAATCCTGAGCTCGGGGTTTCCCAAACTCCATTCCTCACACCCCACCTCGATCCGCCTTTTCACGTTAATCAATCATCCCCATTCAAGTACAAATTACGTTGTCGCACGCTGCACACACCTGATTCTTGGCGAACCCCCCCCCCCACACACGTGACGGAGACAGTGCCGATTGAAATAAAGACATTGGATGGCTAGGGAATGTGTTCAAAATCATCGGGTCTGTTAGCGTGTAACGAATTACCGTACGCAATTTGAAATAGAACATAGAAGTTTAAAACGCTTGGAAAGGGATACTATGGTGCGGTGCTAGGAGTGGAATTTGAGAAACCCTAATGTAATTACCACACACCACCATTGTCCATGTGGATATTCATAATCAACGTTTTTGGGTTTAGATCGCATTATTTATAAATGTGTCGTAACCCTCCACCACCCGACACGGCCAATCAGTAACAAAAGTGTCACGTTGACAAAAGACAAATAGTTCACTACTTTAGCCCACCGGTGTGTTGAAGCGTGAAACCACAACAAGCATGAAACCACAACATTTACAAAAACTGTAATTCTGGGAAATGCTTCGATGGTGAATTATTTGGTGATGCTGCATTTGCAGTGCTGTAAAAGCACAAACAAAAGCACATCAGGTATCAGAATCAGAATCAGAAACGGTTTTAATCGCCATGTAAGTTTGCACAAACAAGGAATTCACTATGGCGGGACGGTGCATACATTGAACAAGTAGGAATCTTAACTTATATAAAAGGTATACACTCTAACTATACTAACGTTACAAAGTATAAGTAATACCAAAGGGCTATGTGACAAACCTTACTAATTGGCTGTGCCGAGGTGGTGGCGGGTTTTACGACACATTTAAATATATACGCGACCTAACCCCAAAAAAACCTGTATTATGGATGATATTGCTTGCGAAAGCATACGTGTTAAACTGTATCGATTCTACGTTGACCACAAGGGGCAGAAAAAGTAATCACATCTTGACCCCTACTTGTGACAGTTCATCGAATGAGCGGTGGGGAGCGAATTGTCACGTGTGTCTTGTGTTTATTTGCACAGGTAAAACTGCCGAAAGGGAGCAATGTGCTGTACTGGAGGACAACGGGCATGGTCATGCACAAGGACAATGAAGATCCCAAGCCCGTGCGCATGCGCAGCATTCACATCACAGGTGTTTGCAGCAGCCCCAACGGCCGCACTTTCCATTGTTCAACGGCACGAATGGAACAACAATGACGATAATAAGTTCGGCTTGCAATGCTCCGCCACGGTGTGTGCTCTCTCCTTCGAGAGAGAACCACTCGGTGGCGCGACGAACCACAGACAAGCGGGAAAGGCGGTTGCCAGGCAGTGAGCTGCCACCAAATTCCTTCCCAAGCTCAGCGGTCCTCTATATGTTAAGGTGTTATTGCCCAATTAATGAGTACGTGTGGAAAATAAACAGAGCACCCGGAAAAAAATCCACGCATCTGAGGGGTCAACGCTCTATCCAATTCGGATGGAACAAGTGGAGTCCACGTTATTGTTGTATTGTATCACCTGTTGAGCTAGAGTAGGGCAACTCGATGTTTACAGGAAGAGCGTTTTACAACATTTGTGCTGTCCGCAAATGTTGTAAAACTGCAATCCAGCACTCGTCTTCGCAGTGCTGGACTACAGCAGTATGTCATCACTGCCTGGCTAAACACTTGGCTTGTCTGCATGGAGTCAAGAATCACCGTCTGGATCAGGTTGGATATTCAATAGTCTTTAACTTTTATCGGAGCCTAAATCCCAATGCAAAATTTGGACATTAACTAGACAAAAAAAAACCCATTGTAAAGCCAAAAGCTTTTCCCGTAAAGTTGGACTCAGTTGATCACTCTTCAAATAGGTAATGTCAGTGGACCCGTATGTATGTAAGTGAGTATGTTTAACTTCTCTCTCACCGTACGTAGCCAATCGTGTGAATTGAAGGTGCAGGAAATATCTTGATTGCCAACTGTGGTACAATAAAACCAGGATTTTCTTTTTCATTGTAAGAAGAATGACTAAAAAATGAACCCGTAAAAACAAAGTTTTTCACTATAAATCCTTTATATGCGTGGCGGCTAGAGTCCTCTCGTCCTCTGGCTTGAGATGGCTGCCACCTATGGGTCAGATGATTGCCTGCCACCATTAAGCAATTGGTAATTAAATATAATTAATTTTTTCCTAAAAAGTGTAAAATTTTGGAAAAAAAATTTCACGAAAATAAATTGTCACGCTCAACGAGTCGGTGTGCAAAATGTCAGCTCGATTGGATCACGGGAAGTGGGTTAAAAAACAACCAAAATATTTGCACGGTCGTAAGCGCGCAAGCAAGCAAGCAAGTGAACTTAATATAAAGAATTTAAAAATACTGGAAGAGGGGAGAACTACGTGTCAGTGCACTGTCTTCAGTGGTGTATTTTTGCACAACTGACACAAATTGTAAAAGTTCAAAGTCCTGCGAAGCTAAGTCAAGAAGAGGACATCCTGGGAAAATCAGGACAGCTGGCAACCCTTCGTCATCTGTTGAATACTTTGTGTGATGTTTTTGCCACGGGCTGCACATGAATTAAAAGTGTGTACGACTGGTGTATGCCACCCCCTTGTATTGCAGGAATTTCCTACACGTCTAAGTGTTTCCCGTGTAAGGCGGGCACGTTTAGTCAGGACGAGGGGGCGAGCTCCTGCCAGCTCTGTCCCAAGAACACCTACGCAGCGAAAGGCTCATACATGTGCTCCTTATGTGAGCGTGACTACTACTCAGGTATGCCCTCATTTTGTAATTTTCTTTATAGCCATGCTTTTTGTTTCGTTTTTGGCTGCACCATATATCTACATTCATATTTATGCTGTGATTTCTCTGGTTCAGTTTTTTTGGAAAACATCATCGAAGGCTTTGATTGTTTGGTTTCTTTCCAATCATGCTTTTTGTTTTTGGTTGGACTTAAGATGTGGTCAATATTTTTCTGCATATACATTTATATGCCTTTATCTTATGATATGTTCGATTAAGCCACGTTCAAAACACCAGTTCTCATGTAGGGGTGCCACCGAATTTCTTAGTAAACCAGTTGAGAAGTTTAAAATGTAAATAACAAAAATGCAGCGTTTAACCAGGGCCAAGAGATACTTAGCAGCGAATTCACTTAACATTGTTGTTTGGTATGCTCTAAATAAAATGTGTTAATTGTCACATATTGTTTCATTGTACATTAACCCACGGGGGTAACTCTGCCTAATATAGCAATTCAATCAGCTAATGCTGTTTTAACTTCGGAAAAATCTGCATGCAATAATTGTGGCTTCATACAGTGAATTATATCAAAGTTTCCATTTGACACCTGACGAAAAAGTGTCACGTTCAGTTTCTATTTTCATCCACACTCCGCAGATCCTGGGTCAAGTGATTGCAAGCCAAAGGAGCCATGCACTGCAGATGACTACATCTTCACGCACTCTGCTTGTGATGAGGAAGGACAGGTAAAAAAAAAGTGCTTCAGGCCTCTTGCTCTTGACAGGGTCCATTGACCGAAACATCAGCCTACTAAATATTCAACGCATTCTTAAAATAACACTACCTTACAAAGAAAAATATATAAGTGTTGACCATTGAACATGTTGCAAAGGGTAATACGTTTTTTGCTCAAATACTAAACTATTCTACGTTGTTTATTATTGATTGGTAATTTTACTTTATTTTTTTTTATTCCAATAAAAATATGATCCTTTTGTGTCATGCAGTGAGACAGAGTCTTTTGGAACTTTGCTTGAGAATAATCCAAGGAAAGTTAACATCACAGAACTACTTGTGAGATATATAAAAGTGACCTCGTATCCACGCGAGGGGGCACTTCACTTTCTCACGTGCCGTGCTGTAGGTATTTGTTGACATTTTATTTTTAACTGACAGATAGCAGCAGATTACATAAAAAAATAAAATTTGATGCTTTTATTGTGTGGCCATTGGCACTGAGTTGGGACCATCAACTCGCTGAACTTGAAAACCCGTTTGAGTCATTGGTGACTGCCTGGATTCAGATCAAGGGCCTCAGCAGTGCTGACTCAGTGTTCTGAACCCTCAACCACCCGGCCACCTCAATGTGTGCACATTGTTTCATAAGGGCTTTTACTTAACCCATAGATGAGGGTACGTTGCCACACCACACATGGAAGCTGCAGGCTTCTGGTGAGTGGACGAGGTTGCACACTGGAATTTTAATACAGTGATGCACTAACTCGTGTTTCCAGATTCTAGATCTGGGTTTTCGAAATAGCTTCACACGTAAGGTTGAAAATACATTGCGGGTTTGAACATACTTCCCCCCGTTTAGTTTATTCCGGTTGGTGAATGGGGGAGGCCCAAAACCAGTTCAGATAGCGCTCGCCACTGATGTGTGTGATGACTGGGAATCGAACTCGGGTTGCCGCTTTCACAGCGCAGTTCGCAATCCACTGCGCCATCGCATTCGCCGCAGTTTATGCATAATAGCGTTGCTTTCCTTTCTTGTTTGTTTCTCACGACGATAAGTGATGCCCGCAGCTCTTTTGCGTGCCGTTTCACTGGGTAGCAGTGATTGCACACTGAACTTTACACCACATGCAATAAACCGACTTGCGTGTCATATCGAGGATGGTTGCCACACGTCCAGAACTTTAGCATTCGCAAAAAAAAAACACGTCATTAACGCTTGTGCCTACAGCTCTAAAAGCGATACTGTCACGATGTTTCAGAGAGTACATTGGACCACTGATTCGATCTCCCGCGCAGGCAGCTGAAACAATGGTGCGAGTTTCTTAAATCCCCCACGCCACTGCCGTCCACCCGGACCTATATATGGGTTCACCACAGTCGACCGACAGGTCATGTGTGATGGGGTAAAGTGTGGGTACTCCCTCCTCTTCCAAAATACCTTCTATAGGGGCTTTCTATCGAGCTCCCTCTAGTGACGACCCTTCCAAAGACAAAGATCCCCCGTATAGCTTGAACAGACTTTTGGGGCAAGTGCTGTTCGCGAACTCCTATGAAGGCAGACACGAGGGGGTGGGGTGACCAGCACCATGGGCAGCCGCCTTTGTCTCCCCAGTGGCGATGTTTACACACCGCACCGGGTACTCATTTGAGGCTGAGTCAACCTAAGGGAGGCCCAGGACCTGTCCAGATAATCGTCACTGGCGTTGGCCGTGAGCGGGAATCGAACTCAGGCAAGACCCTTCCACCACCAATGGCACAAGCCACGTTTTTTTTTTACCATTTGTATTTTAACAGTAGTTGATTGCTCCTCTTGTTTGTGTGTGTGTCCTTTTGGCCTCAGACACAGCTGCAGTACAGCTGGGTGGAGCCGATGGTGTGCCGGGAGGACTTGGAGGGTGCGGTGAGCCTACCGCAGCCGGGCAAGAAACAGCAGTGCGCGCCCTGCAACCCGGGCCACTTCAGCAGCGACGGCTCCAAGTGCCTACCTTGTCCTCAGGGCACATTCTCCAACGGCACGACCGGTACACGCAGCACAAACAGCCACGTCTACAAGCAAAGCCATGCCTGCCCAGGCGAGCAGACGCACCCGTTTGTGGAGCCTTCCGCCCGTGGACGGGCACGTAAATTGGAGCATGCAACGAAACATTAGTTGGTTTCATCTTCTTGGTTCTTTCGGTAAAGTCACGAAGAATGGAAATAATAAAATAATAAAAATAAAACATAATAAAATAATTCTCACGACGTTTCGGCCACAACGCAAGCAGCCGTCCTCAGGTGGAGAACAGATCTGTCGTGAAGACAGAGTCTCTGTCAGAGTGGAGAACAGGTCTGTCTTCACGACAGACCTGTTCTTCACCTGAGGACGGCTGCTTGCGTTGTGGCCGAAACGTCGTGAGAATTATTTTATTAAGTTTTATTTTTATTATTTTATTATTTCCATTCTACGTGACTTTACCGAAAGAACCAAGAAGATGAATCCCTGCAGTCACGAAAGCTTTAAATCGAAAAATGCTTTGTTGTTGTTTTGCGTGTGAGAAACTATTCATTATGATTGGTGCCATTATATTGGGACATTATGCTCTAATTACATGAAGGCCACACTGGCTGTGCAAACGAGACGCCAACAATGACAAACAATACAAACGAGGTGGCAGAGACGAGAGAAAATAATGGATTGTTGAATTGAATCATGACCCTAATTTGACAATTTATTAAATCGCTGGGTGGTGTGGTACGAAGTGAGGGTGGGTGGGGGGGGCATTGTTACATGCCTAACAAACTGTGTTCTTGAATTGGGTGCATTCTGGGTGATATAGTTTAGAGACAATTCATTCATTAAGGGGGTTCAACCACAAAGTAACGTTTCCCCCTCGCTGGCATACTCTGAAACATAATGCGATCCTACGTACGCATGTACGTTTAACTTCTTTGGCACTGTACGTAGCCAACCGTACTAACCGGCGGTGTGATCCTTTCTGATAGCCTGGCACAAATATACAATGTGCTCTAAGATAATCATTATAATTAGAGTTAGTGAGTTAGTTAATCCTCTTGATCCCCTATGGGACACGACGGCTCAATGAGTTCCCTCCACTTCATCCTGTCCTCGGCAACGTGTTGAGCCTCGCCCAAAGAGAGGTCGATCGCTGCTGCCAGCTCGTTCTTCACGGTCTCCCGCCACTTGGTTTTGGGGACTCCCAAGGTTTCATTTTGCCCGGGCGGTGTTCATCTTCGGTCAATTTTTTGCCCACGGTCCTGGTCCACTCGAAACAAAAATAAAACAGGAGTGTTGCCGGCAAAGAAGCCTGGTGAGTAATGGAAGTCCGTAATGCAGTGGTTCTTAACCTTTACTGCAGCCTTGCAACCCCTTTGGTTCTCAGAAAGGGCATCTGTCACCAGAGGCGTAGCGAGGGGGGGGCAGGGGGGTACATATGTCCCCGGGCGCCAAGGTAAAGGGGCGCCAAAATGAGGCTTACAACGTTACATTATAACTTATTGCGGCGGGCGCGGCAGCCTGAAACTACTGCACAAATCTACACCTCAACCTAAAAGTTTATATATCCCACCACACACAGCCTACATGTCATGTAATTACATTTTGGTATGTGATTAAACGGGGGGGGGGGGCGCCAATTTTATAGTTCGTCCCCGGGCGCAAAATATCCTAGCTACGCCTCTGTCTATCACCCCCAGGGGGTTGCGTGCACCCCAGGTTGACAACCACCGCCGTAACGTTTACCGTGCGCCGCCCTGTGGCAGAGTGCAGCCCGTGCCCCGCCGGCACGGAACCCGTGCTGGGGCTGGAGTACAAGTGGTGGAGCAGCCTCCCGCAGGGCATGAAGTCGTCGTGCTTCAACGTGGACAACACCAACTGCGACCAGATGAAAGGTGCCCTACCCCTCTCCTCCACACACCCCCCTCCCACAGGCTTGGCCCGCAAGCTAAAATTAAGCGATTAGGCAGAAATCAAGAAAAGTAACGACGCTGGAAAACAAAAAAAAACTATGTTGATCGTAAACAAAAAAAACCTTTGCTTATGTTTAATGAGTTGGGTCGACACCTGCGCTCATATGCGCGGGGTTGCTTTTTTTGCAGGTGACTCTGGTTTCCCACTGAAAAGCCAAACACTCAAATGTAATTTCGCCAAATATTGGAACATGCTGAACCTTGGCTATAGGGCCACCCCGTGGACAGGATGTTGGGTGCAGTTTACTGTTAAATGTCCTGTGCTGTATAATGTAGGTAATGCTCACCTTTGCTTTCTGTAGAGTCCTATATAAAGCTATGGGGGGGAAAAAAGCTGTATATTTGACATCGTGAATTTAGATAGCGTCTAAATGTGACCACATCTAAAGACGCTACACAGGAACAGTGGGCAATAGTTAAGGTGTAGAGACCATGAGTCATAGGCTGAGGAAAATGGAAGGTCTTTAACAGCTAAACAAAAAAACAGGAGAGTATCTGTTCTGCTTTGCTGCTGCGCGGTTAAAGATGCCGATTTTGGTCAGTCGATGTGACGCGAGTGAAGGTGGCAGTAAGAATGTCCTTCTTGTCACAGGCTGGTTGATGGCACAGGACCACATCGTCACTGGCACGGGAGCCTCGGACAACGACTACCTCATCCTCTCTCTCTCTGTGCCTGGTTACAGGTAGCCCACCCATCACAGCACGCCTCTCCACGAAGCAACTTGTCATCCATAATCATTTGTATTCATCTCTTCCGTTTTGTCGTTTACAACAACGTTGCAGCTGGTTTGGCCAATGGGGAGCACTCCCTGGCTGATTCGAGACGCTACATATTTATTGGCTAGCTGACAATTATTGTCGGAACAGTTCTCAAATCCCTTCTGTCAAGAACGAGTATTAAGAATACCTTCACAATTTTTAATATCCTTAATGGGTTTGCTCTGGCCTAACTCTCTCCTTTCATATCCCTCTATTCCCTTGTTTGTGGATTTCATTCTCGTGGCCATGTAGCTGAAGCCAGGTGAAAGCCACGATAAACTTTTAAGCTGTGGGAGGTCCCTACTTCTCCTTTGTTTTCACTACTTTCTGGAAGTTTCGATTTAAAACTTTCGTGACTACAGGGATTCAGCTTCTTGGTTCTTTCAGTAAAGTCACGTAAGAAGGGAAGTAATAAAATAATAAAAATAAAACATAATAAAACAATTCTCACGACGTTTCGGCCACAACACAAGCAGCCGTCCTCAGGTGAAAACCAGGTCTGTTGAGGCGACAGCGTCTGAATGAAACAGCACACGTGCTTGGAGCATATATATAAGCTGGGTTGGAAGGGGAGCAAACGGCGCTTTGACAAAAGAATGTGCATATCAAGAGGAATTTAGCATATTTATGGGAAATGCAGGTATGTGATTGGTACTACGTCATGAGAATTATTTTATTATGTTTTATTTTTATTATTTTATTACTTTCCTTCTATGTGACTTTACCGAAAGAACCAAGAAGATGATTTCTGGAAGTTTTTTTCTTCTTGTCATCCACTCAATTGATTCCCTCCCCATATGTAAGTCCAGACTTGAGATCACTTCTGTCTTCTTTCCATTGACCGACTTTCCTACTGATAAGTTTTCTCACCAATGTTTCCCCTGCACCTTCCCTTCTATGTCCACGTCTTTACCCCTTCCCCTTTCCCCCGGTTCATGTCCCTCCACTTTGCAAAGCAAACAAAGCTGTTTCTGCTTCACTCGATCATTTCATAATGCAGTGTACATTCGCCATCAACGTGGGACTGCGGGAGATGGGCAAGTCTGTACAGTCACACCGCTGCTCAATCTGCCCAGCTTTTAGTTTCGTTTTTCTTTCTTATAGTTTTCTATACTGTGTGTGATTATTTTGTAGGGTATTTTGAGACATGTTTGCCTATGAGATGTTTGTAAATTATCGTTAACTCACATACGTTGACCATTTGTTATTGTGCATAATTAAACATTGAGCTGCAATGCCAGCATGAAATGGCTCACTTTTGATCACAATACCAAGATCGTTTAGCATATATGTTATTCCAATTGCAATGTGTATAATCTCTGTGTGGTCTGACTTCTGGTCTATCCGGCCTTAATCTTTCTCCTCCTCAGCTACCAGACCAAGAATGACAGCAAGTCCATTGAGGTTTCCAGGGTCACTTTTGCCTTCGAGTTGGACTGTGTTTCTCAATGTGAGCTCTTCTTCATGGTGGTAAGTGTGCTACAAGCAAACAACATTAACAGTTACAATTGAAAACTTCGATGGTATATTTACAATTACAAATTGCTTTGGTCTCTAGTACACATACTCTTACATGAAAGTATGTTAATAATTGTACTCTTTATTTGTCTCAAGAAAGATTCACTGAGTCGCATGCATTGGGTTGTTTGGTCAAATCCATAACAAAAATGTTTGGCACGTGCGAGGATTCCATAATGAGCGGGATAACATTTAACATCGTGCACAGACAGATTCACTCCATTTTTATAAAGCCATCTTCTGGCTAACTCACAAGTTCAATGTCTGACAAAAAAAACTACGGCTTCAAAATATAAAATATAATAATAGGGAGAGTCATTTTGCTTCTCAGTCAGTTAATTTGCCTCCTTAAATAAAATGTGTGATCGCTCAACAGCCGTTCCCTTAGCTGGTGTGTGTGCGTGTTCGGGATCATTGCAGGACACCAACAGGAAGGCGACCAGGGTGAAGAACTCATGGCAGGGCAATCAGGAGAAGCAGGTGTACACGTACATAGTGCCGGAAAATTTCACGACCACCTTCACGTGGGCCTTCCAGAGAAGTTCAAACCCCAAGGCGGTGAGCCTCGTGTTCCCCCCCCCCCCAGCCCACTCATTATTTGTGCGAGTGTCAACCACGTGCGATGGAGTCCCTATGACATCGTGGCTGCAGCGCACTCGGCCACGCTATTGCCTTTCCCTGACGATTTTTAACTTGCTTTTCATCAGCTGCTTGAGCTGAAACCCCTTTTTTGGGGACAGATGCATGAAACAGCAAGAGAAGGTCCAGAGGGAGATTTGAATGTGCAAAGCTTGTGTTCCATCGTCAAAGAAAAGAAAGTTAATTTTGGCACCAAAATAACTGTACAATGAGGATTGAGAGTGCTGGAAACTTGTGCAAGTAATTATTTTGGTATTATATATCAAGGGTCCATCAAATGTTTTAACTTTTTCTAGATTAAGCATGCAAGATTATTTAGGGAGCTAAACATATTCATTAGTGGCTTTTCTTTCAATCGTGTGTCCACGTATTAATAGTAGTAATATTTCTGGAAGGCTGATGATCTAATTACCTAATTTTATTCCACCATAATAGTTATTATAGCTTTGACGGACATCTCACCACAACAAACAAGTGTCATATGAGAACCACAGTATACAACAGAAGCTCATCGGTCATAAAAGTGGAATTGATTCACCAACATCTTGCAATATAACAATCGCTGTGTGATGATAAAAAAAATATTGTAATTCAGCAATCTGTCAATAACCATCGTTCATGAGAAATAACAACCAACTGATCACTCCATTAAACATTGTGCCCACTCTCCAGTTCAGGTCATGCCCTCTCAAATTAAAATTGCATTTTAGAAAGGGGAAGTAATTTTGTCTGCGGATATTGGGTGGATTTAATTGTTGTCCTGAATGTACTGGTAATATTGTGTGCTACTAATGTTGTGTGCCAGTAATTATCTTTTGGTGGTAATGTCGTGTGCCAGTAACATTTCATATTCTGTACCGATAATATTGTGTGCCGGTAATATCGTGTCCCAGTAACATTCTGTGCCGGTAATTTTCTGTGCCGGTAATATTTTGTGCCGGCGACATCGTGTGCCGGTAACATTCTGTGCCGGTAATATCGTGCGCCGGTAATATTGACGTGCTGCTTAAAGTGACGCCGTATCCTTTTTTACTCGCGTCCAGGGCCGCGAGTTCGTCACCGACATCGCCAAGATCTACGCCATCAACGTGACCAACGCGCTGAGCAGCGTGTCGTCGCACTGCCGGCCGTGCGCGCAGGGCGGCGGCTCCGGCGACGCCGACTGCGTGCCGTGCCCCGCGGGCTTCTACATCACCGAGGACTCCTCGCGCGCCTGCGTCGAGTGCCCCGACAACACCGTGGTGGCCGACCGCCACGCGCTTGGCCGTGACTCCTGCCAGCCCTGCGGCCCCGCGGCCAGGAGCAACCCGGTGGGTGGGCCACCGCCGCTTGCAGCAACCGCGGCGTGGCAGGCGGCCGCGGTCGCGGTGTCTGTGCGGCCGCGGTTACACAAGTGGTGTCATGAGTGGGACGGTTCATCGATTCAAAGGATGGTTTAACGCGTAGGCTTTCATGACCAATATAATCCATAATAGAGGTTTTTTTTTGGGTTAGATCGCGTAAATATAAATGTGTCGTTAAACCCGCCACCACACGACACAGCCAATTAGTAAGGTTTGTCACGTAAACAGAACGTGCCAATTCGTTACTAGTACAGCACACTGGTAACGTAACATATATTTACGTGATCTAACCTAAAAAACAAAGGACATTATTGCGTATAATAATGTACAGCTGTGTGTGTATGTTGAACTTCTTTCACACCATACATAGCCAATCATGCTTCTCAGAGTTGTGGGGGAAGGACAACAAACTAAACACAAAAAACAGTTCGAAAGAAATTAGTTTTCAGTCTAGATTTAATTTCAATCTAGGATACCAGCGTGGTAATCGATCGTGTATGTGTGTCTGCTCTATGTTTTTGTGGGGAGCGGTAGAGTAGTGGTTAGCGCACTACACTATGAACCTGGCGACCCGGGTTCGCTTCCCGTTCATGGCTAACACCAGTGACGATTATCTGAACCGGTCCTGGGCCTCCCCTAGGTTGACTCAGCCTTAAATGAGTACTTGGTACAGTGTGTAGTAAACATTGCCACTGGGGAGACAAAGGTGGTCGGGCGTGGTGCTGGCCCCCCACCCCCTCGTGTACCGTTCCGGCCTTCATAGGTGCTCGCTAACAGCACTTGCCCCTACAGTCTGTTAAGGCTATACGGGGGATCTTTATTTTATGTGTTTGGACAATCCGGCCAGGAGGCTGGGAGTTCAAGTCCTTGTTTAGGGGGTTACTTCGGCCCATTATCTCTTGGGAGTCAATCAAATTAGCATTGAGGGGCTCCAATGAGCACCTCAATTGCTGAATGCTCATTGTAGCAGGAAATGGGTTTGACTTTGATCTGTAATTGGGGGTAGAGCGGTGGTGCACAGGTGAGCGCACTGCGCGATGAACGCAGAAACCTGAGTTTAATTCCCAGCCAAGGTTAATTCGTAGTGGCGAGTGATATCTGAACCGGTCTTGACCCCCCCCCTCCCCACTCTTTCACCAACCTGCATTGGCCACCATGGTGAAATACGGTAAAACCACCCCCCAAGAACAACACAGTGTGGGAAGGCCTTCATCCAGGAGTGGGATGACGAAGAGCTGTACGTTATACTTGATGAGGACATGCACAACCTCCAGCCACTTGAAGTGCTACATTCACGATATTACAAGAAAAAATATTGATTATATTAGTGAATCAAATTATGACCCTTAATCTTAACATTTCCATACTATGGTAGGCAACCATATTGAAAGTTCTAACATTGCATGACAGACATTTTATCAAGCCCAATGCTATGTATCTATGTATGTTGAACTTCTTTCGCACCATACGTAGCCAACCAAGCTAATCGGAGGTGCGGGGGGGAAGGACAACAAACTAGACACTAAACTAATGCCATGCTACGCGCGTCAGCAAAAATCATCTCTGATGCACGAGTCGGCGATAACATCACTGGGCTGAAATTAACAAATTGGAATGATGTAAGTAATCGGTTGGAAACGCGTGCTGCTGGCAACGTTAGTGTGCACGATGACCGTGGCGATATGACAGCGAGAGAGAGATAGACCACTGGGCCTGGCGACACGGTCGCATGGAGAGTCGTTTGCGAAGTCGTATGGGGAGTCGCGTGGGGAGTCACGTGGGGAGTCTCGAGTGCCCGCGGGGTCAGCCCGTCGGCGTCTTCTCTCCCCGCTGCGCCTGCTGGGCCGGCGGAATGAGGACGGCTCCATGATCCGTACAGCAGTCACCCGCGTGTGAACGTAATGGGGGCAGTGCAGCCATCCTGTCCGCCGTTGATGGGAGAAGATGCTCCTCCAAGGCTGTGTTTGAGGCACGAGTTTTATGTTGTATATCAATGTAGAAATAAAGACGGTCACTGGATCGCGCGCTTCAGATGCGCTTCTGCGGCTGTCTGGAACGTTCTTCCTCCCGATATTAGGAAGCCACTGGAGCCACGCACTTTTTAAAATCTAGATTGAAAACTCATTTCCCCCGAACTGTTTTTTTGTGTTTAGTTTGCTGTCGTTTCTCTGTACCTCCCATGAGTGCAGTTAACTGCGTACGATGCAAAATTAGTTCAACATACATACATACATCGTTAGCCTTTTGTAAATCCACTGCTGCACAAAGGCCTCACTACGTCATGTAGGTCATATGCGTTTGACTGTATTGAACAATGCTGATCGGTGCATGTTGGTGACTGTGGGGGAACGCAGGACTGGTTAAGACATCACTCACCACTGGTGTTTTCTGTGGCCAGGAATTTAATTTAGGTCGCTGGGTTCTGCATTCAGTGTGCTAACCGTTCCATCGCGAATAGATAGATGAATGTATTGTTGCGTGAGTCAAAATGCAGGCATTTAAGTAGATGTTCATATTTTCATGGTCTCTTCCCCCCAGGCCTTCCTTTCAAAAGACACCGTCTTGATCTTAACTTTTCTAATATTACTCCATGTGTTTTCTTGTAATGATGAGATAATTGCAAATTAGTTATCGGAATATGTGAAAATACTAGATGTGGCATATAATTACACAAGCTTAATTTGAGATGGCTAGATGACACGGGAGTCAGAGTGCTGATCCAGCACCGCTGAGATCGCGGGTTAAAATACCGGCAGCTACTTGTGATTAAACCTGATTCTCAAGTGTAGCGTTAATGGTCTCCATTTGGTCACCAACGACCACACGCACACACAAAAATTAACATTACATTGTTTTGCCATTGATTTTATTCATTTAAACTCTTAAGAATAACACATTGAGGCTTGATTGACGTGCAACAAGTAATCTGGGTGTTAAAAGGTGTGCCTCCATTGTGGATTGAGAGGTGTATGGGATGACTTTAGAAGTGGTTCTGTGATGTCATCTTTTGGGCTGTTCTCCGACACAGGGTCATGCAATTCCAGCCACGAGAGTTTTGACTGGAAACTTACTCATCTCACGATACGACACCGATAGCACAATTGGAACATCATAAAAAAACGAGTCAAAATCTATTTTAAATATGCTTAGTCATAGTATGCTTTTATTTGAAAGTACGAACAGTAGGTACAAGTTAACAAAACTTTCAAATCTTCTCATCCCACGAAAAGATTTAACTTCAGGCCCTGATTAGTCCCCCGCAGCACAGATCCTGATGCCCGGACTGTCACAAGGTAGCATGTGAAAAATGTAATTGTCTATCCTTTTTTTGTATTGTTATCAGAGCCACTCGGCATGCTACAGTGACTGCACGTTCACATACGAAACTGAGAGCGGCGTGCTCGAGTTCAACTACGGCGGTCTGAATGGTACCACGAGCAAGGTGACTGGGCCCAGCTTCACGGCCAAAGGGACGATGTACAACCTGGTCTACAACATCAGCCTCTGCGGCAATGAGGTAAACACCACCACAGTGTCTCTCCCATATGATTTTTTTAAAGAATACTACTGAATAAGGTCTTTTTCAGTTCTGCTTTACAGCTATCCGATGCGTATTCTATTTGTACAACCTGTCGTTTGGCACGATGCCTGACATGCTTGGAGCTTCTTCAGCAACTGAATTCAGCTCCAGAATTAGCTTGCAGGACGTGGAATGAAACGTTGGACATCATTGTGAACAACATGACGTACGACCCGGAAACACATCGCCGAGCCGTTTTAAAGGAAGAGGAACCCGAAAACCAAACAGCTGCCATCTTGTATGCACAAACCGATGTTGTTCGACGTGAGCTCGATGATTAGTTAATGGGAAAATAGATGGTAAGGTTATGAGCAAGCACGCCACTATGGCATATTAGTGGCCCTACTCCCATATGATTTAATACAACGTTAGGGCAGTGATGTAAGATGATAATGTAAAATGTGTGGCCCTGCAATTTCTTACTCGTGCCACTGCTGGTGGAAGGGCCTCCATTAGGAGAAGCTCGACAGCTCCTCTCGAGGGTATTTTGGCCTACTCTTTCACATCTTGAGAGAGGTGGCAGAACCCACACTTTACCCCACCACACGCAATTTACCGATGGACTAACTGTGGTGTACTCATTGTATTGCTGGGTGGACAGAGGCCGAGGAAGAGGGGGTTTTAATTAAAAATTTTACTTCACATGTTTTGGACAGCCTAGGACACTAAACCTTGTTGCTTATTGACAAGAATTGTTTATTTTTGGGTTGCATCTTACTTAACTCGTGTAGCGCAGTGCTGTTTCAAGTGGTGAGAAACAAGCTTTCTCACTAAGCTAGACGCTCACATGAGTGGGCTCTCAGCCGCACGAGACTCGTACCCCACTGGCTCGGCAAACGCAGGGCCCTCGCGTTACCGGTGCTTCTTTTCCAGTGACTCTTAGCCGAGCCGGAGAAAACAAAACGTGATACACTGGCCTCACAAGAATATCTGAATACGGCCTGGGGCCAAGCAGGGCCAGCGACGCGGTTTAACGATGCAGTCATCACGTGTGTGACATCAGTCGGTGCAATTCAAACGGAAGCTCCGCTGCATCATCTTTATGCAGCTCGACTCGTTCGGTCGCGCGTGATAGCACCAACACCGCCGGGCTGCTGCAGTGGAAAGAACAAAGTGGCGCCGCCCGAGGGGGCTGGCATGGCACAGCCGCCCTGGTGCGGCTCTGTTGTAACGGTGGAGGCTTCGACGAATGCTTTGAAGTTTTTGGGGCCACTCGCTGAGCGTTCGGTGTGCTGTGCCTCCCAAGGGCGTGATGAAGGCACAGTGCGTGGACAACGTGACGAACGCCCAGCTATCGCAGAAGGACCAGAGTCAGAGGACGCAGATGGAGGCGTTCGTGTGCCGGTCGACCATCATCACGTCGGAGGCGCGCGGCATCGGGGCTACGGTATCCTCGCAGATACTCAACCTGGCCGACCGCTTCATAGGTATGCTAGCACGCACGCTCAGCATAGGTATGCTAAACACATCCATCTTCACCACTATTTTACAGTTGTTTAAAATTGAAACGGGTATGCTAGTTGCGCATGTAATGGGCCTTTTGTTGATCCACTGTTGGATGAGGGCCGGGCCACTCCGTACAGGGCGTGGGAGTTATTCGACCATACTTCACCTTGGTGGTCAGTGAAGGTTGGTGAAAGCGGGGAGCATATATGTGAAAGCATAGAAGTACATAGATTTTGTTGCACTGTCCGGCACTACCTACCCTGTAGCCTCAGAGCAGCCTATTCTGCCTGTGTCATGCATTTCATTAGATCAGGCACATTCAGTGTGATATGATCACACACGTGTGTGGGATTTTTATTACAAGGAAATTGCAATTGGTAATAGGTTTTGTTCTTTTGACACCTGTTTTGAGGACTAAAACACTGGTTAAGGTTTGTTAATAGTGATATCTTCTGAATATTGTATCTAAACACAATGAAAGTCACCCTTCAATTTAAATATTTTTTATCATCGTGTGATTTTTCTGCTAAACTGAGCTTTGGAGTGATGTTCATCTCCTTTAGTTCTGAGCCGGTGGTAGAAATTCTGCATTCTTACTGTGGGACCAATTCTGTGCATAGGAGATTTCCCCACAAAACGGTTCCTATTTTATTAGCCGCCATTGGCTAAGCTCGCAACTATGAGGATGCGATTTTTCCCACCGTAACCCAGGCAGATCACTTGGTTTTCAATAATTTTATGGCAAAGTAAAGCTTCCGAATGAAAAATAACAATACTTGCTACTGGGACTACGTATTTTATGACGATAATGATGATAATACGAATACCACTGTTTTGAACACACTTGGAAGTATATCCATCATGGCGATGGAGTAATGATATTAGCTTGTGTGCTGATAGCTTGATGGATTATTGTCACAGTGAGACATGGCAATGACTGCTCCCTGCCCCCACTCCATAGCTCTAACCAGGCCTACCACCACCCCGATCACTACCCCGATCACTACTGTGGCACATTAGGAATGGACCACTTTTTAAATTATTTTCTCGTGCAGCAATGGAGCAAAGTGTAATTTTCTGAAGGTCCTTATGTGCTGTGCAGTACATAAATGCACGTTGTGTACACTGTGATACTGAGTCGGGCCTGTAGGTGGCTGGCAGGGTTATTGAGTAACCTGACCTGTACACCAGTCACGTGGTTAATGGCGACTCGATTGAAAATGGCTGTGTGACATACATGCATTTTACAGATTACCATAATAAATGTGTTTGTTCTCGATTTGGAGCACCTGCCCACGTCCTTCATTTCGAATGTGCAACACTACCACTACCCCATCACTACCCCAACTCCTATCACTACCCCGATCTACTACCAATATCACTATCACTATCCCTACTATCACTATCTGTATCACTACCAATATCACTACCCCACCCCTCCTTAACCTCTCCCACCTGTTCACCATAACAACACCACCACCACCACTTTTAATAACCCACCCTTTATCTCAACCACTATCATTTGCTGGAAAGAGCCTTGGAATGGGGCACGATGTAAATCTGTATAAAATAAGATACGATGGCTGTTGATAATTGTTTTAAAACCTAACTGTGTAATCCAAGGTCTTGTATCCATCATTTTATTGTCCTGCAGGGGCAAGAACACAGAATACACTTGACGGAATACAGGCGCCTCTGGAGTTGTTTCCCCCAAGTGACTACCCCTCCATCCCGGACATCATACATTACTACAGGTGACAGACACTTGGATTATGTCCTCTCTGCTGTGTCTCATGGCTATACTGATGGGTGCATTGGGTTAGATGTTTAAAAAAAAAGTTGTTTTGTTTAACCAGGTGGATATTTCACCTCGAGACCAGGATAGTTTAATTTGCGAGAGTGACCCGGGTCACCAGGCTGACAAGCGAGAAACCAAAAAAATAACAACCGAGGCGGTCTGCCGGCATGGAGGCTGTGACGCTTCAAGTGCGATGTAGTTTGCAAAGGGAAATTGTGCAAAGCCGACGGTCTGCGTGTTTCTCTTTAAGCCAGAATTAGAAGTGCGGCCTACGAGACCGATTGGGGTGGGGGCCATGATGACCGAGAGCTGTTTTCCTGCAGGTCGTCGGACACCACAAACTCCTGTCCGGATGGACGCGTCACCACCTTCCGGCTACGATGCAGCCCGGAAAGCACACACATTGATGACATCGCTGTGCCAAGGTAGAAACAAAGCACGGGCCCATTATAAATTAACCTCCCCGTCCCCACCTCAGCAATGTTATGAATTGTGACATATTTGACGTAGCTAGTAAATTCAAACATTACTACATTTTTGTAAAAAAATTGTGTTCTTTTATTCCTTGCTTAAGACAGGTTTGCCTAATCCATTAGGCTATATTTTCGATTACCATTTCACTTGCATCTCATTTGCATGAACCGTAAATAACTGATTCTCACATGCGCGATTCCATGTATGTATTGTGAGCACATGAATAAACATAATCAATGGATCGATGGATCATTCCATGCCTAACAAACAAATGAAATTACGGATTATATCCCTGGGGGGGAAGAGGGGGGGGGAGGGCAAGGCAGTTTTTGCATCGATATTTGGTTCTTATTTTGCATTGTTGTGTATTTCAGCAAATGCCCTGAAGGAACCTGCGACGGATGTACATTCCACTTCTTGTGGACAACTCCAAAAGTTTGCCCGCTCTGCAGAGAGGTTGACTACAAGAAGGTCACCGAGTCTTGCCAGGGCGGCACAGAGGTAAAGCGACATTAGTTTTGCTTAAAGCAATACCCCTGTGCTCTGGGAGGGCCGTCTCAAACCCTCCGTCTCCGTACACTCTATTGAAGTGTGCCTAGGATGCTTGCAGTGTCAACAACCAGGCTCATTTAGTTTTGAGAGTGCAAAATAAGCCGTTAAGGGGAACTATCTAAAATGAAGCAGATATGCAAGAACGCTTGTGCTTTGTTATGATCGTATTTTATTACTTGCTGAGAAATATATTTCATTTTGTATAACAATTGCAGAACATGAATCTAGATTGATAGGCTAATTTGCAAATGTATGATTTGAGGTATTCATCATCAAGTTCACACTAGGTTGTTAAAAACCACGGTAAAGGTCTTTAGACTGTGAAGAGGAGTGTTTTTTAAATCATTAATTTTATATCCGATTTATATAAAACAATGAATAATTCACTGGTTCGAAAGGCTGTAATTTTTTCCCCCATCTGTAGTTCGAATGCAGTCATCACATACTGAACATCAAACATTTGAATAACTTCCAATATAGTGAAGCCATCAGAAAAGCTCGCGGCAAATCTAACACGCATAGACACGCGGTCATAACGTTGCGTGTTATGGCCGCGTGTCAATGTATGTTGAATTTGTACACCGTACGTAGCCAAGCGTGCTAATCGGAGGCGCTAACCTCGATCCGTGTGACTTCAATTCGTGACTCAGAAAACCTCAATCCCTCACCCTCGTCTTTGCAGAGAACACGTTACGAGTGGAAGGCACCAGGCCGCTGCACGGGCGGAGTGTCACTTCCGCCCGAGACGAGAAACGTGTGTATGGACCTGAGCCTGTGGCTCAAGGTGGGCATCGGGGGCTCCATCCTCGTGGCTGTTGCCCTCGTATTCCTCACCTGCCTCTTCTGGAAGAAGAACAAGAAGTGAGTGCTCCGATTCGGGGGGAGACGCCGTCGCGGCCCACGTACGATAGGCCGTCCGCCAGAGGTCGCAACCGGGTTTTTATTCCTTACCCGTACCCGTACCTGGCCGCACCAGGGTCGCAAATGGGTACCCGTACCCGTACCCGGCCGGGTATGGGTACCCGTACGCTACCCATACCCGTACCCTACCCGAAATGAGTGACAAACGGTTGCTCACAAGTGACTCACGGCCTACCCGTACCCGGCCGCACCAGGATCGCAAACGGGTACCCGTGGTACGAATCTCGGAACGCGCAAGCGTAGTGCCGTTTTAAAAAAATATATTCTCCTCTCTGCAGAGAACTGCAGTGACACGACCGCACTCTATGATAGCCTGCACAACACGCCCTCCCACATGGCCTTGTGGGGGCCTCGAAACCGATAAAGTTATTTATTTTAAATTTCCCTCCGATTTAGTTTTGACGATGTACACGCACGTCCTCAGAACGGAATCGGAAGAAAAACTGATGACGTACCCATACGTCATCGGAACGAAAAACGGTCGATTGAATATTCTCACAGAATTTCACCTGAGTGGACGTGATGAACGCAAGACTGTGCACGACACGTCCGTGCTGTCTGTCCCGTGCAGGCTGGAGTACAAGTACTCGAGTCTGCTGATGAACGGCAGTGTCAAGGACGGCGGGGAGCTGCCTGCTGTGGACAGCTGCGCCATCATGGAGGGCGAGGAGGAGGACGTCATCTTCGCGAAGAAGAAAAGCAAATCCTTCTTTGGGAAATTAATGAACAAGAAGAAGGTGCCTTTTAACCACCAGAAAATTCACAAACTTAGCGTTGATATGTTCGTAAGCATTGCGAAAGTAAATACTCTCACCGTAGCTTAGAAGTGTGCGCTTTGCGTGGGAAGTCCAAATACTTGTTTTCATTCTTTAAGCGGAAAATGTTTTACACAAAATACTTGCTTGTGTAGTCCCATTTAAATATCTAATTATGTTGTTAGTTTGTGTACTCGCAAATCCATTTGGCCAAAGACTCAATGCAGCCCCTTTGTTAAAAGCTTTGTGACTCATTGACACTTTTCTGGATAAAGGATATTATTTCTATATTTATTTATTTAGGGTATAATTTCATGTGGTTGGTGATTCATAAATTGTGGTTAAAATTGTACTTTGAATCACAATGTGAAATTCACTATCACTGACCACCACCACCACCACCACCACAAATTCACCACCACAACCTCTTGTATGGGAGCTGAGCATCAGTTTGGGCTCGCCGTTGTGATTTTCTCAGTTTTACGGCTCAAAAACACATTTCCGTTCCAGAATTGTGGGCCTAACATGCACAACTTTTTGTTTCTTTACAGGATCCAGAAGAGGTGGAGTTTCAGTCTGTGCAACTGCAACTGAAGTCTTGAGTCATAGGTACTTTGCAAGTTTACATAAAGGTGTGCAATTTGTATTTGTCAGTTGCCATTGGTTCGTCCATTGCAGTACACGGCATCGGAATGTTTGCCTTGTTAAACGTTGTCATGTCATGCCTTGCAGCGTGAAAACTCTTAACAGCAGAATTTTTTACACAATCAAAGGTTGATGTTCACGGTCAATCGAGTTACTAGATATATGCATCAGGTGGGACTTTATAATTCCATTAAACCTATTTAGAGAATAATGTCGGGTGGTATGTAAGCTGTATATTGTTGGTGTGTTTCATACGTGCAAAGTTTGCTGTATTTTAATTGTGTATAAATAACACAGAATATCAGAATCCGAATATTTATTTAGACTGGAGGTATCCGATGACCTATAGAGCTCTTTTTCACAGATGTCCAGTAGGGGCGGATACGAACGTTACAACAACAAACAGTACAAAAACATTTTAGTAGTGCAAAGTACAAGAATAATAAACAAATCAACCCAAACATACAATACGAAGCCATCCCCATCCTACCAGGCAAAGCCCAGTGAGGTATTAACTTATTTTTCAGAAGCGACCTGGCCACAAATGATAACTCGACAAAGTTGGCCATCATTTCGATGCACGTTTGTAAACGTGGAGGGAAAAACGGACAGGATTCGGAGAAAAATACCCCGCGACCAAACTCCAAATATACATCAGCAGGCATCGGGGTCGGGATTGAACCCCCGACCTCCTGCATACCAGGCGAGGAAGATCACATCTCCTAGCCACCGTGGCACCCCTTTAACAAATAAATAAATGAGATCTATAGCCAAGATCAAGCATGGTCAGTCCTGAGGATATGTTATATGGTTTGCTGATGGACAAGTTGCACTGTTTTTATTTGTATCATAGTCTGTACAAACCCTTGTTAAGTCTGTACGAAACAGTGGTGTTTATGATAAATAACACATTATAACATGTGTTATTGCAAATGTTAAGCCATTGTAAAGAATGTGGGGTGGGGTGTGGTGGAAAATACTGACTCTACTGTGGGATTGTGTTTGCATATTTTATGGGCGTAATGTTAATTAATGCTTGGTTAAATTAATAAAAAAATGCAGCCCTTTGTCAATACGCATCTGGATGACTTCTCTGTGCCATGTCAGTCATCGGGACTGTTTGACTATACTTCACCCTTGGCGGTCAGTGAGGGTTCGTGAAGCGGGGACTCGAGACTGGTTGGCATTTCAATCGCCGGTGACGTTAGCCACGGCTGGAAATCAAACTCGGGTCACTGGGTTAGCGGTGCAGTGCGCAAACCGCTGCACCACCGCTCCACTCCAATACGACCGGGTTGTGGAACGTAATTCGCTTGGCATATGAAACAAATTGACATATGCAGAACAAAACTAGCAATATAGGATAAGTGCATTTCCCAGTAAAATGTTACGGTTGGATTAACACCCATCTGGTATAAAGTCATGAGAGAGTTTATTTTTTCACAAAACATCCTTGCTGCCTTGCCATGAATTTAAACATATTATGGTCCTTATTATACTTTTACACTCAAGGTACCATAGATTTCGTTGAGGTATGATATAAGGAAGTTAAGATATTGAACTAACATTGTACGTGTAAGCTTGTAAGCCAAGTTCACTATGTATTACTGAGCATTGTTTGGCTATAATCAGGAAAGGCTGTTCATCATACGTGGTGTAAGTCAACAATGGTTCCCCCACAAGGTACATTTTCACATACATTGGGGTTATTTCTGTGGTACCTGTAATAGACAATGTGAGTATTAAAAATGAATATACCTGCGCAGGTTTAATATTGTAATATGTTTTTACCATTTTATCTGGGACCAAAACTGACACCTTTATACAAGGGATCATGTTTGCAATAACCACAACACTTGCAGTCAAAATGAAAACAAAAAGAGACAACTCTGATAATGATATGCACCAGTGGCGGCTCCTGCAAAATCTCTCAGGGGGGGCAAATGTCTGGATGATTGATAAGGATAAGGTCCACCCATGCAATGGATAAATTAACAGCTTAAGCATGTAAAGGCAACTTCACTACTTTAATATTAATGAAAAATAAAGTGACTCTTACAATACATCTTGTTTGTTTCTATACTCACTATTATTACAATCCACTCAGTTTCTTTTATTAAAGATTCCACGAGGTGGCGACAAATAATATTGTTGACTGAAACGTGCTTACGTATGATGACGTAAGCACGTTAGGGCGAGCCCTCCCGGAAGCCATAGAGAATGCATTGGAGCGCCCGCCGTTCGAAAAAAAAAACATCTTTGAATGTAAGTCTATGGGAACACTCTGGGCGATTCTCAGCTGGAGGGAAATCGCCCAAAAAGAGGCGGTACTCCACAGAACGTGACATGACGCTGATTGGACTATATCCAGAGGCACAGTAACGGCTCGCGTCACTCTGTGGTTGAATGACATTGGTGGTGCGTCGCCCAATCGCCCTAATGAAGAAACCGCCCCTGATATGCACTGTCCTTGAAGTTGATTGGTCCACACCCGAGAGACGGCTTTTCTTAGAGCCCAGTCTCACCCTGGTGTTGGACCAGATGACGCCAAAAGGCGCACAACTCAAAAACAGCGCAAGATCAGAGTATTGAGAGCTCGGGGTGAAGCATTTACATTGAGACCTCCTTTGCCACATGATCCCTTGCAAACATGATCCCTTGTATAAAGGTGTCAGTTTTGGTGCCACTCTACTTGCCAACATCTTCCGGAAGACCTCTACCAACTTGCCAACATCTTCCGGAAGATCTCTACCAACTTGCCAACATCTTCCGGAAGATCTCTACCAACTTGCCAACATCTTCCGGAAGACCTCTACCAACTTGCCAACATCTTCCGGAAGACCTCTACCAACTTGCCAACATCTTCCGGAAGATCTCTACCAACTTGCCAACATCTTCCGGAAGACCTCTACCAACTTGCAACATCTTCCGGAAGACCTCTACCAACTTGCCAACATCTTCCGGAAGATCTCTACCAACTTGCCAACATCTTCCGGAAGATCTCTACCAACTTGCCAACATCTTCCGGAAGATCTCTACCAACTTGCCAACATCTTCCGGAAGATCTCTACCAACTTGCCAACATCTTCCGGAAGACCTCTACCAACTTGCCAACATCTTCCGGAAGACCTCTACCAACTTGCAACATCTTCCGGAAGACCTCTACCAACTTGCCAACATCTTCCGGAAGATCTCTACCAACTTGCCAACATCTTCAGGAAGACCTCTACCAACTTGCCAACATCTTCCGGAAGATCTCTACCAACTTGCCAACATCTTCCGGAAGACCTCTACCAACTTGCCAACATCTTCCGGAAGACCTCTACCAACTTGCAACATCTTCCGGAAGACCTCTACCAACTTGCCAACATCTTCCGGAAGATCTCTACCAACTTGCCAACATCTTCCGGAAGACCTCTACCAACTTGCCAACATCTTCCGGAAGATCTCTACCAACTTGCCAGCATCTTCCGGAAGACCTCTACCAACTTGCCAACATCTTCCGGAAGATCTCTACCAACTTGCAACATCTTCCGGTTTTTTCGTAAAGTCACGAAAGGCAAAAAATAAAATTAAAATTAATAAAAGTAAAAATAGAAATAAAATAATAAATCACTTATTATTATATTGCTAATGCCTGTTGGCGAAGCCCCTATAACGCATCACCTATCCGACTGAATTGGTTAATGTTAAATTTCGATTTAAAGCTTTCGTGACTGCAGGGATTCATCTTCTTGGTTCTTTCGGTAAAGTCACGTAGAAGGGAAATAATAAAATAATAAAATAATACAAAATTTAATAATTCTCACGACGTTTCGGCCACAACGCAACAGCCGTCCTCAGGTGAAGAACAGGTCTGTCGGAAAGACAGCGTCTGAAGGACAGACCTGTTCTTCACCTGAGGACGGCTGCTTGCGTTGTGGCCGAAACGTCGTGAGAATTATTTAATTTTTATTATTTTATTATTTCCATTCTACGTGACTTTACCGAAAGAACCAAGAAGATGATTAATGTTAGTTCACACATTCATTCACTGGGTTCAGTCGGACAGGTGAACCGAGCAGACACCAAACAAACGTTTTAAAGTTACGCAACTTAATTCTTTAATGCAGCCGGCGTTGGACTGTTTTCTTAAACACGCTAATTAATGATTCATTCTTGATCGTTACATTGTGGATTAAATATCGGCCGTTCTATAGGATCAAGTTTGGACAGATTTTTGCGTACCTACAACAGGGATGGCTCCTATACACGGACGTTGTTCATCACGTGACGATATTAACTGGCTGTATCGGATGGAGGAGGGTTTATGACAACACACTTTACACTTATGCGGCGATCTGAGCCAAAATTCTACAATGAATCATAACATTGGTCGCGAAAGCCTACTGCGGGTTGATTTGGTTAATGTTAGTTCACACATTCATTTATATTTGCAGTTTTAATACGAATCAATGTTTCCATATCAGGTGTTGCTACACCTGTCCAGGTTATATGACTCAAATCAGGGCTTCGTTGCTCATAGAATATTTTATGGGAATCCCCAAGACCCCGGACATTAATTTTAAGTATGATTTGGATTGCAAGTAAGGCGAGTACTCATAGGTTTTTTCGGTAAAGTCACGTAGATAAAAATAAATAATAAAAATTAAAATAATAGAAATAATAATAGAAATAAAATAATTTTATTATAAAATAAAAATAACAGAAATAACAATATTTTATTTCTATTATTTTTATTATTTATTTTTATCTACGTGACTTTACCGAAAAAAACCTAAGATTATGAATCCTTGCAGTCACAAAAGCTTCAAATCTAGAAGTAAGGCGAGTGTAAGGCGAAGTTTTTTTGAGCAAGCTATTTTGGCTTGTCAGTCTGCATTGCTTGCTGAGCATATCGCAGTGAAACAACGTGCTTTGCAATCAAGCTATTGCATCGAACAATCGATGCATCTGATTGTTAATCTAACGACGTGCGGATCGAATCTTTTCGATTGGTACGTGTTGTGATGAGCTGATTCACATCACACCTGCAGCCACTAGAGAGAGGCTACCATCACACAAACAATGTAAAACAAAACAGATTAGATTATTGAATCAAATCGTTACTGAGTGACGTAGCTTGTTTGGCATGGGCCCTGATGCAAGGGGTTCAATCGGGGCCCCCTTTCCCATTCCTATCCTGAATCTCAGCGGCCTTGGGCCCCCTCCAGTCTGTGGGGCACACTGAGTGGCTATGTCACTGCTGAGTTGCAAAGATGTGTCCCATCATTCACCCCGCCCCGACTCACTGAAGCACCAACTTTTGTGCACTTCTGCAAAGTAGCCAGCAAGCGGCACTGCGTCATCATGGAACACTCAAATACACGTGTTTTTTAAATTCCCTACCTCGCAGATATGTCATACAAAAATCCTGGTAAAGGTGTATTTTATTTATATAAATACATAAAAGCATGTTGCAGCAAATGCTGTTTTTAGTAATATTGGTATTTCATATCGTTGTGATGTAGTTAGGCATTTACAATTAATATTTGTGGTCTATGGAGGATGATACAATATATGTTATTGTGAAACATTTTAAGGCATGATTAATGTCGTAAAATATTTCGCTGTTAAAAATTTCCGACAGATTAATGTTTTTTGGCACCGTCTCATTATCCAAACAATGCTCGTCATTCAACAGTCTACCTTTGACCCCACCACCCCGGTCTGGTTTTCATAATAAATGTGTGAGCGCCTTTTTCCACGTCATTAAACGTTCTGTTTACTTAACAATAAAAGCAATGTGGACAAACTGTGCTGTCTGTAGATGTCCGTGTCTTTCTCTGTAATTATCGGGGTACAATTATACGTATTGTTTATCCTGGCACCCGTCTGTGATCGAGTTTATTTTTGCAGATAATTGTAAAAGCATTTTAGCGCCATTGTTGGTCTGATGCGCGTTAATTTATAACTCAAATATTCTAAACTGCTCCGTTTTTTTCTGTACATTACTGTCAGGCTTATTTAGATTTTGTTTGTTTTCAAAACAGCTCGCTTCAATTGGAAGTCATCGTTTACGTTGTTTATTTTA